AGCATAAACCTATTATAGATTAGAGAGTTCATCTGATGAATCTTTAAAAGTATTAATTGTTGATGATACTCCTTTTAATATAATTGCATTGAGTGCTATGTTAAATCAAGTAATTTATAATTGTAAACTCTATAAAGCTTTTAATGGTAAACAAGCATTTGATTTATACTCTAAAGAATAAATGAGTGTTATTTTTATGGATGTAAATATGCCAGAAATGGATGGTTATTAATGTACTTAAGAAATAAGAAAATATGAATAAATGTATAAATTAACTCAATCTCTAATTGTAATTGTTACTGCTTTTACAGGATCTGATGATAAGCTGAAATCTTAAAAATGTGGAGCTAATGATCATCTAGATAAACCTTTAAATATGGAAGATTTAAAGAGAGTCATGAAAAAATTTGGAATAATTTGATAATAATAATAATTTATGTTTTCTACCATAATATATCTTATTATTCAATATGAAATGGTCTTTCTCAATTCATTAACTTATTTTTGTTAATTTGGAATTTATGTTGCAAAAATATCAAAGACTTAACCCTAATTCTAATTTAACTATGCCTATTCTTTTACAATCTCTATTTCTTAATGTAGAGCCAATTCTTTCTTTACAATTTCGAAAGAAGCTTTAGGATTAATTAAAAAACTAAGAGTTTCACCACTATATATAATCTCTAATTGATTACATTTTTTATATCTTCTCAAATTTAAGTAATTTATCCTCTATTTATGGTTGCCCAGCAAATAAAATTAATCCCAATTCTCTCAAATTTGGAACTTTGTAAGGTTGATTTTTTAGATTTTCTGAAGTTTGAGACAATTGACGACTGACAGCATCTAAAATCAATTATGTTGAAATGTGTGACATAAAAATTTAATGTTCTTTAAATATCTGATATGAAAGTTGAGTGTCATCATATTATTATAACACAAGAATTGGACTAAAATAATAATAAAATAATACAATGTTGAAGAAGGCTAATAAAAGTATAAGTCTATTTCAGGTCTTACTTCCTTCATATTAATTTAATCATATCGCTACCAAAATACATAAGGGAACATAGAGTATTATGTATTTTAAATTGAATTTGGATGCTTTTAAAAGGGTTTAAAAAATGTGGCCAATTCACACAAATGAACAAATGTATAAATTTTAGATAAACTAATTCCTGGTTATAATTATTGATTAGGAATATTTTTATTTGCTAATAAAGAGTTTAAATAAAACATTGGGTCACTTTTATCAAGTTAGTAAACAGTATATTTGAGTAGGTCTAAAGCGTATTTCTATTTTTCATTTACTTAACTATAAAACTAACCTAAATAATGATAATGTCATTTACAAAAATAATCAAGAAATTCAATTTTTTAACCAACAAGAAGCTTGAAGACAACTCCTACAGCAAAGGCCACATCAAAATCATTATAGACTAATTTTTCTGCATTTTGCTATGATTGATGAATGTTTGTGGCAAAANTATTTAGGTATTCTTTCGAAAAATAAAGTTTTTTTTTTAGTAGGATTAAGGGCCGTATCTATAATATTTCTTCTTGCGAGCATTGAAAACGATGAATTAAACTTTATAATGTTCGCCTGCATATTAAAGCATTTTGGGGAAGAAGTAGCCATCGGATATAATTGATATACATTTTTGATCATTATTACTTTTAGCTTAATCTAGAATATGATTTAGACAGTCATTAGGTCCGAATGATTCTTCTAATAACGTTATTAGGTTTGATATAAATAATGGATGGTTTTATTTTGATTATGTGTTTTTTTTTATTATTAACAATTTCTTCAATGTAAAATATATTAGAATTCAACAACTCCCTTATCAACATAAAGGAATAGTTCAAAATCTAATCTTAGTAGTAGAGCTAAATCATTAATTGTTTCAAAAATGGGTCCTCTATAGTAGAAATTAATTTTACACGATTCAACATTCTTGTGCCAATGTCCATAGGTAATGGTGGTTGAATGGGTTGTAAGGTATTAATCTAGGGTTAAAGATTAATAATTTATTATTCTGTTTGTGTTAGGATTTGTTAATCACTCATTGATCACAATTAAATTTAAAATATTTATAATTGTAAACTCTATAAAGATTTTAATGGTAAACAAGCATTTGATTTATACTCTAAAGAATAAATGAGTGTTATTTTTATGGATGTAAATATGCCAGAAATGGATGGTTATTAATGTACTTAAGAAATAAGAAAATATGAATAAATGTATAAATTAACTCAATCTCTAATTGTAATTGTTACTGCTTTTACAGGATCTGATGATAAGCTGAAATCTTAAAAATGTGGAGCTAATGATCATCTAGATAAACCTTTAAATATGGAAGATTTAAAGAGAGTCATGAAAAAATTTGGAATAATTTGATAATAATAATAATTTATGTTTTCTACCATAATATATCTTATTATTCAATATGAAATGGTCTTTCTCAATTCATTAACTTATTTTTGTTAATTTGGAATTTATGTTGCAAAAATATCAAAGACTTAACCCTAATTCTAATTTAACTATGCCTATTCTTTTACAATCTCTATTTCTTAATGTAGAGCCAATTCTTTCTTTACAATTTCGAAAGAAGCTTTAGGATTAATTAAAAAACTAAGAGTTTCACCACTATATATAATCTCTAATTGATTACATTTTTTATATCTTCTCAAATTTAAGTAATTTATCCTCTATTTATGGTTGCCCAGCAAATAAAATTAATCCCAATTCTCTCAAATTTGGAACTTTGTAAGGTTGATTTTTTAGATTTTCTGAAGTTTGAGACAATTGACGACTGACAGCATCTAAAATCAATTATGTTGAAATGTGTGACATAAAAATTTAATGTTCTTTAAATATCTGATATGAAAGTTGAGTGTCATCATATTATTATAACACAAGAATTGGACTAAAATAATAATAAAATAATACAATGTTGAAGAAGGCTAATAAAAGTATAAGTCTATTTCAGGTCTTACTTCCTTCATATTAATTTAATCATATCGCTACCAAAATACATAAGGGAACATAGAGTATTATGTATTTTAAATTGAATTTGGATGCTTTTAAAAGGGTTTAAAAAATGTGGCCAATTCACACAAATGAACAAATGTATAAATTTTAGATAAACTAATTCCTGGTTATAATTATTGATTAGGAATATTTTTATTTGCTAATAAAGAGTTTAAATAAAACATTGGGTCACTTTTATCAAGTTAGTAAACAGTATATTTGAGTAGGTCTAAAGCGTATTTCTATTTTTCATTTACTTAACTATAAAACTAACCTAAATAATGATAATGTCATTTACAAAAATAATCAAGAAATTCAATTTTTTAACCAACAAGAAGCTTGAAGACAACTCCTACAGCAAAGGCCACATCAAAATCATTATAGACTAATTTTTCTGCATTTTGCTATGATTGATGAATGTTTGTGGCAAAAACATTATTCAATGATTGAGCCACTTTTTTATCCATTCCTCCTGAAGTTATTGCTAAGTAGGATTTAAATACAACGAGAGTTTCCTCTTTTAAACTGAATTCTTATGAAATGCCTCTGCAAGAGTTCATTTTTGTTAATAGAAATACAATAAATTAATAAATTAGGATTAGATTAAAAAAATTGACTTATGTATTGAGATTATAATATTATCAATAAAATAGATTGTATTTAATATAATTAGGAATAATAGATAGTAAATAAATTCTTATTGCTTTTATTCTTACTCTATAATGCAAAAATAGATATTTTAATAATTACAATCTCCAAACAAAATAATTTATCCATTAGTTATTATACTTCCCTCTATTTCTAATTTAATTATGCAAAAAGAATAATATAAATTATATTTTTTTTTCTATATAAGTAATAGATTTTAAAGCATTTTCATAAAATTATGTGCAAATTCAATCTCAATTTACAGAATGAAGATTTTTTTTAATTCTAATAATAATCATAAATTTTTTTTCGAGCTCTTGAATTTATCATTCAATCAAATAAAGATTATGTAAAATTCAACTGATACTTTTTTAATCCCATTCCTTAAAGATATTTTGATTCTAATTGTTAAGATCATTCAAACAATTTGATTAAAGACTCTTGGTCTTTTTTATTTTTTATTTTTGCAGAATTTATGGGATTTATATTATAAATAAATAAAAATAATAGATTTAGATGCATTTATTATTTGATGATATATGAAAAAAAATAATTTCTTTTTAAAATAAATGTTTACTTTAAATTAATCATTAAGTAAGACTTTTAGCAAAAAATATTAAATTTATAGAATTCTAAATTAAAAAATTATTATTCTAAAAAATGACAGGATTGATTATTACTCAGAAATTAAAAAGACTTTAATTGTCAAGGTTAACACTTTATCTCAAAACATTGATTTTTTAAATATTAAAATGAAATTATAATTTACTAAAATAAAATTATTTTTTTTAACTAATTATTATTATTATTATTATTATTTAGGTATTCTTTCGAAAAATAAAGTTTTTTTTTTAGTAGGATTAAGGGCCGTATCTATAATATTTCTTCTTGCGAGCATTGAAAACGATGAATTAAACTTTATAATGTTCGCCTGCATATTAAAGCATTTTGGGGAAGAAGTAGCCATCGGATATAATTGATATACATTTTTGATCATTATTACTTTTAGCTTAATCTAGAATATGATTTAGACAGTCATTAGGTCCGAATGATTCTTCTAATAACGTTATTAGGTTTGATATAAATAATGGATGGTTTTATTTTGATTATGTGTTTTTTTTTATTATTAACAATTTCTTCAATGTAAAATATATTAGAATTCAACAACTCCCTTATCAACATAAAGGAATAGTTCAAAATCTAATCTTAGTAGTAGAGCTAAATCATTAATTGTTTCAAAAATGGGTCCTCTATAGTAGAAATTAATTTTACACGATTCAACATTCTTGTGCCAATGTCCATAGGTAATGGTGGTTGAATGGGTTGTAAGGTATTAATCTAGGGTTAAAGATTAATAATTTATTATTCTGTTTGTGTTAGGATTTGTTAATCACTCATTGATCACAATTAAATTTAAAATATTTATAATTGTAAACTCTATAAAGATTTTAATGGTAAACAAGCATTTGATTTATACTCTAAAGAATAAATGAGTGTTATTTTTATGGATGTAAATATGCCAGAAATGGATGGTTATTAATGTACTTAAGAAATAAGAAAATATGAATAAATGTATAAATTAACTCAATCTCTAATTGTAATTGTTACTGCTTTTACAGGATCTGATGATAAGCTGAAATCTTAAAAATGTGGAGCTAATGATCATCTAGATAAACCTTTAAATATGGAAGATTTAAAGAGAGTCATGAAAAAATTTGGAATAATTTGATAATAATAATAATTTATGTTTTCTACCATAATATATCTTATTATTCAATATGAAATGGTCTTTCTCAATTCATTAACTTATTTTTGTTAATTTGGAATTTATGTTGCAAAAATATCAAAGACTTAACCCTAATTCTAATTTAACTATGCCTATTCTTTTACAATCTCTATTTCTTAATGTAGAGCCAATTCTTTCTTTACAATTTCGAAAGAAGCTTTAGGATTAATTAAAAAACTAAGAGTTTCACCACTATATATAATCTCTAATTGATTACATTTTTTATATCTTCTCAAATTTAAGTAATTTATCCTCTATTTATGGTTGCCCAGCAAATAAAATTAATCCCAATTCTCTCAAATTTGGAACTTTGTAAGGTTGATTTTTTAGATTTTCTGAAGTTTGAGACAATTGACGACTGACAGCATCTAAAATCAATTATGTTGAAATGTGTGACATAAAAATTTAATGTTCTTTAAATATCTGATATGAAAGTTGAGTGTCATCATATTATTATAACACAAGAATTGGACTAAAATAATAATAAAATAATACAATGTTGAAGAAGGCTAATAAAAGTATAAGTCTATTTCAGGTCTTACTTCCTTCATATTAATTTAATCATATCGCTACCAAAATACATAAGGGAACATAGAGTATTATGTATTTTAAATTGAATTTGGATGCTTTTAAAAGGGTTTAAAAAATGTGGCCAATTCACACAAATGAACAAATGTATAAATTTTAGATAAACTAATTCCTGGTTATAATTATTGATTAGGAATATTTTTATTTGCTAATAAAGAGTTTAAATAAAACATTGGGTCACTTTTATCAAGTTAGTAAACAGTATATTTGAGTAGGTCTAAAGCGTATTTCTATTTTTCATTTACTTAACTATAAAACTAACCTAAATAATGATAATGTCATTTACAAAAATAATCAAGAAATTCAATTTTTTAACCAACAAGAAGCTTGAAGACAACTCCTACAGCAAAGGCCACATCAAAATCATTATAGACTAATTTTTCTGCATTTTGCTATGATTGATGAATGTTTGTGGCAAAAACATTATTCAATGATTGAGCCACTTTTTTATCCATTCCTCCTGAAGTTATTGCTAAGTAGGATTTAAATACAACGAGAGTTTCCTCTTTTAAACTGAATTCTTATGAAATGCCTCTGCAAGAGTTCATTTTTGTTAATAGAAATACAATAAATTAATAAATTAGGATTAGATTAAAAAAATTGACTTATGTATTGAGATTATAATATTATCAATAAAATAGATTGTATTTAATATAATTAGGAATAATAGATAGTAAATAAATTCTTATTGCTTTTATTCTTACTCTATAATGCAAAAATAGATATTTTAATAATTACAATCTCCAAACAAAATAATTTATCCATTAGTTATTATACTTCCCTCTATTTCTAATTTAATTATGCAAAAAGAATAATATAAATTATATTTTTTTTTCTATATAAGTAATAGATTTTAAAGCATTTTCATAAAATTATGTGCAAATTCAATCTCAATTTACAGAATGAAGATTTTTTTTAATTCTAATAATAATCATAAATTTTTTTTCGAGCTCTTGAATTTATCATTCAATCAAATAAAGATTATGTAAAATTCAACTGATACTTTTTTAATCCCATTCCTTAAAGATATTTTGATTCTAATTGTTAAGATCATTCAAACAATTTGATTAAAGACTCTTGGTCTTTTTTATTTTTTATTTTTGCAGAATTTATGGGATTTATATTATAAATAAATAAAAATAATAGATTTAGATGCATTTATTATTTGATGATATATGAAAAAAAATAATTTCTTTTTAAAATAAATGTTTACTTTAAATTAATCATTAAGTAAGACTTTTAGCAAAAAATATTAAATTTATAGAATTCTAAATTAAAAAATTATTATTCTAAAAAATGACAGGATTGATTATTACTCAGAAATTAAAAAGACTTTAATTGTCAAGGTTAACACTTTATCTCAAAACATTGATTTTTTAAATATTAAAATGAAATTATAATTTACTAAAATAAAATTATTTTTTTTAAATTATTATTATTATTTAGGTATTCTTTCGAAAAATAAAGTTTTTTTTTTAGTAGGATTAAGGGCCGTATCTATAATATTTCTTCTTGCGAGCATTGAAAACGATGAATTAAACTTTATAATGTTCGCCTGCATATTAAAGCATTTTGGGGAAGAAGTAGCCATCGGATATAATTGATATACATTTTTGATCATTATTACTTTTAGCTTAATCTAGAATATGATTTAGACAGTCATTAGGTCCGAATGATTCTTCTAATAACGTTATTAGGTTTGATATAAATAATGGATGGTTTTATTTTGATTATGTGTTTTTTTTTATTATTAACAATTTCTTCAATGTAAAATATATTAGAATTCAACAACTCCCTTATCAACATAAAGGAATAGTTCAAAATCTAATCTTAGTAGTAGAGCTAAATCATTAATTGTTTCAAAAATGGGTCCTCTATAGTAGAAATTAATTTTACACGATTCAACATTCTTGTGCCAATGTCCATAGGTAATGGTGGTTGAATGGGTTGTAAGGTATTAATCTAGGGTTAAAGATTAATAATTTATTATTCTGTTTGTGTTAGGATTTGTTAATCACTCATTGATCACAATTAAATTTAAAATATTTATAATTGTAAACTCTATAAAGATTTTAATGGTAAACAAGCATTTGATTTATACTCTAAAGAATAAATGAGTGTTATTTTTATGGATGTAAATATGCCAGAAATGGATGGTTATTAATGTACTTAAGAAATAAGAAAATATGAATAAATGTATAAATTAACTCAATCTCTAATTGTAATTGTTACTGCTTTTACAGGATCTGATGATAAGCTGAAATCTTAAAAATGTGGAGCTAATGATCATCTAGATAAACCTTTAAATATGGAAGATTTAAAGAGAGTCATGAAAAAATTTGGAATAATTTGATAATAATAATAATTTATGTTTTCTACCATAATATATCTTATTATTCAATATGAAATGGTCTTTCTCAATTCATTAACTTATTTTTGTTAATTTGGAATTTATGTTGCAAAAATATCAAAGACTTAACCCTAATTCTAATTTAACTATGCCTATTCTTTTACAATCTCTATTTCTTAATGTAGAGCCAATTCTTTCTTTACAATTTCGAAAGAAGCTTTAGGATTAATTAAAAAACTAAGAGTTTCACCACTATATATAATCTCTAATTGATTACATTTTTTATATCTTCTCNTTTAACTAATAAATAAAAAAAATTAAGATATTTAATGACTATTTTATATTAAGAGTATAGATTGAGAATAAATAATATTTCATTTAATTGAATTTAGTTAATTTATAAAAAATAATATTTGTAATATATAGTATATATTCAATAAAGAAGTAATTTAAAAATTGAAGTGAATTTGTTTTATTTGAATTAAGAAAGGAAATTGTTCAATATTTAAATTAGAATAGTATTTTTAAATGGAAAGTGCAGAGCTTTTAAAGTACTCATTAAAATTAATGAAAACTGATCAATTGTGTATTGGTTTTAATTTATTTTTTCAATATTAGTTCCAAAATATAAATACTGCTAATTCAAAATAAAATTTAGAGAAGACAGAAAAAATAATTGAATAATGGAATAAATTAACAGATGAAGATAAAATGTATTGGTAATAAAAAGAGGAAGACTTAAAGTCTGAAATAAAAAATAAAAACAATTCAAAACCAAATCTGTGTTAAAATTAAGAACAAAAAGATATTGAAGATATAGAAAAAAATATTTTATTGATGAAATTTGATGAAGCTAAATAAAATTATAAGAAAAGGATTTATGAGAGAAACTAATAAAATGAAGCAAATGTGGCTGATGATTCTAAAGTTAAAAAAATTACAAATACATAAAAATAAAAAAATAATAAAAATAACAATTAAAGAAAAAAATAAAATAATTAAGATGACAATTGTGTAGAAGAAATCAAAAGAGGAAAGAATTCTAAATTTAGACAATCAAAACGTGGTGGAAAAAGAAGAATTTGAATTATATAATCCTAAATAATTATATTTTAGAAAATGATATTTCTCATTTTTACTGTTAATTTTATTATTATTCTATTTATTATTATTTTCTTGCCAATTATTATTCAGCAATAGCTAAAATTGAAATTTTTTTTTTTTACATTTTTCTTCATTATAGGCGCTTTATAATTAAGGGTTTAAACTAATTGCTGTTTACAAGCAATCAAGTGCTTAAGTATGCTCACCAATTTTATTTAGGGCTTTTCCTATTTAATTATCAAAAAATAATAACCTTTATTCAAATGAGCTAAAGAATTTTATGGATTTATTTAGATCAATAAATTATAAATTTGTAGAGCAGATTTACAACAATTTAAATTTATCAAACATCCACCATTAATTATATTAAATATAATATACCTATTCCTAATATAGATTATTCATTTAATAAATTTATTTCTAAAGCACTTAAAAATTCATTAATAGATTTATGATAATCTTCGCAAGTTTCCAAAACACAACCTAAATAGAATTAATTATACCTTCCAACACGGTATTTTATAATTAATGTATTTATTCATCAGTGAAATCTTCAGATGAATTATCATAATTAGATGCTCTTTAAAACCAATGTGATAATTTAAGACCAGTTATATTTGCTAAATTGCGAAATAAAAATTACAATCTAAAAAAACAAATGTATCTTCTTAATAATCTGGTAAAATTTCTTATAAAGTTATGGTTTCATAACCTATATAACGATTTGTAGCACTTGAATATACAGACCATTCTAAATGAAAATACTCTTCATCAAAACTAAAATGTTAGATTTAATAATACAAATCATATTATAAATGTATGTCTTCAAAAATTTAGCATATTGAAATAGACTTATCAAATAATTTTGTAGCAATATGCTATTAATTAGGAAGTAAGAATTGTATTTTGATACTCATTGAATTTTGCTTTTAATATAAATATAAATTTAATAACATTTCTTAACTCTATTAATTATCATTTTATAATTGAATTAATGTACATAATTTAAGCTTCTTATATATTATAAACAAATATCAACAATTACATTTTTATTATTATTTTCCATCTTCTAATTTTCTATTAGGTCTCAACCATAAATTAATATTCTCTTATGGTTCATTTTGAGTATCAAAAGTATGTTATTTATTAATATCAGCAGACTATGAATTCTTTAAATTGAATGAATTTATACTTTTTTTAATTTTCTTTTTATTTTTTTTTCTTCTAAATTCATGTCTCTTTTTATTATTAGCAATCTTGACAATTCTTCAAATGCTTGTGATACTCCATGTGATGTTTTAGCACTTGTTTCATAAAATAACATAAGTTTCTCTTTTGCATATTCTTAAGCCTTTGTTGTAGTAACAGCTTTGTTTGGTAAATCACTTTTATTTCCAATTAAAAGAATTGTTGTATTCTTTCCAGCATGCTTGTATATCTCATCTGTCCAAAATTTTTCAATTTCCTCAAATGATTACAAACATGTAGTGTCATATACAAGGACAATACTATTGCTTAGAAAATATTATTGTACGCATCAGCTCCTTTATAATATGTATTTGTAATAGTTCTAAATCTCTCTTAACCAGCAGTATCCCAAATCTATAGTTTTAAGCCTTTGCCATCGATTTTAAATGTTTTAAATCTATTTTAAAATTTGAATTAACTTAAAGTCAACTCCAATAGTGGAGATATAATTTTCACTAAATGTTTCTTCAGTGTATCTAAAAAGTAGAGAGGACTTACCAACTCCACTATTTCCAATAATAACAAGTTTAAACAAATAGTCGTATTCTCTGTTACTCATTAATTAAAAATAAATAATACTCTCATTATGGATGAATATGAAATACATTTGATGAAATAATAATATATGCATTCATTTAAGCATTTTATTGATGGCCATATTTTTTTCTATGTCTTTTTTCATTACTTTGGCTACAGACATTTCAAAATCTTCTTATGTTACATGAATTCTTCTTTCTCTCAATGCAAACATACCTGCTTCTGTACAAACTGCTTTTGATTCAGCACCAGAAGCACCTGGCATAACTTCAGCTATCTTTCTTAAATCAATTCCTCTCATTAGATTCATTTTTTTAGAATGAATTTTCAATATTTCCAATCTAGCATCAACTCCTGGATTAGGAAATTCTACTTTTCTATCTATTCTTCCAGGTCTTAATAAAGCAGCATCTAAAATATCTATTCTATTTGTAGCCATGATAATCTTAATTGTTTATGTAGACTCAAAACCATCTAACTATTAAATTTATTAAACTCTTTTACTTAATTTAATAATTCCAACATTGTTCTCTATACTTCTGAATCACCTCCTCTTTCACCTTCCATTCTTGCACCTCCTATAGAATCAACTTCATCTATAAATATCAAACATGGAGAATGTTATCGTGCCATTACAAACAATTCTCTTACCATTCTAGCACCTTCTCCAATATACTTTTAAACTAATTCTGAGCCACTTACTCTTATAAATGTACAATCCTATTTTATATTATGATATATATCATACTGTATGATGTGCTATTGCTCTTGCTAATAAAGTTTTACCTGTTCCTGGAGGACCATAGAGTAAAACTCCCTTTGGTTATGCTATACCTAAACTTTCAAAAATTTCTGGATGTTTGATAGGCAATTCAATTACTTCTTTCACTTCCTTTACTTATTAATCTAGACCACCTATCATATCATAAGTGGAATCTGGCACTTTCTCAACTTTCATTAATGATACAAGAGGATCAACTTTGGTTGGCAATATTTTATGTAAAACATAAGAATCACTCTTTAAAGCTACTCTAGTATTAGGTTTGCAATCTTCAATTTTGATATTCTTATCTAAAGTCACAACATATTTTCCTTCTGGATTCACTTTTACCAATACTTTATCTTTTCCCATTTATTTAACAACATCTCCAACATATGAATGAGGCTCTTATAAAGCTTATAATTCTTCTTTCACTTATCTCACTCAAAATTCAATATTGAAAAATACCTAAACTATTCAACTCATTTCTTTAAGCTTCCTATCTTTTAACATTGGCCTATTTTTCAGCAATCATGAACTCCAGTAAATCAAGCTTCCCTTATATATATTGTTTATAACTTAGTTTTCCATTCATTTTTATTCAAAAAATTAATGAGATTAGGATAATTTTGTTTTGTTATTATCTTCTTAATCTCTTTTAGGATCATTAACTTTATGAAGATTTATGAATAAGGACAGGAAATAGAAATAGAAAAACTTAGATATATATGTAAAATAAGATGAAAAAATAAATAAATTTAATACTTAAATTGCTTTTGCTTGAAACTTTTTCTGTTTTCTCATTTAATTGCAAAAATGAGATTATTTTTAAATGTTTTACTTTCACAAATATTTTCACATAATATTATTTTCTTAAAACTATTTTATGATCTAATAGGAACAGGGAATGTTCACTTACTAAATGATAGCTTACTAGATTGCTAAGATGATATTTGGAATTGATCGAAATTTGTAAAAATATTTTAAAGCAATTTTCCATGTTTAGGATCAACTATTATTGATAAACTCACTTTCATGTTTATATTTATTCAGACTAGTCTAATTAAGGTAATTAGCTAATGAGACTCTCTTTTTTGTCTTTAAAAAATTAAAAAAAAGGTAGAGTAATATATTTGCCAAAAATTGAAATACTTTTTTTTAAATTGATGTATGTAAATAGAATTAATTGATAATACGAATAGTTAAATAATTCAAAGAACTAATTATAAAGACATGAACAATGTAAGAATAGAAATTCGAATTTTAAATAATCATCATTGATTGTCTAGAATTATTAATATACAATTCTGGCTATTTTCTGATATGAGCATTTATATTGAAGCTAAGGTCTTTAGATATTGAAATATAATTTAAAGATATTCACCAAAATGCCTCCAAAAAGAGCATAATCAAAATCTAAAAAGGCTATTCCTGTAACAACAGCAAAAGGAAAGAAAGATGCAAAAGCAGCATAAAAAAATGCGTAATATAGATTTAATCAAATTTAGTAAGGTAATAGCAAAATAGACAACAAAAAGTGTATCTACTACAAGAAAAGGTTAGAAGACAAAGTCTGTAAGTCCTGCACCTCCTCCAAAATCAATAAAAAAGAGTGATGCTAAATAATCATCTGTATCCAAAAAAGTAGTTACAACTACTCCTGCAAAGAAAGATGTTTAAGATAAGAAAAAAGCATAAAAGAAATCACCATCTCCTCCTCCAAATAAAAAAGTTTAATAAGAGAAAACAGAATTGAAGAAAATTACATTTACTGGATCTGCTCCTGTTGACTAATATGTTCCATTTAGGGATAATTATGTTGTATATGAATAAGGTGGTAAGATTTATGAGTGTGCAATGAATTAAACTAATATTATAGGAAATAATAATAATAACAAGTTTTATTTTGTTTAACTATTAAAAAAGAAAAATGAAAGTATATATAAATATGAATAAATTTAGATGCATTTTCTGTATTCACTAGATGGGGAAGAGTTGGTTAAATTGGATAATAGGCTGAATAACCATTTTAAGGCGATTTATCATAAGCAATTAGTGCATATGAAAAGAAGATTCATGAAAAGAGTGTTAAAGGAGATTATCGTATTTTAGAGAAGGATTATTCAGGAGAAAATGATCCAAAGGCTTTAGAAAAATTAGAGAAATTGAGAGAATAGAGAGAGAAAGAAGCATTTAATAAAAGTAAGTTACATTAGAGAGTAAAAGAGTTAATAAGATTGATTTTTGATATGAAAATGATAAATAATTAAATGAGAGAGTAAGAATATATTTTTAAAGTAGAATTGGTTATGATGCAAAGAAAATGCCATTAGGTAAATTAGCAGTATCTACAATTAAAAAAGGATTTGATGTATTAAAATCTATTTAAGATGAATTGGATAAAAAGAATCCAAATCATTCAGAGTTATAAAAACTAACTAGTGAATTTTATAGTTAAATTCCACATGATTTTGGATTTAATAAAGCTCCTTTAATTGATACAAAAGAAAAAGTGAAGGCTAAACTTGAAATGTTAGAAGCCATTTAACATATTTAAGTGGCAACTAAAATTTTAGATGAAAGCAAAGATGATTCTAATGTGATAGATGAAAATTATAAAAAACTTAATATAGATTTAAAATATTTAGATCATAATAGTGAGAAAGTGAAATTAATCAAAACATTTATACAAAATACATAAGGATATTATAAATTAGAAGTTGAAGATGTTTTTGAATTAACAAAAGAATAAGATGATAAGAGATTTAAAAAAAATCTTGGTAATAGAATGCTTTTATGGCATGGATCACGTTTAACTAACTTTGTAGGTATCTTGGGTCAAGGTTTAAGAATTGCTCCACCTGAAGCTCCAGCAACTGGATATAGATTTGGAAAAGTAATCCCTTTAAATATTTATTTTAGGGTGTTTATTTAGCAGATGTAGTTGAAAAATCAGCAGATTATTGTTGTCCAGATCCAACAACAAATACTGGTTTAATTTTACTATGTGATGTTGCATTAGGAAATCCTAATATTAAATTAGAGTCTGATTATAATGCTAGTAATCTTCCTAAAGGAAAACATTGTACTTGGGGTAAAGCTAGAAGATACCCTCCTGAAAAATCTTATGTAGAAATGCCTGGATTACCTGATGTGAAAGTTCCTATTGGTAAACCAGAACCTTCAGATGTAGAGAAGAAATCAGGATTGTGGCATAATGAATTTATAGTTTATGATGTTGCATAGGTGAGACTTAAATATTTAATCAAAATGAAGTGGAAAAATTGATTGATTTTATTTTATTTCATTTAATATCATAATAAAGTTTAATCCTCAGAATTTTTTTTTATTTAATAACATTTTTAATAAATTAAATTTGAATTAATATAACATTATATGCATAAGCGACAAGTTTAAATTGAGACATTAAAGTAAGTATGTTATAATAATAGTTAGTCCTTCTAAGTGTCTTACCCAATCAAGATCACCGAAATAAAATGTTAAACCTATCCAACCTTAAATTTTAAAGTAAATTACTCAATTAATCAAAAACTCAAAAGAAAGAAACACTGAAAGACTTTGCAAACCTTATGAGAAATTGAAATGCATATAAAATATATAACCTTCTACTACTTCTAGACCAATAGAAGGTCGTGATATATCAGTCACTTTTCATTAATTACTATAAGAGTTTAGAAATTATAAGAAGCAAAACAAAGAGAATTCATTTAATAGAATCAATAAACCATCAAAAAAAGTGAGACAAATTAGTTTTCCTAATGCAGTTCTTCTCAATAATTCCAATAGTGGAAGTCGTATAAAAGATAGTATTTATTTTTAATAAAGGAGCTTCCAATGACAAATTAACATAAAAAATATTATCAATAGCCAAAGCTTCACATTCACAGAATAATTATAAATTATAATTTAATGGAGTTATAGAAGATATGTGTAGATGTTCATAAGAATATAACCATTTATTGAATGAATTCAAAGAAAATTTGAAAAATAATGATTCTCATTACAGAAAGAGTTCATAAAGATGTGCCTCAGCTGATATTTAATTGATTGTAAGAAGTCCAAATAAAAAATCAAGATCATCATCTATAGATCGAAAAGAATCAAGATTTTTAGGTTCAACATAAGCACATTCCAATCCAAAAGAATTAGATTTAACATGTGATGAAAATGATATAGTTGTACACAATGTTAATCTTGATGAAAGAATTAAAACCGAACCAGATCCCTTAATTAATCAAGAAAGATTATATTTGGCTGATCCATATTATTTAACTAAATAAAGTGAAATCACATGGTTAATAAGAGCTATAGTAATTGATTGGATGATGGAAACAGCAATGGGTAATAGATTAAAAAGATAAACATTTCATTTATCAATATTTTATTTAGATTCATACTTGTCTAAGAAACAAGCTAATAAATAAAATATATAATTAGTTGGATTAGCAAGTTTATTAATTGCCAACAAAGTAGAAGAAGTTAATCCAATTTGTCTTATGCAATTTTAAAAGGCTGCTAATAATGGTTATAAATAAAGTGAAATCTTAAATATGGAATTAGATATATTATTTGTAATAATTTATTATTTTTATATTTAGACACTTAAATGGTAAGTGAATCCACCATCATACACATATTGGATTAATTGGTTTACAGATTAATGGGATATTTATGCAAATAATCATGGTATCAATCTCTTTTTTCGAAAAGCAAATGAAGAATCTTATTAATGTATTTAAATCTTAATAAAAAGTATTTAGAAAGTTATGTCAACTTATTGATTGCACATTATTGGATATTCAAACTCTTCAATATATGCCTAGAACTATTGTTGCCTCATTTATGTATTTGATAATTTCATTTTAATTAAATGTCTTTGAAATTGATATGCTTGAAATTATGTCTAGAACATCAATGTTTTTATTAAATCGTATATATTTTATTAATAATTTTTAGGAGATAACTAATTCAACTTAATATTTGGATAATTTGTATCAATTACTTTTGGTTTTGCATTATAAGATATACTACCAGCTATTTAATATGCAGTTGGTTTTTATGAATTAGAAATTAATTATGAAACTCCTCCTGGAGTTGTTCATTTATCCAATACTCCATTGGAAGTAATATATATATATTAAATTTAGTCTAATTATGAAGAATTTCTTTCATTTTAATGTTATTCAAAATACTAACTTGAATTTGTCAGATAAAAAATAAGAGATTGATATATTTAATTAATTAATACACGTATAATAATTTTAATTAAAAAATAATGAGTTAAGAGACATTGAATGGAATAAATGGAATTCTTACAGATGTTTAAAGTTTTGGATAAGAAAGTTATAGATTTATTAGAAAATGCACTAAACCAGATAAAAGAGGTAAGTTATTGATAAAAAATAATAGAATACATAAAAATTGCAACATCATGTGCAATTGGATTTGTAGTTATGGGAGCAGTGGGTTATTTCATAAAATTAGTATTCATTCCTATTAATAATATCATCCTAAGTGCAAATTGATTTATTTTGTTTATTTAACATAATAATATAGAAATTGTGTATATATATATTTCTAAATATGATTCATTTAGACAACTATTTATAATTCTTTTTCTCGTGTGCTCTTAATTCATGTGGAGACATACCAATCTTTAATTTCAAATCTCTAAAAGTTGAATCACCAAAATATTAATTATATCTCCTAATATATTTACTTTATTCTTTAGTAAGTTTATATTCACATTTAAAGCAATAAAATAATAGTTTTTATGCCTCTTCTATACTTCCTATAAATCCTAAACAACTTAGATGATACCATTCTGAACATATTTCACATTCTAATATAATTAATAATATATACACATCATTTCTTAATTGTCATTTCCTTATTTACAAATACAATATTATAAATTAAATGCTTCTTTTGGAATTTTGATTTTGAGTGAAATATTATTTGATCCATTTATCTTTTATTATTATTTATGATGTTTTTTAAAGATCTTAGGTCTTGAATAAATTGAAATTCTCTTTCTATTAGGTAATTCTTATACATTTGTCATCTACTATAATTGAGATAATGTATTTGATAATTTTTTCTTCTTTCTCATTCTAATGGCTCTTTAATAAAGAACATATATTTATTATGAAGAATATTTCTCATTAGCTAATTACTACCAAATTCTATCTTTTTCTTCCAAGTCATAAATTGATAATCTTTTATAAGGATATTAAATATCTGTAACTTAGTTTTTTATTATTGTAATAATGAATTTTTCATCTTATTCCATTATTTCAGTTATTTTTAACAATAATTACTCATTTTCTAATTTAATATCAGCTTCTATTTCTTCTTATTAAACTTTTATTTAAATTTTTTAGAATTCCAAATCATTATTTTTAGGTTTATTAGCTAAATATTATTCTAATTTTTCATATTATTTGAAAAAATAATAGATTTCTTCTTTCCATAAATTATGTTAATCTTCAAATATTCTTTTTATTTTTAAAGGTTAATGTTTGAAACAGAATATTTCATCAGTTTCCATAAATATTTATGATCTTCTTGCACATTCAGGATGAAATGCAATACCACATTTTTATTTAGCACAATAAATGCAAGCTCCATTTTTTTTCATTTTACAAATACTACATAAACAATTAAACTTTTTTTTATCAATTTTTAGTAAATCAAAATCTAACCAAAGCATACATGAAACATGAGCCCATATTTTTTCAGATTTAGGAGATTCTCCTATCATATTATCTAAAGAATACTATAAAATCATAAAATTATATCCTTCCTCTCCATCAGGAGGAGGTTCTAAATTATATCAATAATATAATTCTTACTTTATCTATCAACTCTATTATTCATTGCATAATTATGATAATTAGGATTTAATTACTCAAATATTGAATCTTTCATTGAAAATGTTGTCTAACGCATTGCTCCTCCTAACTTTGGACATAGTGGACATTTCAAAAATTTGCCTTTACTTCCAAAATTCAAACATAAATCACAAATCCAATTATTTATAATATTTTCTAAACCATAACATTTTTAATGAACTTTTATTTGACATTTTTAACATGTTAATAAAGATTCTAGAGATCTTGAACCTTGATTACAAATTTAACAATTATTATAGAGATTTTATAATTTTCTAGCAGTTCCAGCTAAATTAGATTGTTTTGATTAATTAATTATTTATTCATCAAATATTCTAATAATATTTAAAATTCAATATACTTTTATTGACTTTCAAGATGTGATAGATATTGATTTTCAATTTCAGTTAATCCAACTAGATCTTTCAAAATAAAATCAGGTTAATTTTTTATTTCTAGAATGGGCTTTTCAATTTAAATTGTATCTATTTGACATCGCAATTGTTATCTGGTCTCAAGTAATTGCTCCTCAATTTTAGTTTGTAATGATTCCAAATCATTTTTGGGTTATAATTCTTTTAACCATCTATCTTAGATTAAAGATTACTATGTTTCTCATTTCTAATATGAACCAATCATCGAAATACGTATAAGGACGAGACTCTTTATCTTAATCAACTTAAAATTCTTCTTCTATTCTATAATTTAAAAATAATTTGATTACTTAATGCTTTTAGGATCTACATCTTTTTAAAAGTATTGAGAACTAATAATAAACCAAAAGGTTATTGGAGTAAAGTACTTTATAGGAGTAATTTTAGAATATGGTTCCACCCAATTTATATCATTTAATTTTTACACAATTTCAAACAATTATCGATAAGTTTTACCATTGTTAAGTGGATTTTGAACCAATGGATTTTATTCTTACTCTTAAACAATTGGGTCTAGAACGTATTGGCCTTCCTTTTAATCTTCATTTTGAATTTCTTCAAAGGACGGAAACATAAATTATTCTAAATTGTCAAAGCTGCTATCTAGAGACATTTTAAATTAAAAAAATAAATATCTTTATTTTCATTTCATTTTATAATATAAAATCCTACCATTTCTTTAAAGTACTCGCCTCTATAATAATGAATAAATTGATTTCATATTAATATTAGACTAAAAACATTTAATTTACACCATATTATTACATTTCCATCTTTAATCACTATATAGCATACACTAATTTTATGATATAAATAAGAAATGTGAGAACTCTTAATTTAATACTATTATGAAACAAATTTATTAAAATAAACCATTTAATGTGATTATGGAGTCAACATGAATAGTAATAATATACCTTTAACTTCATAATTTAAGATGGAATAATATTTCATTTTTTTAAATCTTTTCATTTAATAAACTAATATTTTACAATGAAAGTTTGTACCAATATCTTAAAATTTCTTTTTTATTCAACCTATATTGACGAGTAAAATTATCTGGAGTTGTTAAAAAACTCTAAAAATTTTTAAATATTAAAAGTAATTAAAAAACACTGAATGTAATAACTATAAATCAATCATTAGATATATAGGCCATATAAGATATTTTGATTTCTTTAACATTCTTTTTTCTTATACATATTTTAATTAGTAAAAATTAAATTGCGAAATAATAAGGATCTAACTCAGATGAATTGAATTAAATAAATTACTTTTAAGCTTACATAAAAGTAAACATCTTTTTTTTATTCATTTGTTGTTAATAAATGAATGAAATTTAACTGTGCATAAATATAACTTAAATTTCCTATTATGGTAATAATTGATATTCTTTTATTTAAGAGTGAGTATATGAAAAATCTATATTATTAAATCATAAGCTGATTAATATTTAACATCTATTGGCATGTATCAGTAGATAATGTGATCAGATAAATTTTAAAACGCTTATGATATCTTATTTTTTTAATTTATATCATATGATACAATCATGCCCTTTTCGTTCCTGACCACATGTATTTTAAATTATTCAAGAATCTAGCATATCAATTAATTTATATGTGAATATTATCAATAAGTTGATTCTGCTTATATATATCAAATTAAAATTTAGTTTATCTGGTAACAGGGTTCATTAGTGGATATAAAGATAATGAATATTAATATACTACGTTTATATTTGATATTCAATAAACACAGTTGAGATATACTATTAAAAAATAAGAATTGTAAAAAAAATAATTTATATATATGCCTATATATTACTAGTTATAACCTGAAAAACTATCTCAAATTTTTAACTTGCAAAAAAAATATCCAAAAAGTATATGATTTAGTAAGGGTATTGAAATGTAGGGTTATCATATAATATAGTTAAGAAAAAGAAGTTACAAAATCATAAGAATTGTGATGAAATAATGAAGTAATTTAAATTATAAGTAAAAACACCAAGGATTTAGACAGTTTAAAAATAATTCTGTATGATACTTTTAAATAGGATGTGATTATATAAACTGAAAATTGGTAATTAAAAATATTGATACATTATAATTTGTCATTAGTACATGCAATATCTACTTAAAACTCTATTAGGGCTAATGCAGAATAATTAAAATATAAAATTTAGATTAACTTTCTAATATTCAAAGTCATTGAGTTTTAATAGTATTGAATAAGAAATTTTATATTCAATAAGAATTCTATTTGCAAATTTTTAATAAAAAAGGAGGAAACCAAAACTATATTTACATAGAGGTAATTAAATAAAGGTTAATAATAGGAAAAATTTCATACAACAAATTGATTAAGCATAAAGGGAAAATACTATAATGATCATGTTACTAAATAATATCTTAATCCTCAAACCATTACAGTCAGTTATCACTACTAAGGTAGAGTATCTAAATTAAAGTAAAGATCAAATTAAAGGTAGTTCTGATTGAAAAAGATATGCTGATTAAAATATTTGAATGAACTAAGAAAGATATTAGAGCTTTGTTAATTAGGCAACAATTATTGGATTCCTATCGAAAAAAGAACAAAGAAGAATAATAGTGATTTATATAATTCAATAAAATAATTAATGAGACCCTATACAAGTACTCCTCAGATTTAACACAGGGAACAAGCACATGTAAATATCTCACATATATAGTTTAAGTCTGCTATTGAATTTCGTCAAAATGTTCAAAATTATAAGTATATTGATTATCTATATTCAAAGACCGAAATTCTATGTAACCAAGGCTCATTAGGATTCAAATGAGCAATTCCTTGCCAGGTATTAGGATATATTTATATTTAAGTAAAACCAGAGATCCACCAAATTCAAGAGAATTCAAGAAGACTATTCCTATAACAATGGTTTAAGATAAGGAAAGATTGTATGAAGAACTTAATAAAACAAAACAGATGTGTAACAATTTAAAATTGGAGAATCATCAGTTAAAAGCATAATTAAAAGGTTAGGAAACTGCCATGCTAAAATGTAGTGATGTACTTTATAAATTTATTTAGCCTGTGAAAGAAGAGTACTAATCTTTTGTTACAAATCCAATACCTTAATATAATAATAAGAAACTAATTAATGAAGTTCCATAATCTACTATTATTTTATAATTGAAGAAACAAAATAAGGAGTTAAGAGAAGAACTAGATGATTTTAAAGAAGAAATGATAAGAGTTAAGAGAAGTGCCAAATTGACTAAAATTTAAGAATTAGAAGCAGAATTGAAAAATTATTCAGATGAATCATTGCGCCTTAAATAACTTCTTCATTAATAAATACTTAAAACAATTAATCCGTAATTAATTTCTTGAATATTCTAGTACTAAAACAGAATAAAATATTGAAGATCGAATACTAAATTTATAAGAACAGTTGCAGAAATGTGTTTAATAAAGAAATAAATAATATTAAGAATTAAAGAAAGCTAAAGAAGAAATTGAAAAGTTGAACTTCTTGAATTTAGAATTAGAATAGAATTATTAGAAAAGTATTAAAGAGAAGACTTAAATTAAGAAGTAATTATCTTCTTTAGAAGAATAATTTAATAAAGCTTAATTGAATGATCCATTATTTAGAAGAGGTTAAGATGTTACATAAATGAAATTGGAATTAGAAAAAAAGGTTGTAGAAAATAATCAATTAAAAAATGATAATATGATAAAAGATAGAAAAGTTCATGAATTAGAAAGATAACTAAAAGATGTAACAAGTACCTTCTAAGATAAACTAAATACAGTAACTAAAGAAAAAGAAAGTTTTAAAGAGAAATATGAAAAACAAAAATAAGAACTTATTGAATTGTAAGATAAATATTAATAATTGTTTTTTAACAGTAATAGAAATCTTTAATCATAATAAATTTAAAGTGGTAGAAGGGATGCCATTTTTACAGTGTAATCTTAAGAAGATGTTTAGAATTAAAGAAGAAGATCATAAGAACTTACACCTGATATGCATAAATAAAATGAGATATAATAATTAAATTAGTAATCTGCTTAATAAGAGAAATAAAGCTATAGAAGAAAAGTGTAAAGAAAGTTGAGTTCTATTCGATAAGATGATATTGAAGAGTTGCTTACTTAATTAAGATATAAATTAAGGGCATAGAATATTAGGAATGCAGAATTAGAATTATATCTATTTCGATAGAAAGATACAAATGAAACATCTTTAGGAGAAATGATATAGATTTTATAAAATAAACCATTTAATTTAAATCAAAATGAAAGTGTATTGATATCAAGATATTTGATTGAACCTTATGGTGAAAAAGAAATCACATATAATATTAATTTAACAAAAGATAATGAAAGCATTTTGTAAACATTAATTAGAGCAATTGGTAAATATACAATATTAGTTGGAGAGGATAAAATTCATATGCATGAACAAATAAGATAAAAACTTAATGAAAAAAAAGATGATTTGATTGGCTATCTTAAACCTAAAAAATAATAAGGAAATTCATAATAATCAATATCTGCTCAATTACCAGGTAGTTTAGTGAATAGATAATAATTCAAAACAGCATTATTATAAACTTCATTAGATGAGGAATAAACAGATGTTCTTTTATAAACAATATATGAATAAACTTAGGATTTTAATTTTATTGATTTAGATATGGTATTTGAAACATGGCCAAATTCAGGACCAATTAAAATAACTAGAGTTTAGGTAGAATAATTGAATGAAGATGGTGAATTGCCTGATACAGTACGTGAATGTATAGATGGTTTATTAGAATATGCTAATAAAGAAGGATTATCAATATTAGATTTAAGAAGGTAGATTGATGAAGATAATAGTGGTCATGTGGAAAGAATTGAATTAAAATAATTTTTGGTTAAGTGTGATATACAATTAAATAATGAATAGTATGATTTAATTTTAGATCATTTTGATTTAGAAGGAGATGGTCGTATATCTACTAATGATATTGGGATTGTATTAAATAAAGCATATAATTAAAAGATGTTGGCTATGAAGGAATAAAGATCTACAAAGAAAACTTCAAAATGTATTAATATCTATATTTAGAAATCTTAAATTTGGTGGCAAATCATTTTATTTAATTTATGTAAATTAATAAAATAGATTTATTTTAAATTTTTATGACTATCGATTAGGATGGCTCTGGATCTGTTAGTAGGGATGAGTTTAAATAAATGTTGAGAACTCGAGTAAGTGTATATACTTAAATGGAAGATTGTAATTCCTTTGGATTAAGAAGAGTATGCAGAGTTTTTCAAATTGATTGATAATTCAAATGATGGATAGATACATTTCAATGAGTTTTAATAGCATATGATACCTGAGATAGAGAAGATCACATAGAAACCTTATCATGAATTATTAAATGAGCAAATTACTAAGAAAGTAGGATGATTATTATATTAATATATGGATTAGAATATCAAGTATTTAAAAATTCATTTATAGAAAATATTTATTCTGTTTATGATGTTAATGATTTTAATGCCTATATACCTTCAAATTTAATAAATTCTTCCTTCCATTTTTCATATTTCTCCTTATTTATATTTCTGACTTTTGTGAATATTGATTGTAATAATTCAACAGTCTTACAATTTACTTATACATTATTTTAATTTAAATTCAATCTCAAATTCTTTATAATAATTTTTATAAGTTATTAATCAATTAAACTTTGTACTTATTCAATATCTCCTAGAAGTATCAAATTTTCAAAGATTGAGACAATCTTCAATAAAGCAAATTCCTTTTGTTCAACACTATATATTCGAATTATTATTTATATAATAGTTTTCTATTCAAAAAGATAGGATACTCCTAATGATTTATTAGTAATCTAAACCAAAAAGGCAAGACATCTATGAAATGTAGCATTATCTTTGCAATCTAACAATTTTTAGACTTACCTCATTATTCCTTGTTTCAAAACAAATTAGAATTATTGATCAGTTCCTGATAAAACAAATATCAAATTTGTTAATATGACTTATAATAATTCATATTCGGATTCATGTTTTTTCATTAATTAAACAAATCTTGCAATTATATTAGAATCTAATAGTAATTAAATTCGTTTTAAATGATTTTCTTTTAATGGAGGTAAGGGTATCCATTTTCCAGTGACTATACAAATGCATTTTGTTATAATTCCTATTTTATTTTCTTTTTGAATTTTATCAATTATAAAGAGTAAACTAGATTTGATTAATTCAAATTTCATTGATGGCTTTTTAGTACATAATGAATAAAGAGTTTTTAAACAAAATTCAGGTTCTTTTTAGTATCTTTTAAATATATATTCTTCACATTAATTATTGAGGAATTATTTACAGAAAGGTTTTGAATGTCTAATTTTAGCAGCCTATAATACTGCCACAAGTCCAGTAAATGCAATTAAATCAATATTGGATTAAAGCATAAGGGAGAGACTTGAGATCAAACCTTATTACAATATTAATTCTACTTATTGAGATGTTCCACAAAGTAAACATATTAGGATTTAAGTAGAATCTATAGTACTTTATATTGAATATTGAACTTAAATTAAATGTATTAAAGGTTAAATGATATTATTTTGAATGATGAATTAAGTGAAATGATATTGATTCCCTGCTTCATCTAAATCAAGAGGAAAATTCTCTATATGAAATTCTAAAAAGATAAGTCTTAATAATCTTTGTAAGGCAATATGAATAGTCACATAGTCTTCAGAGTTTAATTGTGATTTAATTGATTAAATATGTTCTCTTGTGATATATATAGTGTGTATTGAATCTACTTGAGATAATAGGTAATTTCGGTCTTATTCATTGATTCTATCGTCTACTATGTATTCATCCATTAAATATTAATGTTGGAAACATGAGATATTTTAGAATCCAAATTAATATGATGACTTTTTCAATTAATTATGTTATTAAATCGGAGATATACCAAAATATTTTATAAGGGATTATAACATACTCGATATGTAATGCTTATGTGTAGAGCATATTCTATATTCAAATTCATGATGACTACTATATTTACACTTACGATCAACTGCGAAAGATGCGAGTTAACTAATTGGATGTTAGCAGTACTATTTCATTCTATAATTGCCTTTGTGTATCATACTTATTTTGGGATTCTCTTAAATAAAATAGTAATGAAGTTACCAATTTTAGTAAATTGTAATGTAAATAGCTGAAAGACTAAACCATATGATTTAAATAGAAGGAGAGTAGAACTATACAATTGAATTATAAAATTTTCAATATTAGATATGTGAAGATCTAGATCCATATTTATATTTAAGTTAAGAAGAGATAGATAGGAAGTCGAAAATATTGGCAGTATAGATTAGATACGAACTAGTATCTAAATATAAATCATTGAGAATGATGAGTATCATAATATTTTGGATTACTCAGATATTAGTAGTTTGGGCTATTAGATTGTAGATGTTTAATCCTGAACATCCTGAATCTTATTATACATGCTATAGACATGTAAATACTTTCCAATTAGCTTTCTTACTCTTGACTATCTATTAATATTTGGATGTGTACATCTTAAGTTTATTAATTATAATTGGTTTACCTTTCTTGATACCTCTTAAATTGTGGTATAAATTTAAAGAAACAAAAAAAAACTATGAAAATCAGTAATCTATTAAGGAACTGAAGAAGACATGCCTTATACTTTATCACTTTTAGAATATATAAGGAGATTAAGAATGTGGTATTTGTATGCATGACTATATTATTGATGAAAAACTTCTTATACTACCTTGTGATCCAAAACATCATTTTCATTTGTAATGCATTTAAGCATGGTTATTAATCAACTCAACTTGTCCAAAATGTAGAGCTAGCTTTCTCAGATTTAACTAACAGCAGTAATAATAATGATTATTATTGTTATCTTATATATGATAATATTTCATAATGTTGCAGATGCAATCTTTCTTTCCTTATATTCTTCTATTAATTTCATCAAATGATTCATTGATCTCTATGGATCCAATCCTTTTGGACATGTAAATGAACACATTCCTATATTTTAACAGTCTTCAACCTTTACATCCTCGGCTAAATTTAATAATATTTTTTAAATTACCTAATTTTTCTAATCTTTCATCAGTATATTCATCTCTAGAATCTACAATCCATCTATAAGCCTACATCAATACAGCTGGACCAAGATATCTATCTGGATGCCACCAATAAGAAGGACAAGATGTTGAACAGCATGCACATAACACACACTCATAAAGACCATCAAGTAACTTTCTATCTTCTACAGATTAAATATATTCCTTATTTCCTTCCTTATTTTAAATATAATAAATTCATTACTTTTGGAGTCTTCCTCTTTAAATAAGGATCAATAGTCTTATATTGAGTGTAGAAATTGGTCATATCAACTACCAAATCTTTGACAACAAACATATGTCCTAATGGAGTTATATAGGCTGGCTATGTCAAGTCAGTGTCAATAGCATGAATACAAGCCAATTTATGAAGACCATTACAATTCATAGAGCAAGATCCACAAATGCCTTCTCTACAGGATCTACGTAAAGATAATGAAGAATCATAATTGTCTTTAATGTATAACAATGCATCCAAGTACATAGGAGGTATCTTCTTTAAGTCAACATAATAGCTCACATACTTAGGGAAATCATTCTCATCCTATAATCTAAATATTTCAATTTACAGCTGGATCATATCTATAAATAAGGAATTGCTTCATTTTTGACTTCTCTTCTGCTGTTAGGTTTGGATTGTGCTCCACAACATAGTTTATTTATTAAATGCCTTTAACTGTACTAGACACAGTGTCAAATAATCTTTTTGTAGCATCATTGCTATCGTGATGATGTGTACCATGCCAGAACATTGGTTTTCTGAACACTGTAGACAATCTCTAAAGCATAATTTAATTTATTCAATTCAATCTTAACAACACAGTATTTATAAAATCAATTTTCTTTCTGTTCCTCCTACTTTACATCTTCCTCCTTTACTTTCTAATTTTCTTCTTCCTTCTTAATCTTCTCCAAAATATCCTTCTCATTTATATCTGGAAAATCTTTCATCAACTCACATTTGGCATTGTGTACCATCGATTGAATATAAAATGATCCTCCCTTTATTGGATCATTCTTATGAAACTATCTCCAATAAATCTAAAATCATTTAATTATTATATATATACTTTTATTATTTCTTCTGCATTAGTTTTCTCTGCTGTTAATTATAATATTTTAAATGCTTCATCTCTTGTCATAGGTTTATGAGTTAAATTAGCTGCTTGCATTGTTTGATTTAAAAATTCACTAAAAGGATTTGCTGATTTACCTCCCTATTCTAATCATCTAAGATATTCATACATTTTGCAGTTTATGTATATGCTTTCATGAAGGATTTGGCTACTGTTGAACCTACTTCTATAATTAATTTGATAATTAGACGTTTAACCATTAATAAAATTATTTCTTAAATTATAAATTGTTTTCTGATAGAATTATATTATTCTCTATGTCTTCTCTATTAATTTTGAGCAAACAATGATGTTTCATCATTATTTAGTTTAGGTATATATTAGAAAATAATTCAATTACTTAAATTATTATTTTTATTTAATTAGTCAATCCCAATGAATATTTAAAACATTTCAGCTGATTAGGAACTTGTTCAATTTATAAATTCTCCTTAAAATATAATGGAAAATCCTAAAAGGTTATATTAATTAATAGAAGTATTCTGCTAAAAGAAAAGTAACCTCTAAATTGAATATGATGGATCAAATTTTTGTTGCTATTGTTAAGAATTTTTAATAGAAAATAATTTCAAAATTTTACCATGCGGACACAATGTTCATTTCGAATGTTACAAAAATTATTTGATTGATTAGCCTTTTTATATTGAATCGATTGAGACGTATTCATGTTGCAAAGAATCAGAAACCTGTTCATAAATTATTATTACAGAATAGCTTTCTAAATTGATATTAGGAGATTAATAATTTAATAATTTACGAAATTTGTACATATCAATATTTAAATAGATTTGAATTAGATTTAGATGATAATCATGATTATAATGATCTATCTGATATAGAAGAATATCCATTTAAATTGTAATAAGATCTAAATATTAACGAAGAGAATGAAAAATAAATTCAAGGTTCAATTGAAAATGATTAAAAAATAGCATTGAGTATTTAATAATAAGAGATGTCTTAACAAAATTAAAATGTAAAGAAAATTAATTTTGATTGTTTAATTTGCTTTGAATCTTATGATGTGGAATCTAATGCTATAACTCTAGAATGTGATCATAGATTTTGTAAACAATGTATTCAAGAATAAATTTACAGTTAGTTGAATGATGGAAAGTTTAAAGAGAATGACTTAGTTTGTCCTCAATGTAATAAGTCAATAGATTTTCATATTATTGAGTATTGTGCTCCTGATTGTAGTTAAAAAATTAATGAACTAAGGTATTTATTATATATTAATTTAAGGATCTAAAATTTAGATAATAATTCTTTAAATGAAAGATTAGTCAGATGTCCAGGTAAAGGTTGTCCAGAATAATATTATATTTCATTTTATCTTGAATTTCCTACCTGTCATACTTGTAAATTGTAATTTTGTGCAAATGGTATTAAATCAATAATCTTTTTAGGTTGTGATAAAGTTCATTAAGGTATGACATGTGAATAATATGAAAAGAAGTCTAGAACAAAATAAGAAAAAGGTTTAGTATCATGTCCAAAGTGTAAAATATAAATTTTCAAGGATGGAGGTTGCAATCATATGACTTGTAAATGTAAATATGAATTCTGTTTTGTTTGTTCAAAACCTTATAAACCAAAAAGAGAATGTAATTGTCCATAGAATACTACTATGGATAGACTTTATGATAGATTAAAAGATTTTTTTGGTTCTAAATGAATTTTATGTTTTTTTTTGATAAAAATATGAACTAAAATATTAATAATGTCATATGAAAATTTTCATTCTTCAATAATTATTATTTGATCTATTTCCTCCTCTTTTCTTATATCCACCTCCTGAATTATCACTCTCATCATCATCTGCTTATATTCTTCTTCCTCCATTATTATTATAACTCCTTCCTCTGCCTCTATTTGATTAAACATTAGGTCTTTCTGGATCTGCTACCTTCCTGTAAGAATCTCTAACCTAATTACCTCCTGTTCCTCTTCCATATTCCCTTCCTTCAGAATATCCAATATCCCAATCCACTCTTATTGCTCTTTCATCCAATTTTAGGAGATCTAAATATTCATGTGCTTCTTTTGCATCTTCATGATTGAAATATTCAATAAAGCAAAATCCAATAGCCTTTCCAGTTTCTTTATTTCTACCCATAATTAACCTTCTAACACCTGCTCCTACTCTATTGAATAATTCAAATATTTATTCTTCAGTTGTGTAAATGGATAAATTTCCCAAATATAATGTAGTCGATATTGATAGTTTATAAAAATATTCTTCTCTTGTCAAATTTGAACTCTTGTCATAGTATTGACTAATAGGTTGTTATAGATTTTCATATAAACTTGCAGCATTCAAATTACTCATTTGATTTAAATTATTGAAGTCAAACCATTTATGTGTATAAATATAAATATAAAAATATCACCACCATTTATAACACCCATAAAATTATAAAGGAATATTAATATAAATAAATTAAATCCACTTATTTATTGTTATAATGATGACCAAGCATATGTCTGATCCTATGTGATCGATGTTAAAGGATTCTGAAATTAGTCTTTTGTATTAATTAATACAATACCAATTTTCATATTAATTATTTATTTCTATTTTTATGATTAAATTAGAGTAAAGAGTTTCTAAAATTTTATGTTGTTATCATTAAAAATACATTGAATATATGACTATTAAAAAATCTTCTAAAACTAAGTTGTTCTTCTTAAAATGCTTGCAAAATAACTAAATCAGAATTACTTATGAATATCAAATTAAATTTTTTTTGATAAAATTAATAACATAAACAAAATGAATTATTTAAATCAATATAATAAAGTGAAGAAAAAAATTTGCTTATTTTATACTATAGGCTGAAATGATTGATAATTAAATTATTGAATGGCTCTAAAAATCTAAAAATTAAAATATTTAATCTATAATTAAATGAGTAAGATATCAAGTTTACTTTTATATATCTTAAATTGAACGAAATTATTACATTAGTTCTGTTTTTTTTAAATAATTATTCTTTAATATTAATATCTGAATAAAATATATTAGAATAGATTAAATATAATTTAATCAAGATCTAAAATTTATACTATCAATAAAATTTAATTTTTATATTTAGTATAATTGAAATATAAATTCAATTGTTTTATGACATTAAAATTAGGATTAAAAAATCATGCAGAATTATAAGTATTAAATTAATAAAATATTGTAATTGGAGGTAATTCTTTCTTTTTTATGATTCCAAATATTTATTTTCAGTTATTTAATTGACTTTGAATATTAGAATATTAAAATAAAAGAAAAAATATAAAAAAATAATATACATATCATTATAATAATGAATTCAAGTAATTTAAAATATATATATTCAAAATTATATTCATTAATGATTAAGTAATATCATTATTATAGATAAAATTGATGATAAATAAATTCTTCATATAAAATAATTTAATCATTAAGGGGTTTCCTCATAGATTAATAAATTTTAGTCAATTAAAAAATAGTCATCTAATTCTTTTGATAATCTATTTTCTTTTACATAATTTTAAACCTCTTCATCCCTTCTTATTTATGATGAAGATTATAATATATAATCTAGTTGTTTTTCAAAAAGTTTTGTAAGCAAATTCATTTTCCCAGTAATTGATGATTATCTTAGAAAATTTGTATTGATTTTTGTGCCACATTGACATTTTATTATTGGTTTTCCAGATTCGATTAAATTTTTTAGGTGTTCTTCCATACAAAGTTAATGAAATTAACAATTTTTTTTACATTTAGTTTCAACAAAAGTAAAAGAAATTTCGTTTTAGCATTTTGAACACTGTCTCTCTGACTTTTATGAGGTTTGAACAGAACCTACAGAAGAAAATTATTATGAATTTCTTCTTCCAAGTTAACTATTTGGTTTTTAGACAGCACTAATAGGTGGAGAGTTTAAATTTTCTATTTCTATTGTGTTTATATTTGAAGAATTATCAATTTTACAAAAACTAATTCCCATTTTTATTAAATGCTTATTTAATATTAATATTAATGAATCTAGATTTCATATATATATAAATTATTAAAATTATAAGATTATCATATATAATCTTTATTATAAATCAATCTCCTCCTGGTGTTGAATAATTGCTGAAATATAAAAATCCAGATGAACTATCGTAATCTTGATCAACTTAATATTAATTTTAGTAATATAGATCCCATATTAAATCAAAGTCTTCACTTTTTCTTAAATATGGCAGTATTTTAGATAATTATACTGAAAATAAATAGTTCAACAATTTCAATCTAATTTAACTTTCAGGTATTCTTCTAATGATATTAGGATTAATTTTAGTTCCACATCTACATTTAATAATTGGACTCTTTTTATCTTAAATTTAATATTATAACCAATTAATAAAACAATCTTAATGATATATATGTCCACAATTTAATTTTAACAAACTTGAATTAATCTCTTTACCACAATATAAGCATATACTTACAATAAATAGTTATTATTAACTCAAATGTAAAATACCACTTTAATCTAATATGTATTCAGTTATATTTTTTGATAATTCTTATTTTTTTTCATTATATTAAAAATCATAGTCTTCTTTGTTTGTATTTAACTCTATCATCTATTAAATCTATTATACATTGCAATATTTTCTAATATTGGAATTCTATAATAATATTAATACTTAAAGAGAAAAAATTTAAAAAAGAATTTTAGATCTAATTTGAACATCTACTATTTATCTCAATATGTTTGGGTTCAATTTTGTTCCACATTTACATTTAATTATGAATTTTTCCTTTTGTTATAATTATTTTTCAACATTGTATATAAAACAATTCTAATGAAATTCATGCTAACAAACTATTTATATAAGGGTATCTTCTATTATTTATTTGCATTCATAACAAAATTTATTTTAATTACATTCACTTACTTACCTTATCAATTTACCAGATTAATCTATTATTATTGCTTCTTAGGATTGAAGCAAATTTGTATTTATATCTCCTTTTATCATTTTTTAATGTTATCCTTATAATTATTATTCATTAAATGAGAAGTCCCCATTTTATAATGTCTACTCTCCTATAGATTAAGTAGGTTTCATATGAATAAATGATGATAATGGTTGAATTTATTCCTTGTTATTATTCTAAATGATTTATTTTTATTCCTTTTTTGGTTATTATGTGGTAAAACTAGAAAGAAATGAACCCATTTATTATTAAAAATATTAATAAAATTGGCTAAATTAGTTTATTATTATCCAGTTAGATTCAATTTTGCTAATTGAAAATGATTCATTATTAATATAAATGCATACAGTATAAGTTGATTATTGTTTAACTTTGCACTTAATTTAAAGTATAATGCATTTTTAAAATAGGCTGAAAAAGGAGTTTATATAAATTAAGAATATTTATTGTTTTGACAATCTTAAAAGATTTTTAATAATTATTAGTATTTTAATTGATTTTAATAGTCATTATTGTAATCCTTAATGTATTTTCTATGTGATTTAAATTTTTTAAATAGTTTTAGAATGCTAATTTTTGATATCCTAATTTTACAATTGAATTTAATAGCTTGAAACTTATCTTTAATAATTATTATTAAATAGATTCTCCATTAATATAAATGAATGGAATATAAGTAACACTTATTTGAATCTTATCAAATTATAACTTAATATTAATTTACAGTTATTTAACTTTTCATCCATTAATTTTATTATTTTGTGGATTATTATTTTTAAAATAATTCATTTTAGCAGATCTAAGATGTAATTTTATTTATATTATAATATTTTAATTGAAGAATAGAATTTAAACATTTATAGTAAACTACTGTTTGATCTTAAACGGTAAATTTTCATAATAGTTAGAGTGTTAGAAATAAATTGATGAATTTATTATTAGTTCGATTTAGAATTAAATTAAAATAATAAATTTATAAATTGTTAACACAAACTTAGATATAATATAAATTTTTAGTTTCCGTTACTATTACTATTGCATTTCTTAATTATACAACAATTAGTATAAAGAAGAGTAAATATATTTATAAAAATTAGGATTACTATTTATTAATAATATTATATTATGAGGAAAAGAATTAGTTTATTATAGTAAAATTTATAATTAAATTATTGTTTTAAGCATTCTTATTTATTATTATTAAAATCTTTGATTGATGATCTTTAAAGGTTGAAATACTTTTGAATATAATTATTAAATTTCTTTAAGGTTTCTTTATATTAAATTAGATTAAGTAAATTTTATTCTATTTATGTTCAATCGTTTAGGTAGATATTTTATTTAATCATACATTTATTTTTTATTAATCTCTATTTATTGAATCTACCTGAGAATACTTGATTATTGATTGTTTATTTTTAGAAGATTGTCTCCAAGTTTCATAAGATTAATAATTATTTTTAATACATTTCACTATTATATTATAACCTGTAATAGATGATTATTTTTTTAATAGGATTTCTACTCTTAATTGTCTATATTGTACTCTTAAAAGCAGATATTTTTGTTCAGTTATTAATTTTGTTTGATGAAAAAAACTACTGCCTTTAGTTTTCTATTTATTTTTTTATTATAACAATTAAATTGATTCTTTATACTATTGTTATTAAATTCTATTATAAATTATATAGGGGTTGATACTCTATATTTGGATTCATTATCTAATGAATTCTTAAAAATTAGTTTACTTATTTTAAGTATTAAGTAGAGTATATTCGTTTTTGTTCAGGAACTTGAATTTATTGTTGAATAGAATTTATTTTAGTGGCGTTAGAGTTTTGGGTTTAATTTTGAAAATTATTCATCTAGTTCTATGATATGATTTATTAATAAATTAATAAGGATAAAATTAGGGTATAGGTAAATATATCAATTAATTAGTATGAATTAATTAATTGATAAAAGAATGATATAAAACAACGATTGAATTTAGAAATTAATTCAAAATAAAGTGACTAGAATAAGTATTGATTATATTATATAAAAATTAATAAGTTCATATGGGAAATTGTTTAAAAAGAAACTAAACTTTGTTATAATAAAATTAATAATGCCCAAAATGTCAAATGGTTTTTTAAGCACAATCAAGTGCTGTTTAGGTAATTATTTAAAATAAAAATAGTATTAATAACATGTTTCGAATTGTAGAGTTAGACAAATTTAAAATCCAGCTCCTTAATTAAGAAATATTTAAGTTGGTGATGTTGTTATTTAGCCTAATCATCATGCAAATCTAAATCCTAATCCAAATCCAAGAACCTATGTATTAAGATTATTTTTATTATTTTAAGCCTCATTTTATATAGGAGGATTTTCAAAATAGAAAATAAAAGTATTATTGGTGCAAAGAATTATTGCCAGGCTCAAAAATTAAATATAAATGGAATAAGAGAGTAAATAAAAAATTATTTTAACTAAGTTATCTCCTGCAATGCCAGCTGGGAATGTTTCTGAAATGCTGGCTTTGCCTTGGGTTCAAATTAAGAATTCAGAATTTCCAATCAAATAAACATGGTTTCGATTATAATTAGAAAAAAAAAGAATATCATGGTAATAAGGAGCAGAAACTTTATCTGTAAACAAAGAGAGTTTCTTAATGACTACATTAAATATGTATTAAGAAATTAATTGGCACAAAGAAGTAAAGGTTCATATTGATGGTGATAAAGTATTGGATGCAGGAGGATTATTAAGAGAATGGGCTAATTTAATAATGAAAGAAATTATACATCCAGAATCAGGTATGTTTTAATTAGCTGATTGTGAGGATGTATCTTATAAAATAAATTGTGAAGCAGATACAGATGAACATATTATAGATTGTTTTAAATTATTAGGAATAGTTGTTGGTAAATGCATTTTTGAGAGGATACCTTTAAATGTTTATTTTGATAGATCAATAATTAAACACATAATAGGTTAACCTATTTTTTTGGAAGATATTTATTATTATGATCTTTAAGTATTGATATTTTAAATTTAGTTATATTAATCCTGGGATTTTTTAGTAAATAATAAATTTGAAGCAGATGATATTTCAGAATATTTTGTTGTTTATAGAAAAAGTAAAAGAGATTACTATGAATTGAAATAAGGAGGATAAAATATTTAGTTAGATATGGATAATTGTCAAGAATACGTTAATTTATGGTAAATATATAACTTTAATTTAGCATTGAATATTATACATATATATCAATTAAGCCCTTTTTGACTGCATTTTTATCAACTTTATATAGTGTATTCAATTAAAGTTTAATGATTAGATAATTCCAAAATAATTACTTAGCTTACTTGAACCTTTAGAATTAGAAATGATTCTTTATGGAACACCATTTATTGATATTAATGATTGGAGAGATAATACTGATTATAAAGGTGCTTATTACAGAACTCATTAAACGATTTAATGGTTTTGGGAAATTTTAGAATAAATGGATTAATTTAATCTTACCAAATTTTTATAATTTTGTACTGGATCAACTAGAACACCTGTAGAAGGATTTAGAAAATTAGAAAGTAATAGAGGAAACTGCTCTAAGTTTTGTATAGAAAGTGTACCATTTACAAAAGCTAATCCTTATCCAAAAGCACATACTTGTTTTAATAGATTAGAACTACCAATTTATGAAACTAGAGAAGATATAGAATAACATTTAAAAGCAGTAATACAGGCTGATATGGATGGATAATTTGGAATGGAATGATATTTAATTCAATATTATATAATTAATAATTTAAATTATGTATTGTTATTTATCAGAGGATCCATAAATAAATAATAAACAATAGCCAAAGAAAATTAAAAAAAAAAACAAATATGATTATCACACAAAAAAAAGGAGATGTTCTGATCCTAATAATAATAAGTAATTAGGTTAAAAATTCACAACAGAGGAAGATAAGTTAATTCTACAGTTAGTTCTAAATGTCGGACCTAAATTTTAAAAAATTCATAAATACTTTCCAGGAAAAACTATAGCTATGGTAAAGAATAGATATTACAAATATCTTCGATATAAATGGGAAATCTTGGGATAGTATTTGTTTAATTTATATTTAGAAACTATAAACATTTAAGTGTTTAACAGGATTCTTATGAAAATTTATGTGAATAATAAAAAATAATGAGTGATCAGCTCAATGAAGAAAAAAGCGACTTAATAGCATAAATTATCTCACGTTCAAAATTACTTTAAAATGCTCGTATTTTTGTTGAATATCTAGTTGAACAAATATTATGATTTCATTATTGTTTTTAATATATTATCATATCTAATACTTAGACTAATTCAATATATGATTCCTTAACTTAATATATATCAAAAATCTTAATTAACACTAATTTAACAATTAATTTTAATATGAAAATAAAAATATTCAGAAATCTCTCAATTATAGAAGCCTAGTATTAGTTGATTATTATAAAATATTCATAATATTTTAAATAATGACTTATTAACTAATTGTGTTTGGAATACAATCCATCTTATATGTAACTAATTGCATAAGTAAGTAAAATTCATGTAATCTTTAAAATGGTATCGCCATCATAAAGAGGAACAATATGGAGAATATTATGTAGGTGAAAATATCATTCTAATTAATTATTCATCTGTAGTTTAATTCTTATGAATATTCCAACTATATTTATTTGAATAGAATAGAATAGAATATACATTATTATAATATTAATTTTATATTTACTAATTTATTTAATAATTATCAAAGCTATTTATTGGAAATATTTTCTAAAATTTTAATATTAGTTAGTTATCATTAACAATTGAATTCAATATTTTAAGACATAATGAGTTTTTGATATATGTAAAAACAATATTATTAAGAATAGTTAATTATAATTTATATATATATATAATTAATTTTATTAAAATAAATGTATTAATTATGGAGATTCATCAAGAGGGGTATAGTGAGCTAGCCCCATATGGTTGGAGGAGTAATAATCGGATATTTTGGAATTGGAATTATAAGCTATTATAATAGCGATTTATAATTTAATTATGTGAGAATAATAATAATATCCTCAATAGGGAGAATACAATGAACCTCATTCACACAATCATGGAGAGTAAGTTAGATAGTATTGTGAATCAACTTTATTGAAGATTAGATCACAAGTAAATGAACTCAGAGAATAACATTGAAATAATCTGAATGATAATTATATAATATATACAATCATAAAAATATCATGTTTTAACATTATGTGCACGTTAATTATGGTTTTAATTTTTATATGATTTGTAATATTCCACATTTATTGCAGAATTTACAAATAATTTATGAAAATTTCTAAATAATTTAACATTAGTGTTATTATTGGCAAAATTAAAGGCAATTATAACAAAAATATTTATTACAATTATTGCAAAAATTGACTTTGCTTTCAATTTCTTCATTTAGACGAAAAAAATAATTACAATCGTGCATTGGACAAGTAGTAAATTGTCCCATTAATTTTAAGGCTTGATGATTAAGATTTGTTTTTATTATTTTACTTTAATCACTAAATTTACAATCTTAGATTCTTATTTTACCATNCATAATATTTTAAATAATGACTTATTAACTAATTGTGTTTGGAATACAATCCATCTTATATGTAACTAATTGCATAAGTAAGTAAAATTCATGTAATCTTTAAAATGGTATCGCCATCATAAAGAGGAACAATATGGAGAATATTATGTAGGTGAAAATATCATTCTAATTAATTATTCATCTGTAGTTTAATTCTTATGAATATTCCAACTATATTTATTTGAATAGAATAGAATAGAATATACATTATTATAATATTAATTTTATATTTACTAATTTATTTAATAATTATCAAAGCTATTTATTGGAAATATTTTCTAAAATTTTAATATTAGTTAGTTATCATTAACAATTGAATTCAATATTTTAAGACATAATGAGTTTTTGATATATGTAAAAACAATATTATTAAGAATAGTTAATTATAATTTATATATATATATAATTAATTTTATTAAAATAAATGTATTAATTATGGAGATTCATCAAGAGGGGTATAGTGAGCTAGCCCCATATGGTTGGAGGAGTAATAATCGGATATTTTGGAATTGGAATTATAAGCTATTATAATAGCGATTTATAATTTAATTATGTGAGAATAATAATAATATCCTCAATAGGGAGAATACAATGAACCTCATTCACACAATCATGGAGAGTAAGTTAGATAGTATTGTGAATCAACTTTATTGAAGATTAGATCACAAGTAAATGAACTCAGAGAATAATATTGAAATAATCTGAATGATAATTATATATACAATCATAAAATATCAAGTTTAAACATTGTGTAAAGGGTTTAAATTTATTATAATTTTTAATATTCCACATTTATTGCACGATTTACAAATGAAATGTGAAAACTTCCTTATAATTAAAAATTAAAGTTATTTATAACAAAATTCAAGGCAAATATAAAAAAATATATTTGTTTTTAGATGTTAAAAATTAAACTAAAATTAATTACAATAGTTAATTTTCCCATAATGACAATTAGTATTTATTTCTTCTGATATTTGAATAGTTCCAAAATTGCAAAGAGAAAATGTATTAAGAATTTTGAGAATTTACAAAGATTTCTAAAAATATTTAATGAATAAGCTAAGAGAATGTATAGTTCGAAAAGTGATTTAGATTCTAAATTTCTGTTAATGTATTAAGATTTTCGATAATCAATTTGATCACCACATCTGATAGTTCAATTTCTTAATATATTTTTATTAAAGTTGATATAAATTTAAGTCTATGAAATATTTGATAACATTATCTATCAATAGATTCAAATTAATATATTGTTAAATAATATTTATTATCTATTCATGAAAATCTTAATAAATTAAACATCTTAACTCATTCTTAAAATATTACATATTTATTGGAAACATAACTTTTAATCAAAGATTGCAATATTGCTCAAAACTGATTGAAAAAATTATTAAATCATCTGAAGTGATTAAAATTTCTTATATATGTACTTCTTTTACTTAAAATTATAGTTTTATCCCTTCTTTATTATTTTAAATCATTCAAAAATGTTAGTCATTTCTCTAAGATAGTTTATTGATAATCTTTTTAAAAACTTATGTATATTTTATAGAATCAAATTTTGGTGTCACAAACAGAGTAAATTAATTAAAAACATTTAGTATGTCCTTTTATTTTGCAATAAAGAAAAAATTAAATTGAAATAAAAAATTATAAATGGTTATAATTTTGATATACTTCTTTAATTATTCTCATTATCTCTATTAAATTAGTTTATTCTTTGAAAATTAAAAAAAAGCAAAGTAGAACAGAATAAAATTTATAATTATTATATAATTATAAAACTTTCATCATAAAACACTACATAAGTCAATTGATATTTCACAATAAATCCATCATCAATTTTTTAAACTATTCCAAACTCATCTAAACTAAATAAGATATATATACCCTTTTACAATTACAGAATTTAATAATATCATCTTCTATTTTCTCTTCATCACAATTTTTTAATGTACTGAAGTTTGAAGCTATAATATAACCTCTTTTTGATATTTCTTTGAAAGTAGCATCTAAATTAAAATCTGTAATTAATGCTTATCTATCACAAGAATGAAGAATAAATTCATCAAGATCAATTTCTCCATTTCCATCACAATCAATATTTTCAAAAAGATCATCTATATCATCTTCAATTCCCAAGGCTATTTGAAGTTCTTACTTTGACAGAGTTCCATTTCTATTATCATCATTCTTCTTAAATATTATCTCCAATTATGATTATCTTTCCTTAAAAAAAATAAAATTCATAATAATTAAGATTTTTTGTTGAATATATGATGTTTTTTTAACTGATTTATTGATTATAGTTTCAGTATATCTTGCTTCCTATTTTTAAACTATTTCTTTATATTATTTATTCAACAATACCTACTCATATATGATGAAACTTCTTGATTCAAGCAATAATAAAACTAAATGATACCATTCAGTCTTTGTAGGTAAATCTTTTGGTATTTTAATGATCATTTCAATTGTTTAAGAAGTAATTTATTTATTGGTTATTAATTAAAATAAAATAAGGCCAACAGCTTGGCGATCATTTTTTTACATTTCATTAATTTTTGACTTTTCTTTAACTTAAAATATTGGAATAATATCGATCAATTTTACATAATGATTATTTGTTTAATCATATAAAGCAAAGCTTGATATAGATAGACTACCATGAGAATTTCCTTATTTATGTATTTCCTATAGTATATCCAAAATTTAAGATATTATGTAGATCGCCTCTTCTTCTTTGACTTATCCACATTTATCTAATAACAATCCCCCACTACAATATTCTTAAACTGCATAATAACTCTTGGAATCTTAGTATAACTCTATGATGTTTGCCAAATGAGGAGAACTCTAGATATAAATAAAATAAATTACATAAGTTTGTTCTTATAGATTGGCAACAAACGTATCAAAATTTTAATCTAGTTCAACAGGTTTCTAAATATTTCTTGCTACTCTTACTACACCAGTAACATTATGTTGTACTAGTCTCATATTATCATTATCTAATGATATTTTATAATCATACTTTGATATACAAATTAAGAATTAAGAACTGTATAAAACCTAGCCAATGATTCTCCACAAACCCTCTTTTTTATTTTTGAAATATTAATGCTTTTGCAAGAAATTAATTTATCTTTTGAAATGCAATGTATAGAAGGCATAGTTTTATGTCGAAGACCATTAGTTTTGCTTTTAGGTCTCTCTTAGACTGTTTGTTCACTAACTATTTGAAGTTATTTTTATCTTTGAGATTTTTTTCCATCAGAACGAGACTAACAAACTCCCATATTTTTAATAAATAAGATTTTAATTTAGATTAAAGTATTAAAATACTAATAACATCAACGTATTACCATTATTAAAAATAATTAATCATTTTCAAAGATATAAATTGTCCATAATTGGTCTCTCAAACTTGTTATAATCACATTGTTACTATGCCTAAAAGTAAATAATATTTCTATATTGTGATTGGTATATGATTTATTAACAAAAGAATTAAAAATAATTCAATTTGTTTACAACAATAATCCATACCTGGATAAATTGAGTAGAAATATATATATATAATGATTTCGTTTGTTTAAATTTAAAACGAGCTCAGCTTCCGGAATAGGAGCCTTGCCCGCAACCTATTAAATAGGTTTAAACTTGGATAGGTTTAACTCTGAATCTTGAATGATTAAGTTTTTTAATAAATAGTTTTTGCTATAAATATAATATGATTAATTTTATTTTTATGGGTTATAATTTTATTTTTTTTTAATTAATTTTTTCTAAAACTTTTAATATATTTTTAATATTAATATAAAAAGAAAAGAAAAGATCATATATTGCTTAAATGTTATTCTTAATTATGAAATTAATTTCTAATTTAATCATTGTATAATTTACAAAAACAATAGAGTTTGGAAAATCCTAACTACCATTATTATCTATGAGATTCTAATGATTAATAAAATTACAAATTTAGAAATAATTAGAAAAATAATTTATAAAACTCTCATCATATCAATAAGCGATTAGGAATACCTTATTTTATTTTTTTATATAAAATGGTAGTTTTCTTTAATTTAAATTATCATATATAATCATCAAAATCTGAATAAAAAGCGATGGAAAAATCGGTTATACTAAAATTGTTAGGGAGAAACCTTCAACTCAAATAAAATATTTGACTTTATTCATTAAGTTGTAGAAATTATAAAATGAATACGAAATTATTCTAATCCAAACATTATTATTAAAAATTAGTTTCTATAGATGAAAAATACTAATGCAGTTAATTTATAAATATAAATATTATACAATTTTATATAGAAAAGTAGATATAATTTTCATAGGGGTTTCAAAATATTAAATAACAATTGAATCTTTAATAATAAATAAATTTTTCCTGCATTTATTATAAATAATAGTAATTTTTAAGAATTATTGAGAGATTAATAAATAAGTAAAGAATTTTGTAATTAACAAAAAATAAAATTTAGATATTTTGTTTAAGTATATTCTAATACTTATTCAATTTCAATTTTTATTTATAGTAAAATTGTAAAAAAATAGGAATTAAAAAAACAAAATTTGAATATGTTAGTTAATTAATAATTAAAAGAGGTTTAGATTGATTAGAATGTAGTGAATTTTATAAAATTATTATTTTTAATATAAATAAATTCAAATTTTTGTTTTTTTCTTTGATATTTTTATTCTGAGATTGATTTGATGCTTGTATAAAAATCACTGCTAGTACGATATTCATAATAGAGAAATATAATTATTAATATTTAAAGATATATTTAAAGCAATTTTAATGGACTCACACCCAGCTCATTTGAGAAATTAAAAAAAAAAGATCACTTTGATATTCTAATCAAGTTAAAATCTAAATTAATTGTATTCATGAATTGCAAGTTAATAGATCACAGAAATTAGTTTAGACAAGTCAATCAGAAATAAATGTACAACCAGGTCCTAGACTAAATCCAAATAAAATTCAAAGCAAATCTGGAGATACTGGAGATTTACTTGAAAGTGGAAATTTATTACTAAGTAATGAAAGTCTTGGCTAAGGTTTATTTCCTTAACAATTTACTTAAAGTGGTTCTCTTCTAAATTAATATTGTCCTCATGTTACGCTAACTCAAGAGGTAGAAAATTGTTTGTTTGAATAAATAAAGATAGCTTCTACTTGTAAATTTTAGAATATTTGCAAAATGAATTGCAAAATGAAATTTAATCCAGCATATACTAATGTTTAATAAATATTGTTATATTAACTTCATGAAAATTAGATTGTTGAATTAAAAAACATATTATAAAAAAATAGAGGAAAGAAGATTTAGGTTTGTGAAGGGTAAGGATGTGAATTCTATTTTATTTTGAATGACAAATTACCATAAGGAAATTATTACTGTCCTCTTTGTTTAGAAAGTTTTGAGTTAAAAATATGAATATTTAAAAAACATAATATTTATTTTAATATTAATCTTAAATTTATGATTCTATTTTTATTTTCAAATGATCAAAATAATAAGATAATTAAAATCAATACATTAAATAATTTGAAAGTATCATCATGATAATTTAAAATTAAATTTTTTTATTATACTTAAATAATAGCATAATTGATATAAATTAAATTTAATCTTTTAGAATTCTAAAGTTGTTTAAAATTGATTAATGTGATATTTTTGCTAGAAAACAAAAAGTTTATTAAAAAAGTTTTATTTTCTATAGTTTTTAATAATAACTAATTAATAATGAATAGTTGTTCTCCAGTATTAAATTAATCCAAAGTGACTACATCTGGATTCTTAAAAAATTTATTAGATTATAAAGCTTCTCTAACCTCAAATGGATCTAGCAAAAAATAATCAATTTCAAGTTTTTAGAGAGACATTTCTCATTTAGCTGATTCATTCAGACATAAGACTTTGTAATAACAAATAAAGGAAAAGTAACAAATAGCAGAAATGCGATTAAATGAATATATACTTAAACAAAAAGAGAGAAAACAAAATCAAGAATATATTATGTAAAATCAAAAGTATCACTATAAAACATAAAATATTGAAAACACTTTTGATGATGTTCTATAAATTTTAGAGAAATATTCTGACTTTAATTTAAATTGGGTAGCTTAAGACTTATAGGAAATAAGTGGAAATAGGAAAAATATAATGTTAAATTTAAAATCAAAATTAGTAAATGGTATAGAAAAGGGGTATTTTGAAGATATTTAAAGTACTCAAAACACTGAAAGAAAATTATCCATAAAGAAAAAAATAAGTACTTATCTGAATATTATTTGGGATAGTTAAAGAGATGAAACATACAAGTACACATTTCTTTTCAAATGAGCCTACTGGAAGAAATGATGCTATAAATCTAAAAAAATGGTTATAAAATCAAATAGAGAATATATCTTAAAATGCAAGTATTGATCATAAATCTAAATTATAATAAGCTAGTGATATTTTATTTATTTGTTTGAATGAATTAATTAGATAGGTTTCATTTTAATGTACAGAAAGAGGATAATTAATGTTAGCTATCTTTAAAGGTTATATAACAGTATTTAGAAAAACAATTAATATGTCAGAGTCTGATAAGTAATAAATATAAATAATGGGTTATAAAAATTAATTAGAATTATAAGTAGAATTTGAATAATAATAAGATGAATTAAATGAAAAGATATTAGATTACAAGAAAGTAATATAGAAATTAGAAAATTAATTGAAAACTTAAAAAGATGATGAATAAAATTTAATTATTATAGTTTAAAAATTGAATAAATAGAATGAACTTGATAAAACTATGAAGAAAAGTGCTGCAACTTTGATATCAAATTTAAATAGAGAAATTAAAGAATTAAGAAATAAAATATAAAAAATTTAATATATAAAATAATCTGGAAATTAAATTATTAAAGTAGAAGAAGAAGAAGATGAATAAGATTTATCATTATCTTAAGTATTAAAAGAAGTTGAATAAAAAACATCTGTTGAATAAAATCCTGATATTGTTGTTAAAGATATTGTTGATGAACCACCAAAGATAACTTACTCTGTTTATTGTTAAACTGAAATACCATTACGTACTTTTGAAATTTAAACTGATTTAAATTTAATTGGTTCATAATATGATAGAATAATCAATCAATAAGAATTAGATTAACATTTAAAAGAATTTCAACTTAAAGAATAAATGGGTTTCTTTCTTTCAGATGATCAATAATAAATAAACAATAATAAAAATTGTTAATGTTATCCATAAATGTATTAAGCAAAAGAATAGAGAGCAAGTTTAATTAGAATATTAGATGGATTACCAGGTAATATGGATCATATAAAAAATATGAAAAAGGAAGATATGTTTGATTTATTTGTCAATAATATGAAAACATTGAGAGAATTATTTGATAAAGAAGAACCATAAGAAAAATAAGTTTTGAGTGATTCTGAATAATCAATGTATGTAGAGCCTCCAGAAATAAATAGTGATGAGAGAAGATCTATTAATAATAAGGATTCTAAAAATAATATTAGATTGATTGCAGAAGTTGCAGAAATGGATGAAGCTTCTCCAATGCCAAATGGTTAATAAAGAATTAATTTTAGTTTAAAGAAATTATCATTTGAGAAAATAGAAGTTTAAACAATTAAAAATAATACAAATTCTTAAAAATAAAATCAAAAATCTAATAAAAAATAACTTGAAAAAATGTTTAGTTCAGATAAGTTGACATTACCAATTGTAAAAGAATTTTAAACAAATGAACTTACATAGACATAAATGCTTACTAATTCAAATACACATATTAATACTATAAATACAAATTCTTCTATCATTTAAAGTAGTCAAAATTTATAAACTAATACTATAAGTAATAAATTTGGATTAAGTAGACAAGAATAGATTTAATTGAAAACTTAAGTTGCTATGTTAATTATGTTGTATAACTTATAAATTTAAAAATAATAAAATTTAACTAAATCTATGAATGATTTTGCAGGATTATTAAATTAATTATTTTCATTTACTAGAAAATTGATGATTCATATATTAAGAACATAATAATAATCTCATAAATAAATAGCTGAATAATTCTTAGTAGAATATGATTCTTTACGTAAAAGAATGCCTGTAGAACTAGATGCAGAAATTTAAGAAGAAGAATATCTAATAACTGAATTTGATGAAGAAGAAGAGAAAGAGAAGAAAAAATAAATACTTTTTAAAAAAAAGAAAAATAGAATTACAAAAGCTTTGCAATTTAATTTTTAATAAAAATAAAATAAAGTAAATGTAATTGATAGATTGATGCATCCAGGAGTAATATTAGCAATTAAAGCTAAAGAATAATCATATTTATTTAAAAAAGTTGTAAATTATTGGCCTTTAAAAAATGTATTAAGAACAATTACATAATTATATGATGAAAAAATTAGAAGTAGTAAAGATAATGAATCACAAAAGGATCTTGAAATGCAAATCTTTGTTTTTAATAATTTTTTAAATAGATATGGATTTAAGAATGTTGCTGAAAAGAAATATTTACAATTTCTACTTTCTGTTATTCATTTCTCATCTATTTTTAGAGTAAATGTATTTGCAAGAATGATTGCTATATTATAAGATGAACATTTGAATTTTTCAATAGAAGAATCATCTTTCTTTTTATAAGGTTATGATTTCATGTGTTCTGAATCATCTTTAGGAGTTAATGTTGTTTAAAGTGAAAGTGAATAAAAATTTCATGTTCCTTACTTAAGAGCTTTGGATTATATGAAAGTATATTTAGAAAATAAAATGATGGAAGATGAACTTAGAGATTTGAAAATTGATTTAGAAAATTTAAAGGAACCAGATCCTAAGAATTTAAATAAATAAGGATTGATTGATGTTGATAATTTCCTTGTTAAAGTAATGAATAAATATAGAATTATTACAACCAGAACTAAAGAATTTGTAATTCATGCATTTTAAGCAGCAGATTTAGATGGAAATAAAAAAATTAATAATAATGAATTTATTACTTTATTTAGACATATAGAACATCAAAAATTTAATTTTAAAGATGCTATGAATTTATTTTATGAGTAAGCTGACATTATATAAGGAGAAGAACGAAATTTATCATTTAATAGATTTACTTCATTATGTGTTAGTCAATAGATCTTTACTTTCTAAGCTCTAAATCATTTTATCAATGTTAAGACAAATGATGATGTAGAGAAATAATTTTAATAAATAAGATAAGAATGGTCTAATTATAAAATGGATATTGAAGGCACTTTAAAAGAATTATAACCATATGTTACTCCAGAAATCTTTTAAGAGTGGAATACTATTTTGAAAACTCTTGAGTAAAGAATAATTAGTTAATCAAATTAATAATCAAACATAAAACCTATCTTAATAGCTCATAGAATATTAAAATTAGAATTACAGAGATTATTACATGTTGGACATTAAGAAGATGATATTGATGAAAATACAATTATTTAATGAACAAAGTTATATAATATTAACAAACGCTTCTTTATATATAAATATAAATCATACAGGACTTATTTAAATATCTTATTTAAGTTTTCTTATGTCCCCAGAAAACATATAATCTTATAATTATCTATGATATTATATAAACTATCTATCTAATAATTCATATTAAGCTCTTTGACCAAATATAGATTGTACCTTTATTATATAGATATCAAAATTACTTGGAGTGGTCCAAATAGTAATAAAGCTTTTGTTAATATTCTAGCCCATCTTTTCTCAATTCTATTAAGGAAGGGAATTTTTTTATAGAAAATAACTGATAAAGCAGATACTGTAAATACACCTCCTCCCAAATAGACATAATATTTATATAACTCTTATTATTCTTTTTATTCATTCTGAGAAAATAAAACCATTTATTTTTAATGCCTTATGGGATTGAATAATTAATCTGTAAACTCCTATAAACTTACTTATTTGATATGTTTGTATATGTAATCATTCCCATAGAAATCTCTTTGCTGCATCATAGATAAAATTTAATTATTTTTATTGCAATTTATATTACTAAAAATGATAAAGGTTTACTCTATAAAATTCTATGTATTCTTTATATTATTATGAAAATGTAAAAATTGAATTATATATATATAATAGCTGATTGAAAATGAATTAAATAATATTTTATAATACAAATCTTCAAAGTATAGAAGTTCTTTATTATTGAAATATCTAATTTAATTGATTGATTTATATTATATTACTAAAAATTAATTATAAAATGGGAAATGAATTTTGCCTATCCAAAAGATCACCAAAACGGACAATTTTAAATGACGATGAGAGACAATAAGTAAAAAGATTGTACAAGAAGCTCATTTCTAGACATGATGAGTAAGTTATTAATTTGATTATTGAACTTACAAGAATGATTATTTGAATGAAGAATGTTTTCAGTATCTCCTGAAAAATAGACCAACCATTGCTTTGAAATTATTTAAATACATGGTCTTTCATCACTCTGATGAACGACCATCATTTGAGGCTTTTGAAGATTTGGGTAAGAAACTAATCTAATAAACATAGTTGGTAAATTGACTAAACCAGAAACTCTGAATAGAATGACTAGAACAGAATAATATTCAATAATTTCAATTTAAAAGATAAATATGGCTAAAATTGATTATGATTAGGAAAAAATCTCATATTTAGATGCATTTGATTTATTAAGTGAAATCGAATACTTCATATGGGAATAAGGATATTTTGTTACAGATTATTTAATCTAAGATGAATACACTACAAGATCAATCCTAAGTAGATTATTTACATCTTCTGCTGGTTCTATAATGTTCTATGAACTTACAATATTTTTAGAACAAAACTTTCCTTGTTTATCAATATTATTAACAAAATATTTCAATTAATTATTTATTTCTTAAAGAAATTATAATTAATTATCTAAATTTCAAAAACCCTCATATTTAGTTAATAATTCTACTTTTGGATATATGGCCATTAGTAGTTCTATTATTTAAGAAGCAGATTCATTTGAATTGTTATGGACAAGTGTAAGAGGATGGAGTTTTGATTAATTATATTCAGCTTTAATAGGATTTAAGGGAGCAACACTTATTTTAATTAAATTTGATGATAGTACTGAAAATGATAGTGATGAAGAAGAAAATGCAAAACAAAAAAAAATAAAAATTAAAAGTAATAAACATTGTATTGTGGCAGCATTAAATTCAACATAATGGATAGAAACAAATTCATATTAAGGAACTAGTCAATCAATATTATTTTAATTATATCCCACTTATAATCCTTTTAATGTAGCAAATGATGTTTTTAAATCCAAAAGACCTGGATCTTAAAATTATTGTTATATAAATAAAACAGATAATAAGAAAGGATTAGGTTTTGGAGGAGATATGAAATAATTTAGATTATGGATTTCAGCCTAAAATATGTAATAATCAAGTTATGCAGCAAAGCAAGGAGAACCATATATAAAAGGTATTTAATAATAAATAAATTTATTATAGGAGATTTGATTGATCCTTCAATTTAGACACCTACAATCACATATATAGAGGCATGGGGAGTAGGTAATTAAAATTTGGAATGTGAAAGTAGTAGTGAAGAAGAAATAAAGTGTTATAGAGAATCTACGAATGATTTATTATTAAAATATCAATCATGATTATTAGTAATCTAACAATATAATATTCAAAATCTAAATAAATAAAATTATATATTTTATAATAATTTATAAATAGAACTAATTATAAGATAATATATATCTTGAATAAATTTATTGCATATTTATATAATACTAATTTGTGATTGCAATGGATAATAAGAGAGAATTTAAATATATTTTGAATTGATAATAAATCATTAATATTAATAAAAATGATGTTCAACTTAAAAACTGAAGAGTCTTTTGAATTAAATACAAATATTAGAAATGATTTATAAATGTAAAAGTCTGATCGAAAATTTGTTTTGCATGCTAATCTAAATGAAATATCAAGTAAAAAATATTATAAGGAAAGAAGATTAGTTCTACCTTAAATTTATGTTCCCTATTATTAAACATAATAATCAGAAGATAGAAATCCTGGTATTCACATTTTGAGAAAGTAGTTAGAATGCATAAAATTACCTGAAATTGATGAGAAATTCTTTATAAAAAAGAGTAATAATACAGATTTGATAAAGAAACCAAAAATTTATTCACATTCTCATTAAGTATCAAGAGAAGAATTTGAATTTTTTAACTCTGATAAAAACATTAATTATTAATTTATTAAAAAAGTAGATTTTTAAGACAATGTAATGATTTATGATTATGTCAATCAAACATAAAAAAAAGATTGTATAAATGGTTAAGGTAGATCTATAAAATTAAGAAGATTATTAACAAGAAAGATTAGTGATGATCTCACTAAATAATACAAGAAAGAGAATAATTTATATAGATTAAATACAAAATCCCATTTTTTCTAAGAAAATGAAAAAGAATAAATGAAATTAGCCATTAATGAATAATTTTAAATTTATGATCTATAATTTTGAAAAATCATATTTTATATATAATTTTTTAATTTTGAGACTTAGGAATTAGATTTATTATTAAAAATTTTATAAAGAATTATTTATTAATTAGTTATTAAAAATCATTTTTTTAATACTTTTAAAAATAAATTTTGGATCAGATATTAAAAAAGTCTAATTATTATAAATTATAATGGAAACTAAGTCTGAATATGGTCTATCGAAAGAAGGGTAAAGTTCTTTGGGTAAAGTTGTTGTTGAGATAAAGAATGTTCTATTTTCAGTGACAAGGTAAATGCTAATTGATGATGATCCATCATTACTTTTAAGCATTGCTTCACTATTAATCCAATTATTTTAGATGACTCATATTTGTTTTAATAGAAATCTTTATAAGGCTTGGAAACATGATGAAATAGCTGAATAAGTAAGTTAGATAACTGGCTATGTTCTATTATCACCATAATATGATAAGATGTCATATTCAACTATGGTAATATTAACATATTTATTTGTTGGCATCATTGCATTAGAAATTTTACTATATTTAGTATTAAGTAATAGAACAGAGAAATTGAGCAAAACTTTACCTATGGCTATGTTAAAATCAATAATAAATTTGATGCTTTCAATTTTATATATGCCAATAGTAGATTTATTTATTTCAGTATGGACATGTCAAGACTCTTATCACTTTTCATTTACAAATTATGAATGTTGGACAGGCAGTCATACAGTTCATTCAATTGTAGCAATAATCTTTTTGATAATATTCTACACTTTGAGTGCTATTCATTCATTTCTCTATTATGAAGCTCGATTTGTTTATACTAATCCATTATCAAAATAGAATGGATTTGATGATTTTATTTTAAAAACATATATTGTGATTCAAGTATTGAATTACTCATTTATTGAATCATAATATGTTTAAGTGATTTTAATAACCTTTGGAAACATAACTCTCTATATATATAATTATCATTATAATACACATAACAATTTGATTATATACAAATTATGGTAAATGATAATAGCAATAAATAATTGGACTTGCATAATGTTAGCCTTCAGTAAGATTCTAGAAGATGTTATATTTAGAGGTACAATATATGCATGGCTTTTGGGAATACCTTTATTAATTATAATTGTAATATAAAATCCTGAAGAAAGAATGGATTTATTATTATTGGATAATATGAAAGGAACAATAAATTAGATATTGTTATAGTAACATCATTTATTGAGATTGCATAATTGGAATACTCAATTATTTAATATCATTTTAGATGGATATTTAAAAACTCATAATTAAACATGTATTAGACCTGATTGTGGTAAAGAATTAATTAAGATCATTTAACAAAATTATTTAGATGCAAGTAAAAGATTTCCATATGATTATCAATTAAAGATTAGATATGGATTCTTTTTACTTCATATTAATTAACGGTAATATGCTTTATAGGAATTCAATTAAGCTTAAAATTTAAATCCTACAATGGATTATGAATTTGTATTGTTTAGATACAAGAAAATAATTGAAGATGAAATGAATGATTAAAATGTTGAATAGATAGATACTCATAATGAAGCTATTTATTTAAATATTATTAAGAATTTTCAAAGTAAGATAGAAAGAGTTACTTTAATAAATATGGATTTTTGGTCATAATTATAAGAAGATTATCCAGATTTAGGAAAATTGAATTAGATAGGTTTAAATATTCATAATTTAATGAATGAAATTGAAATGACATGGAATCGATTGTAAAAGACTAAATAAAATACATAAAAGAGTTTAAAAATGTATAGTAAATTTATGATTGATGTTGTATAAGATTAAGAATATGGTGAATTGTTATATGAGAAATCTAGAGTTATGGATGCATCTTATATAAGAAAAGGTATATAGATGGCAAGTAAGGAAGAAATCAGTATGGAAAGTCTACCAACAATGATAATATCATTAGCTCCTGATAAATTTGGTTAAATTATTAATCTAAATACTGCATGTCATGTATTTGGTTATATGAAGAATGAATTAATTAATAGGAAATTGAATGTTTTAATCCCTAATATATTTTAAAAAGCTCATGATTAATTAATGAAATTAGGATTTGATTAAAAATTGAGTAAAGAAAGATCTATTTATGTTAAGAATAAATAGAATTATATAATACCATGTATAATAGAAATGAAATCATTAACATCTTTAGATTAATCAATTATGATAATAGCATAATTTAAATTATTCAAACCATATAAATAAACTTGTCATATATTATTTGATAGTGATGATATTATAGATTCAATATCATTTAATTGTATAAGTTTACTTGGTTTGGATTTACGTTTGATTTAGAATAAGAAATTATTGGTTAGTGAAATATTTCCATAATTATAAGATAAGAGTGAATTCTTAATTAAAGGTGGAGGTGTAATTTAATATAAGATTCCAGAAGATATAGCTAGTGGTTTGATTTAATCAAATGAATATATTGATGAGAAGGCTAAGTTCTCATAAGAATTTGTATGTACATTAAATTCAGTGACATTAAATAATTAATAATTAGGATATATGATGAAATTAGAATAAAAAGAGAATGAAAATAGATTAATTCCATTAAAAAAATAAAGATCTAATTTTTAATTTAAATATAATGTTGGTAAGAAGATATATTTAGGTGAATTTTCTACTGATCAAGTCTCAGCTATTCATGATTTATCTTCAATACATGATTAAACTGTTGATGTTAGTGCTATGTCTATTAAAAATTAATCAATTACATAAGTAAAATCATCAGAAGATTAAAAATTTGATTATGGTGAAGGTATTAAAACATTACAACTTTTTTAAAATCGTATTCAAGAAATTGATAAAGAGGAAATTATAGAAGAATTTGATGAAGAACATTAATAAAGTGTATTTTAAAATAATATTGAATCATAATAAGAAAATGAAAGTAATATTAATAATAATATATTTAAATCAAGAGCATCATTATAAGAATAAATTAAAAATTAAGGTAGAATTTCTATTATATAAAAAATGATTTGGTTTACAAACATTTTATATTTAATAATTACAGCTTTAGCATTTTTTGAATTTTTTTATTTAAATCAATAATATAATGAAATTGAAGAAAATATCAATCTTATTGGTAAAGAAAATCAAATGCATGCTGGATTATAATCTATTTTGACTAATGTATAAAATTTGAAGATGTTAAACTTAGGTGTATGGTAGAATACAAATAAATCTACATATGAAATAAGTTAAAAAGAAGCACTTATTAAATAATTAAATTATATATAAGATTTAAATAAGGAAGTATTAATGAGTGATCTAAAATTAACAGACATTTATTCTAATCTTAAAGTTTCAGATGCTATTAAAATGTATTTTAGCACAAATTAAAGCTAATAGTATGATTTTATGGAAGCCACTCAATAAATTATAAGTAAAGGAATTGAAGTATCAAATCTCCCTTTAAGAGAAATTACAGAATACTAAACTAGTGTTTTTTTTGTAGAATACAATCTTTTAAATGAATATTGGATGGCTTTATAAGAAGTGTCAGATTAATTTATTTTAGCATTAAATGACAGAACTACTAAACAGGAGAAAGTTGAAGTTATTGTTATTACACTTTCTGCTATTATGTTATTTATGACTTTGATTATTTATTCTATATCAATTATTCTATTAGCATAAATGAGATTATCAATACTATAATTATTTTTAGATATTCCAGAAAAAACAGTAAAATATTTCTATAGTAAATGTGAAAATTATATAAGTAATTTATAAGTAGGAGATGAAGATGAAAATGTTTCATTTTAAGAAGATTTAGAAGAATAGGCAGAGTTGAATAAAACATTAAAATCAAGAAAGAAGAAAAAGAAGTTTATTAATTCTAATTAAAATCATAAGGATCATATTTTACTATTTGTATTTTCTGTTATGATCTTATAAGGATATTTCATATTTGCTTATTTTGTAACTTAAAATGAATTAAATAATTTAAATTAATAAATACCTGAATTTAATATCACAACAAGATGTGAAGGTTTTTATAGATTTTGTGATAATTCAGAAAGATAACTCTTTTATAATCAAGAAATTCGATTACTAAATCAATAGCCTTATGAAGTTATCAAATAAAATATAAAAGATATGTATGCATATGATACATAAATGTAATAACAACATGCTTTGAATATTGATGTGTAAAACTCAAATTATAGATCTATTTATGATCATATTATGATGTCTGATCCATGTGATGTGTTACCATCATATGGATCTCCAGATACACTTACTTGTCAAGCTTTTGCTAGAGGAGCTTTGGCATAAGGAAATTCGATAGGAGTAGCAAGATATATAGAGAATTTAAGATACATAATAACTATTTATGACAAATTCAAAGGTCTTGGATCTACACCCAATTTCACAACTGTTGCAAGAGGGGATGCTGTGTATTCTAAGATAGTTGATGATCCTGAAAAGAATAACATATTAAATTTGAATAATTTCAATCAAACTAAAGAGGCTAGAACCTATTAATCTTATTATTTAACATGTAAATAATTTATTTATATTATTATTTTTAGCATCTTTTCAATACTTGATTGATCATATAATAGATGGATTCAGTTAAGATTTAAGTGATCATATAGCTTAGAAATTGGCAGTATTTATTGTTTTTAATGTTGTTCTTTTCATAATGTAATTTTTAATTATGTATCCATTCCTTTTGAAATTGAATAAACAAATATCAAATACAAGATTATTATTGACAATGATCCCATTGCGACTAATACTCAAAATATACTCTATTAGAAACTTTATCAAAAATAATTTATCTGATATTTAATATTGAAATAATTTTATAAATGAAAAAATCTCCTCCACATCAAAAAAAAGAGAAAAGTCTCGAAAAACAAGGAGATCAAGATAAACAAGAGAAATTCGAAAAATCCCATAAAACCCTTTAACCTCTAGATAAAGTTAGAATACCTAGAAATGTGAACTTTTATCTCCACTTTCTATAACATCCAGAAATCACAGAAAATGATATTGAATGGGTTTTACAACTTAGACATTGGGATGCTGTATGTCTATTTTATATTAAATATCTAGAATAAAATGAAAGAGTTACTTAGTAAAATACCTAATCAACCATATTCTCTTGCTGATAAAAAAACCATATTCTCTGAAAAAAAGCATGACGTATAGGATATCAAAAACAAAGACAATGTTGCTAGTTTCATGCATCTACTTAATCATCGTTTAGGATTGAGTGCATCTGGAAGTTTAGCAGATTTTGAAACTGGATTGAGAAGATATCAAGATAATGATGATAATCTTAGCAAAAGAGAAAAAGGATGGTGGTATATACCAAAGAAGGATCGACATGATTTTCCAGAATTTCCTAAACCTTATAAAGAGTAGATGGAACTTAAAAAGTCTTTCAGTACTGGCAAGTTTAATACTATGAAATTCACATACTCTGGTTTTGAAGGAATGCAAGAACTACCACCTTATACCATGAAATTTAAGCAAGGTAATTGTGGAAGTGTCAAACATTTATTTGGTCCAGATGTCAGAATGTCTCAAGGATAATGGGAAGAAGGATTAAGAGATTCATATAATAAGAGAATACCATAATAAAATCGAAATAAAGAAGAGAGTAAAAACAAAAAGAAATTGGATCCAATCAAGAAATGATTTAAATTTATTAATTTGTTATAAATATATATTTCAAATCTAATCTAATATATTATTTAATTCTATGTATATATATATTCTAAAAATATGTTAGTATTATTTATAAGGAATTCTTCATTCAAATATAAGTATTCAATATATTAATTGGATCTATAAATTATTTGATACGTATTAAAAATAAATCTGAATCTCTAAATCGAAGAATATTTATGATGCAATTAATGTTAACATGTATTTTAGTCGATATAATTCAACTTATTTTATATTAAAATCAATTTCAAATATTTTTGTTAATGCTTGATCAAAATTTGAGAGGAGAGAACCTCAAAAATCTGAAGGCCTACATTCTATTTAGAATAAAGAATTATATATATAGATTAAATTATTATTAATTAAAGAACTAAAAAATATTGTTATTGATTTCTGTAAAAAATTGCAATTCATATATATATATATAACTAATCAAAATAATATAGAAACTATTACAAATGTATACCTTAATAATTAAAATATATTAACTTATAGTATGTCACAAAAGGTGAACATATTTATTAGTGGCTATACATATATATGAAGAAAATTAGAAGACAGAGAAATATTAATAAATAATCAAATTCACTACAAATCTAATAGGGTTAAAAATTTAATTTTTAAGATGCATAATCAATGAGAGATTATGATGTTTAGGGTAACATGAAAAAATATTATATAAGATATTGAAAAGCTAGTATTTGTCGAAGGAGTGATGATGATATGTAGTGTTGAATAATAAAGTTAATATATTGGATTGAATAAAAATTTAATTTTAAATTATAATTTATGGGCAGAGACTTCAGAGGAGGTAGAGGAGATACACGAGGAGGTGGTAGAGGAGGAGATAGAGGAAGAGGAGCTCCTAGAGGCAGAGGAGCCCCAAGAGGCGGAAGAGGAGGTCGTATGGGCGGAGCTCCAAAAGCGTTCGTAGTTCCTCATCCAAGATTGGCTGGAGTGTTTGTGGCTAAGGGATAATAAGAGGCTTTGGTTACTAAGAACATGGTGCCAGGAGAATCAGTTTATAATGAAAAGAGGATATCTGTTGAAGACAAATAAACAGGGGAGAAAGTAGAATATAGAGTTTGGAATCCATTCAGATCAAAGATAGCAGCTGGAGTAATAGGAGGAGTGAGTGATATTTTCATAAAGCCAGGAGCTAAAGTTTTATATTTGGGAGCTGCATCAGGAACCACAGTTTCTCATGTGTCAGATATTATAGGATCAGAAGGTATACAAATAAAGTTTAGTGTAGGTGTCGTATATGCTGTAGAGTTCTCTCATAGATCAGGTAGAGATCTTGTTAATATGGCAAAGAAGCGAACAAATATTGTTCCTATTATTGCTGATGCTAGAAAGCCTTTAGAATACAGGATGCTTGTTGGAATGGTTGATGTTGTATTTGCTGATGTAGCATAACCAGATTAAGCAAGAATTGTGGGATTGAACTCACAATATTTCTTGAAGAAGGGTGGTCATTTTATGATCTCCATCAAAGCTAATTGCATTGATTCCACTAATAGAGCTGAAGTTGTCTTTTAGCATGAAGTGCAAAGATTAAAGGTATATTAAAATTCTTATTATTTTAATAGGATGAAGGTCTTACCCCATAAGAATAATTGACTTTAGAACCTTATGAAAGAGATCATGCTATTGTTATTGGAGTATATAATGTTTGAAAATTTAAAATATAAATATTTAATGAGTCATTATTAAAACCCTACTTATAATCATGCTCAAATGAAATAGTAAGTCGGAGTTTCGAATTTGAAAATGATGGATGGGGAGGACTTGAGTAAGTCATCCTATTTCATACTCTATTTTAGCTGCTGGAGATAGAAGAAAATTGTAGTAACTGTAAATGAAAGATTGGGTTTAATAATAAACATAAGATAACTAAGCCAAAAAACAATTGAATAAGCAGATTTAATAGTAATATGATTAATAGACTTTACAAATCAATCAGAATTTGAAAGATTTAGATCAAGAGCAACAAAGAAGAAGAGTTGAAATGGAAATTGCTAATCAATAAATCAATAACTAAATGGCTAAAGAAAAATAAGACAGAGAACAATATATGGAAGCTTTGGCCTAATAAGAAAAGAAGTAACATTAATAAGAAATAATGAATAATGATGTCTGGACTGAAAAGTACAATCCTCCTTTATTAAATATCAAGTACTGCAACCTGTTAAAGTTCTTTGGCTCCTCATAGAGTCATACCGTACCATTATAAGGGAATGTCAGAAGAATAGAGATAATAAATTAGAAATGATTAAGCTATATAAAGATAAGGAAATGAACAGAAAAGATAATAGGAGAAGGAAGATGAGAAGATGTGGGCACAATATAATGAAGTATGTGAATATTTTCATATATTATAGCATAATCGAAAATAATTAATTATTTAAGAAAGAGAAAAAGCTCGTAAATTGTAAACTTTAAGGAATAATTAAAAAGAGTTTAATTTACTATCCTAAACTGAATAGAAATTAAAATTAAAAAATGAATATGCATGATAAATAAATAAAAATTTATATTTATAATGATCTAAGAGATTACAAATTTCTCAATACCAGAGAGTCCAAGTTGCATGGATATATCAAAAGAGTTTTTGGCGATTGGCACTTTGGATGAAAATGTATTTCTCTACTCTCAACCATTTCAATCCAAATCGAATGAAACCATATTGCAAAATCATCTTTTTGGAGTCATAGACTTATCAATCAATGCTGACGAAACCTAAAGTACTTAATTACGATAATAAAAATATCAGTTGTGGTCTCATCATTAGATAATTATCTTAGAATCTGGGATATCGATGATAAGAAGCTAATATCTGAAATATAATGTGATGCCTTTGCCAATTGGAAAGTCAGATTTTATGATTCATCAATAGTTGTGACTTCTGGGGAAATGGGAATCATTAACTTTTATCATGTTGATACCAAAGAGAGAATTAAAAAAATAGAAACAGATCCAATTTATTATTCATGTTCACTTTAGATTCATGATTAATTATTAGCAGTTGGGAATGAAGGTGGGTTTCTATATTTGATTGATTAAAACTCCTAAAAGAAGTCAATCAAACCTCATTCAAAGCCAATTAAGACTTTACTATTTATGGATAATAATAAAATTCTTACAGGATCAGAAGATGGATTAATAAAACTCATAGATTTAGAGAAATTTGAAATCATTTAATAATTTAGAGGTCATAAATATGGTGTTATGGATTTCTGTAAAATCAATGAGAAAGTATGAAAATTCAAGATTATTCAGTCTTTTGTCAGTTGCTCTACAGATAGAACAATACGAGTATGGGATGTTAATCAAATATACTCTCAGAAACATATACAGTCAATGAATGACAAACCAGGAGTTATTAGTGGTATTCGATATAAGAATGACCAAATCATAGCTGCTCATGATTGTGGCATAATAAGTTTTTATGCTATATGATAATTATTATGTGTTGGATGCGTGGATTATCATTTTACAATCTTATCTCTTCTGTATTTGAAAGGATAGTTTGATATATCTTATAATGGGGAAGCTCTTTCTTCACTTGGATAAAAGATATTAGTAAAGAAACCATGTCTATTATTGTAAGACTCTCTAATTTATCTATGTATCTCTTAAGTTGTCCAAGTACGAGGTACTTATTCATTTAATGCCTTCATATTTAATCCAACTCTTTTCTCTATTAAATTTAACAAATTTAATTTCTCACTATGATAATCTTTCAACAATTCTCATTACTTTTATAAGGCATTGTAAAATGGATTAAAATGTAACCAGCCTAACCAAAGAACACCTGAAATAGCTGCAGGAATCAATCTTTATGCTGATACTGAATACTTTGTAGCAATATATGGCTACAAGGCTCCACTATAATGAAAGAGAGCATAACAGGCAACTGGAAATCCCCAATATGCCCATGTATTTAATCTATCCTTTAAAAGGAAAGATTTGATATCTTCTGAAAATAGCACTCTCTATTTATAAGCATTCAGAAGAGATATAGATTTCTCTTCTTCAGTATAGAAGTGCCAGATTCTTAATTCGAAAGGAGATCGCTAATCTTAAGTCATTGTTTCAATAATAATAATTATAAACCAATATTTATTCAAATATTTCTTTGACTCAAAGCTAATCAATGAAAGTAGATTAGCATGTGTTAAAGGTTTTGGATTAAGGATGAATTAAAATACAGTTTTTTCTTTTAGGTGTTCTGGTTACATTTTATTATTCATCTTTTGTGGATATTCTCTCTCTCTTAATAACACCTTTTTAAGGTTCTATAATAAGGACTTTATCACAAAAACTCACTTTTTTTTAATTCTGCCTTTAATATAATTATTTCATCTAATCTTGATTATCATTTAACTTGAAGAATGTGTTATTCTTAATAGATGATTTCATTTAAATATAGTTATTTGCTTAAGTAACAATTTAGAATTCTTAAATAGGTTTTAATTTAAGTTTCTAAAATAGAGATGGTGTTGATATGAATATATTCCTTTCGGATTGAAACATAGGTCTTTATTAATCAAGTTTATTAGGTGAATCAATGTTAATTTAGAGTTTTCTCGTAATTTTAAAAGATTACAACATAATTAATATTTTATATGATACTGCATTAATTAAAATTGCTTTGAAAATCCAAGTACAATAAAAACCTCATAAAAAAACTGTAGAATGGAGTAGAATTGAAAAAAGAAATATTAAATTTACATAAATTCAAAGCATCATTTATACTCTAATCTGATTTGAATTGAAAAAATATCCATTTCTTAATTTTGATTCTTTCTCAATTAATTTTTCTCTCTTTTTTATTCCTACATCTGTGTCTATTACAAGTACAAGATTCTAAAAGCTAACCTTCTTATGAATTGATGAGGGTCTACTATTTGATCCCTTAATATTATTTGTTTCTCTTTATTTATTTATCAAAATAGAAGTCAAAGATTTCTCAGATTAAGTTAACCGATGAGATCTCAAATCAAATCTTTTTAAGCTAGGTTGACTTTTCCTTTAAAGATATTCCTTATTAGATTTGCATGAATCCAATCTCTAATCTATATAGCTTGATTTAGATTAATCTAAATTAGTGGATTTCTTCAACTTGTTTTCGATGTACTTCTGAAAAACTTAGAAATTCCTTTTTGAACAAATGGAATTAGTATCCTTTATAGAGTTTACATTAGAAAATGTAAATATCTTAGACATGATTATAGTATTGTCTAGATTAATTATATATTATTTAGTTGATTTAATTAAATATTTACTGTGTACATTTCTATAATTATGTAATCAACAAATTAATTAAATCTAAGTCAATATTTGAGTTAATATCTTAGAGAATCCATATTTTTAAATTAAAGCGAGATTAAAATAAAGAGCTTAATTCTTACTGATGACAAAGAAAATTATTTATATATATATATAAAAGAATTTTATATTCATTATTATAAAATGGCCCAAACTTCAAGATGCCTAATTCTAAACTTTTCAGTATTACTAAACCTTATATTATCAAAAGTTTCACATGGATTTGAATATCCAAATGTTAAGCTATGATCAATAAATAATCCAAATTTGTCTCCACAACCTATACCAATACCTGTTTCATCACAATAAATAAAATTTCTATTTTTTTCTGTCCAAAAATAACTTTTAATTTCATTTTTCTAATAATATAATAAATATTTCATACATCTTAAACATAATTAAATAAAAAGGTTTCTCCATTCCCTTTGAATCCTTGACTATATTATTGAATTTCTGTTGATATATAAGCACCAAAAACATAATTATCAAAATCTTTGATAATAATAATGATAGGATATTTATTTTTAATTTTATAGAGCATATTTTAAAAAGATGATCCATCTTAGTCAATATTATAAAATTTAATCCAATCAGCTAAACGATATACTGCTGGAATATATTCAATTATTTATTTGTAAGTAGTATCAGTAAAACAATTAGATGACTCTTTTAAAATTGGGACATATTCTAAAGAAGCCCAAAGTTCTATAATAACTTAATATATTATATACTTCCCATTCTTTCTCCAATTACATCTTAGATTTCATCAATTTCTAACTATTTTTTCTCTTTAGTCTCTATTAAATCAATATATGGTAGTTTTGTTAATTTAGATTGCTCAGAATATCCAGTACATGCTTCATTTATGAATTTTACAATAAATGCACAATTAGCCTTTTTAATTTCTTCAGAGTACAATTTTCCATCCAAATCTCTCTCAGCATGCTTGATATTAATATAAATTATATTACTCTAAAGAATACAGTAGCTATACTCCTTTTCTATTTCTTATATTTTCTTAATTATTTAAAATACTTTTTTTCAAATTTAGGTTTGCCAATTCCTGACAATAAAATTTAAATAATGTAATCTAAACATCCATTTTAATTTTTTAAAACATATGTTACTGCTTCATTGATATCAATCATTGAAATGCAAGCATTCATTCTAACTTTATTTTATTTATCTTGTATTTGCTCTTATTAAATTGGATCAAATAATACTATGTCACCAGTTAGAGTCAATATTCCATTAGAATTATATTTATTATTGCAATAAATAACTTCAACTAAATATGAGATATAATTATATAATTACACTTCTAACTAAATTTATTTTATTCCCATATATTTTCATTCTTTTTACTTTAATCAGGAATCTTAATAATAGAAAAACGAGGTTGATTTGTTATTGGAACCTTTAACATTTGACCTTTAAAAATCATATCACTAGATAGATTATTGATCTTCAATAAATAACCTTCATTGATATTAAATTTGAGAGAAATTCCAAAAAATGAATCATCTTCTTGAACAACATAATCCATAAATTCTTCTTATTATGGAGGAGATTCTTCTCTTACTTAAAAAGATTGACTTCTTTATTTTTTATTATATGTTTCTTCAATTACATTCATGGTATTTTCATCTATTACTTAAAAGTCTAAAGTTGATGTTTGGTGAACAGGAGAAGGTTCTTTTTGTTCAATCTAAAATGATTATGTATGAGATTTCTTTTTTATTGAAAATGCATTCTAAAATATTTTAAGCATGTAAATATTTTAAATTATTATAACATCTTTTCAGATTAGATAAAGTAGAAATCATTGATAATAATTTAATAGTTAAGTATTGCATAACCAATAATATAATATGATTTTATATATATACTAAAATATACAATACTGAGATATAATATTTTAAAAGAAATCTATGTCATAATAATACATATTATTATTATAGAATATTGAATTCTTTAAAATAGAATAAATTTAAGTTTAAATTTGTTTATAATTATAACAATTATTGAACTATAAATTGTATTGATATAAGCAACGTTTATTATAGATAAATATTAAATATTTTATATTATTTTGATTTGATTATTGATTAATTTAACAGAAATATTTTCAAAATAATATTTTACTTTATAATGTCTCTAATAATTAATTATATATTTTGATTACATTAATACTTTGTTATTAATTATTAAGAAAGAATGTATAAGAATTTAATTATCAATATTTTAAATAATAATGATAATGTTTAAATAGTGGTTTAATTCAAATAATTGATATCTTGAAAATTAGGATGACTTTTGAAATTTAAAGTTTATGATAAATGTTTATTTTTATTTACTTAATCATTAATGTTTAATCTTATAGAATCAGATAAATACAAAATGAATCATTAGAATTTCAGATTCCTACTGAAGAAGAGACAAAATTGTTAACTCTCTTTTAAGCAAAAGATGCAAAACTAATTACGAATGAAACGATACCATTTTGTTAATTAAAAGAAATAAACTTAATTTTTGAAACAAAAAGATAACATTTTGAGAATATTGTAACTATGGTACATGTTAGAGATGGTGTTATATTTATCACATCAGATTATTTACTATATTTGATGAAATTCAATTATTAGAATTTTAGTGGTGAATTTGCTAAAATAGCATGGAAGGCAGATTTCAAAGAATTAGGTTTAGATACATTAGCTGAAATGCCTCAATTATTATATTGTAGTACAAGTAATTTAGGTATACTATTTTAAACAAGAGGAGCTATATTATTTAGTGTTTAATAAATGGAATAAAAGGCAGCAAAACTTTAAATAAGAGATTTAAGTGAAATAAAACATAGAAAAGAAAGAGGTGTTACAAAAGAATATGATAATTATATCTTTTCATGTGTTGGATAAGATGGTTTAGATCTTTATAAAATAATTGGAAATGAATTACATTTTATTGATTAAATAGGAAATACAAGATTTAAAGATTTAGCAATCTTAAAAATTGATAATACAATTTATCTTATTTTATTAGATGAATAACAATAGAGTATTTCTGTCTATTAGATGGATATAGTTAAGATTAAGATATCACTTAAATTGTAAAATAAATTTTAATCAATCAATCTGGAATTTATTGCAATTGATAATTATAAAAACAATATATTTGTTGTTTATTAATACCATCATAAATATATATGTGTAGAATATCTTTTTACAGAAAAAGAATTAATTGAACTTAATTCATTTGAAACATTTAGTAAAATAAAAGATGTTGATGTTTCATAATAATTTGCTATCTTATAAGGATAAAATAAACATCATATTATGTTTGTAACTAAATTTGATGGTCTCTAAATTAGTCATATTCCTTAATATACATTATTAGGAGCAATTGATATTGATTTCTTTTATTTGACTAATATAGATCTTGCTATGAGTCATTTAATTGATTAAAATGATTTTTCTATTGAGAATTTCTTTTTTGGAACTTCTAAATCTGGATTATTTTTTACTAAATTTAAATTCTAAGATCCTTATATTATTTGCAATCCTCAATCAAATCAAAAAAATTAATAATAAAATTATTCAATCATTCAAAATGAATCTGTTATTATTTAAACCAATATTTAAAATAATGTGATATTATAAAGATAGACAAATATTACTATTATGGTTTTTGATGAAGATGATAATACTTATTCATAAATCATTTTATATTTGGGAATTCCAATTGGATTATCTATTTTATTAATAGGAATATGTTTTTGGTTTATATCTAAAAACTAAGAAATTGAAAGATTAGAAACAGAAATAACTGCAATTAAAAGTAAGAAATCTTCTGGATTAGCTGTTGCTGTAGAATTCAATACACCTTAAATTATATAGATCATAAATTCTCCTATTATACCAAGTCCTTTCTCTAATACTGAAAGAGCAAATGTAAACACAAATTTAAATAGAGATATTAATGCTGATGGTTGATTAAAAGAATAAATAATAATAATTTTATTTATTTGAGATATTATAACAAGTTTTAACAAGTCATTACATCTTTTTTTGAAATCTCTTATACTATTTGTACTTATTACTATGTTACTAAATATATTCCTCTTATCTAAGACGTTATTCCTCATTAAATTCTTTCATATTTTCAGGTATCCATAATTAACGACTAATCAATGATTCTTTATCTACAGATTCCCATCTACTTTTACTTATACCTAATAATATTTATGTCTTATATTCTTAATCTTTTTCACTTATTTCCCTTTTACCATTCCCATCCTTATAATAATATTTCCATTTCATTGTAAAATACAATCTATAAAAAATTGAATAAATAAAATTTAATATTGCTATAACCCAAATTTCTTCAAATTTTGGATAAGACCATGCTCCTGTTATCTTAACTTCTTTCAATGTCTCTTAAATCACTTCTTCCTTACTCATATTAGATTCCTTTTATCTTTCATTTACAACCTTTTTGAAATGTGTTGATTCCATCACTCTTCCAATTGCATTTTTATACATTCCAATTCTTGCCACATATTAAATGATTGATAAAAGTAAGGTTGAAACAGAAATTACAATATAAGGATTTGTTTGTGGATGATAAACCTATTGATAATATCTATAGTGATGATAAAATTCACTTCTATTTGGATTTTCAAGATATTCATCATAAGCAGTTTTTGTTTCCTCATTACTTAAAACTTCATAAGCCTAAACTATCTTAACATATTAAGTTTAATTCCCTTCATTTTTATCAGGATGAAAAGTTCTTGAAAGTTCTCTAAATTATTTCCTTATTTCACTTTATTAAGCTCCTTTCTTTAAGAATAACAATTAGTAGCAATTATCATCTCCACAAAATTTATCCTTAATTGAGTATGATAAGCAAGTATAAATGATGCAAAAAAATATTATGTATGAATATTTCATAGATAAATAAATTACTATTAATTAAAACTTTTATTATTATTAAAAAATAAATAAAGTATTGAATATATTATTATACTTCCAAAAAAACATTTTAAAAATTTCCAATCATTTTAAATTGAATAAATTAATAGATAGAAATATTATGTTTATATAATATGTAAAAACAGTAAGAATAAGAAGTTATAAAGAATTTAAATTATCAAATTGTTATTAATAATAGGATATTTGATTTATTATAATTAATTAAAAAGTTTAAAACATTCTATAGACTATTTATTTTGTATTAAAATAACCATAATATTAGTTAAAAGTTAAGATATAATATTCAATTCAACTAAACTTAATGTATGATATACAATTAATAACTATCTAAATATTAAATAATAGTTGATTTAATTTTTTTTTAATAATTTTCAAATAAGCTTTACACAAACTACAATAACAGCTACGACTATAAGGATAATACATATAGCTCCACCAAGTTTTTTCATATATTATTTATGCTCTACTTTTGCCTAATTGATAATAATATATTAAATGCTTACTCCTTCTAATTCAACAACTGCCTCTTTTACATTTGTGTTTGATTTATTTATATTGTTTTCAGCAACATCTAACATCTTACCTTAATCCACTACTACTTTAGCCACTTCAGTTTATATTTTAAGAACCTCTAAGGCATCCTTTTAAATTTCTTATTGTATATAATAAAATAATATACAATCTATTTCTTCTTATTGTTCTTAAATTAACATGGCCTTATGTTAAATATCAGGATGAACTTCCATTTCAGATAATTATTCTAAATTAGGTCCTTTTTCTCCTGAATCTTCCTCATCATAATTGGTATTTTCATCATAAACATATGTAGATTTTCCATTTATTTTCTCTTTATTAAAGGAAAAATTTTACTTGCATTTTACATTTCAAGTTCTCTTGCCTCATTTTAGTTTATTTATTTAGGGTTTCTGATTGACTTTGTGATTTCAATAAATATATTTTATTGCTGATATTTTATTTTAATGTACCTTAGCATATTCTTTTTTGAGCATTTAAATTGTCATATTTTCTGATTTATTGAATTTGCCTTATTTAAATTTGATTGTTAATGCATCAATTAACTTTTGGCATTTTTGTTTATTCTATATTTTGTATATGCATCATATATTTACTATTTAAATTTGTTCTTGGTTCTCTAAATATGAATATCATTTCATACCTTTCCCCTAAAATTAATTTTACAACTCTTACACGGTCTTGATAAGAATTTACAAATTCTCTTAAACAAATTCAAGATCTTAACTACTCATTAAAAAAATATAATTAATTTATTGATGAAAATATACATATAGTCCCCTGTGTTTTAGAAATTCATATTCAATAATTAACACTAAAGGAATAAACTTTAAATGCCAGTATCCTCAGAGAAAATTGAAAAACCCTCTCCTATGTCCAGATCTTTAACAATTAAGTCGTACTAATTTTAAGCAAATTAAATAGAAGAAAGTAAACTCAAAATACAGTTGAACCAAGAGGATTGTCATTATCCATATCAAGAGAAACTCATAGAAACTTTTTCAAAGATCCTATTTAAAATAGAGTATAACCTACAGATCAATTTCAAACTATGATCAAAGAGATTTAAGTAGGAAACTCATTATAAGTTATTACAAAGTTAGAATAAGGTCCATTTACTAAAAAATCTTATTTGATTTTAGGAATTGCATACAAACAACTCAATCAATTTGATAAAGCAAGAAGTTGGGTAATTTGTGATCTTAATAAAGTTCAATAAATGCTTATCTGAGTATCCCAATTATTTGGATGGCTATATTTAATCAGCAGTTTTAGAATTTAAAGCTTAAAAATACTATGAATCTCTCAAACTCATAGAACAAGCCTTACTTCATAGTCCAAATGATAAATAGGCACTCCAATATAAGGCTAGATGTCATTCAGCTTTAAAGTAACATCAAAAAGCTTTAGAAATTTATGAAAAATTAAATAATACAGACTTTTTAGGTAGATCACGTCATTGTCTATCATTAATTAAATGTAATTAATTTGATTAGGCACTTGTTAAAATTGACACAATTTTACAATAAGATTGTGAAAATGCTGAAGCTTTGTTATTAAAAGGAATAATATACTTTAAAAAAAGTAAGTCTTAAATTAAATCTATTAGAAAATTTTATAGAGTCCTAAATTTATATTGAATAAGCTATTCAGATGTCAACATCACATTAATTAAGTGCCAAAGCTATTTCCTATATTGTGAAGTCTAAAATATGTTTAATGGACTTTTATGAGGCTTAATTACATTTATCTAGAGCAGATCAATTAAAAAAGAATTTTAAATGCATATAAAAATTGAAACCCTTTGTGAGTGGAACTGTCAAATTAATGAAAAGATAGTTTATTTAAGGACTTTAATTAATTAAAGATTTAAAGCCTATAAGCAAATTCATATAACCAATTTACTATAAATTTTTAGCTTATGCATAATTTTGTACATCTGATTATGTATAGGCTTTGAAATCTTATGAATCAATCAATTAGATTGATAGAGGTTAAGTGTACAATAAATATGTAGCTGAAGCTCTTGTTTTAGTATAAAAATGTAAATTATATGAAAATAATCAGGTTAGTATGAAGCATCGGTTAGGTTGTTAGATAAAGCTAGTGATATATTTCCAAATAAATTAGAACCATATTATTATAAATGTTCGATTTGTTTACTTGATAAATTATATGATGGAGTATAAGAATGTGAATAGCTGCTAGATTTAGCCTTTTCTAAATAAGGAAAATAGCCCAATATCTTTTTTGCTAGAGCTTTAATGAAATCTTATAAAAGAAGATACACTTCAGCTTTGAAGGATATAGAGAAGGCAATTGATAAAAGTGAAGATAGTATAAGTGATCATTTTTACATCAGAGGTATCTTACATGCTTAAAGTATGAGATTGAAAGAAGCTATAAAGGATTTTACAACAGCAATTCATTTTAATAAGGAACATTCAGAATCATATTTAGAAAGAGCTAAATGTTATTAGATAAAAGGAGAGTAATTAAAAATATCATTTTTAGTACAGCATAGAGTTTTGGTGATATGAATAAATATGTTAAGTATAATAATTCAGATGAGATTCATTATTGGAGTGGTAGTTTATTATTTCATAATAATGCTTATGAAGAAGCTCTAAAAGCATTTAATGATGCAAAATAAACAAATTAAATACTTATATTAAAATTAAAGTGTGAAATTAAATTGTAATAAATAGATAAAGCTTGTATTATATCTAATTAAATAACATAATAAAATGTTAGAGAATCTAAATATAAAATAGATTCTTAATTGTTGACATATATTAAATAAGTTTTGGATTTTACATAGAATAAAAAAAGTTGTGATTTAGTACAGTTTCCTAATATAGATTAAAATGAAGTTGGTTTAATATTTTAGACATAAGATATTCTATTGTTTAAAGCATCAAGTATGATTTTCTAACAAAAATACAATGAAGCAATAATTATTCTTTAATAATTAGAAAGTTATTGGTTGAATTCTCAAAAAGATAGATTAAATAGTATTTCAAGCCATTAAGATGCTGATTCAGAAAAGAGTGAAAATTTATCTAATGAGATGGTTTTGAAATCAGAAAGAATAGTGTAACATATAATAGGTATAAAATATAATATGGCAATCATATATTTATTGGTAATAATTTATTATTATTATTATTTATAGATATCATAATATACAAATGCTAAAATGAAAGTTGAAGATATAAGAGAATAAGTAGGGAATGTAGTTTCAGATGAATTGGATTATTTAAAACTTTTGATCTAAAATTAAATAGATAAAAAATCAACTAATGTTTTTAGTAAGTCTATCTTAACATTTTTGATGAATGAGAAAAGTCTTTTTAATGGATTTCCAACAATAAAAATATCATTATATAATTAAGGAATTTTTGAATGCAAACTATCTCTTAACTTTCCAGATATCTAACCTCCAAATATTTGTCCAGAATTTAAGAAAGAATTTTTGTTTATGATTAAAGTAATTTTATACTTATTTAAATTTTAGCCCAATCTTATAGAAAATAAACCAGAAGCTCCTTGGCTTTAAAGGACATCATAATAAATACTTGTTTTTACTTAGAATTAATTGAATGATGATTTAGATCTTACAACTGATGACGAAGAAGAAAATAATGAAAAAAGAAAAAAGAAGAGACAAGTTTAAAATTTGGAGATAGATGAGAAAGTATAAAAACGTTTAGATTAGCTGATTAAAAAATTATGACTATTATATAATTTATATTACTATTTATAACAAATTTCAAAATGGAAGACATCAATTATAAAAGTAATTAGCTCTATCTTAACTTAAGTTGTTGTATTGGGGGATGCAGGAGTTGGAAAAACCTTTATTTTAAATAAGTATGTTAAAGGTTAGTAACCTACAAATAATTCATCTACAATTGGTAACACATAATATTAAAATAAGGTAGGAATTGAATTTGCAACTAAAACTGTGACATTATCAGATGGAGGAAAGATTTAAGTTTAAATTTGGGATACAGCTGGATAAGAGAGATATAGAGCTATTACTACTAATCATTTTAGAGGAGCAGGAGGTGCTTTGTTAGTTTATGATATTACTAAAGAAAAAACATTTGAAAATTTAACAAGATGGATGGAAGATCTCAAAACAGCAGCTAATAAAGATGTTGTTATGTATCTTATTGGTAATAAAACTGATTTGGTTGAAAGACAACCTAATTCAAGGAAAGTAACAAGAGAGGAAGGTTAATAATTTGCTATTAAAAATTAATTATACTTTGAAGAGACTTCTGCTTATAGAGGAACTAATATTGTATAATGTTTTGAAAAATTAATCGAAGGTAATTCTACAATTTAATATTACCTTTAGAAATGTATTTAAAGAGAAATTTATAAATAACGCAATAAGAATAATAATAGTAAAATACTTAATTGAAACTTATCGAAACTCCAATGTGCAGTAAATGCTGAATTATTTAGTATTCTTATTTACCAAATTATATATATATTAGACTTAAATTATATTATAAATTTTATTAACACATATATAAAATTATGAAAAATCATTATATTATTCTTAATTCAATAATTAAATAATTATTATTTGGATATTTGCTTATTTATGGATGATAAATTATTTCATATATATAAATCTATTTAGTCTTTGTTGTCGAAATCTTTAATTAACAAGGATTCATAATATTAACAATAATCTTTTGTTATATCTTAATAATCAAGTCAAGAGAAATTTGTAGTCTTCAGTGCTCTTATGTTAAATTACATAGAAGTTAGTAGTACTATGTAATCTTTATGAATTAGAAATGGCAAGAATATTATATATAACAATTAGATGTTATAATTATATTATTAAATAAAAATAGAAATATTCTAGAAAACTATTCAATAATAAATTTTATCAATCGTGTCAATTTCATAATCTAATAAGTCAATGTCTTATACTTAAATATCAATAATAAATTTAAATGAAAGCATAGCATCTTATGTTAGTGTGTCTTCTGATTATGTTTGCATCTGCATAACTAGCAGTAAATATATATGAATATATAATCAGCCAATCAAAACTGAAGAAGAAATAAAGATTGATTTAAGTTTAGAAGAGAAATTAGAAATTAAAGGAAGTAATGATATCAAGCAAAATTAAATATTCAATAAATTGTATGAGGTTGATAAAGAAGCATATGATTACTTGAAAAAATCATTTAAGAATGTTGTACATCTTGTATTTGAATAGTAATATACTTGAATTCTATATTATAGAAATGAAGAGGAATCTTAAGTTAAATTGCTTAACTCAATAATAGAAAATGTTAATTTTACAAAAATAGATGTAATATTCGTTAAAAGTCCTATTGGATTAATTGAATTAAATAAAGGAATTATTGTCAAGAATTTTGATAAAACCTTTAGGATTCACAATTTTGAGAATCTTCAATCTCAAATATTTGGTAATCATATTATTCTATATTATAGATATAATTAATCCTAAAATTGAATTCTTATAAACAGAAGATGATGTAAATAAATATTTCAGTCAAAACTAATTGAATTCATTAGTTCTTTTACCAGATAATTATACATTTAGAGATTAAATTATAGAAGATCTTGAAACATTAATTAGAAATGGAGATCTAAAAGAAGCAAGAATAGATGGATTGAAAGGATATAATTCTAATTATAAGAATTTTACAGCTCCAACCTTAATATTACATAAGGGAAATAATAAATTTGAATAATATGAATATAATTTGACTTACACTGACTAAATTTTAGATTTCTTTTATTTAGAAAGCTTAGATTTAGTTAATAGATTAGATGAAGATAATTATGCAAGAGTATTTGGAGGGCCAGTTCAAACATAAGTTCATTTATTGATTAAAGGTATTTTAAGATAAGATTTATTTAATGCTTATTATTGGGTTGCTTAAAATAATAAAATTAATGATTTAAAATATCATCGTTTGATTTTTACTTATTCAACATTTGATGAGAATCCAAACTTATGGTCTTTATTTGATTTTGATTAATCTACAAAGACACCATAACTTGTTATTACAGAAACAAATTTTAGAAAATATCAATTACAAAAATATATTTGTCAATCTGAAACTCTTAATTAAGAAACTATATAATAATTTATTGATGATTTTAGAAATAAAAATCTAACAGAATTTTACAAATCTGAACCTATTCCTGAATAGATTGAAAATTAAGACATTTATAAAATTGTAGGATCAACATTTTCATAAGAAGTTCTTAATAAAGGAAAGAATGTATTATTATTATTTTGGGATTCAAAAAATAAAGAATTATTTGATGATTATTTCAAACTTCTTAATGAATTTTCATTAATTTAAAATAAAGAAAAGATTAAAATTGGTCATATTGATCTTGCAAATAATGAACATCCTAAAATAACTGTTGATTCAGTTCCTAAATTAATGTTGTATTTAGCTGCAGATAAAAAAGCACCTAAAGAATATTTGAAAAGTTCAAATCTAGTGATTCAAGAACTTAAAGCTTGGTTGGATTATTATATTGGAGATGGTATTGCATATAAATAAGAAAAAACTGATTTGTGATTTATCTCTTGTGTTTATAAAATATTATGTAATTTAAATTGAAAAATATATTATATTTAATAAATATAAGAAAAGTGAAATAAACTTAAATAATAATATATTTATAAATATATTTAACTTGTTAAATTCATCCTTCAGTATTTATTCTTTTTATTCTTTTCTTTAAATTTTAAGGAAATCTTTAGGCTTGACTAAAAGTAAATTATTATAAATTATTCTCAAGAAATGGTGTCATTTAATCAAATTCAGTTAATACTATATTATTTTTAGATGTATCTGTTTCTAATTAAATGTTCTTTTTAGCACTTGCACTTCTATTTTTTTATTTTAATTGAATAGGAAGTTTTGAATTATTTATTAATAATTATGTTATTTCTTCTTTTGGAGTCTATTATTATACAGACTTTTTCATATAACCAAAATCAAATTTACCTTTTTTTGGAGAATCATGAATTGAATCATTATTAGTTTTTTTAGTAGATTATGAATTCTTAATTAATATTTGATTTATATTATCTGGTTTTTCAATTTAGATTTTTAAATTTTATGTTTTTGCACTTTCATAATTTAATCTCAATTATTCAGTTTATTAATTTAATATATGAACTGTCTATCTTGCATTTGATAATTCTTTTTATACTTCTTCATTTTAAAGTTTAAATCTTTTTAAATCTTGAACTTCTCTTCTATATTTAAAGAGATAACCTTTTTATGATCCTATTTTTTATTCTGATTATTATAAATCAACTAATCTTTAAAAATGAGTTGATTTCCAATACTTAACTTGATCATTAAGATCAAGATTTTTTTAATTTTATTATTCATATAAATCCTTATATTTATCTATTTAACTTGATAATTAATTAGTTAATTCAATCAAATCTTTATTTGCTTTAATAATATTTATTTCTTATAATTTTAATTAGTTTATTTCCTTTTCATAATTTGATTTAACTTCTTCAAATGATTATTACAATTTACTATATTTTTTATTTAGTTCTTCAAAATTAAATTTAAGATCATTATTAATTTTAAGTTAATTATGTAGACTTTCTTTTAAATGATTAAGTTCCTTTTCTAAATTATTAATAGTTTCTTCTAGTTTTTTATTCAATTATAAAAATGTATTTTATGATGTAAATTGAGTTCTTAGTTTAATTATTTCTTATTCTTAAATTTATATCATAGTTTCAGAACTCTTTAATCTTAATTCCTTATCTTATAAGATAGCTTTAGAATTCTTACATTCCAACCATAATTTCAAATATTCTTATTTATATACATTACCTAATTGATCAGAGATATATTCCAAGATTTCTTTAAATAGTCTTTTAAATCTTTGATTCACATTTTGAATTTCTACAAAATTTGCAGATCTAACAGCTTCAATTACTTTTTCGTGACTAATTACTTATGCCTTAACTCAAGTGATATAATAAATTATACATTCAATCATCTCTTTAGCTCCTTTTTATGAAGTGGTTCTTTCACATTATTATAAACAATCTTAAGTCAAAACTTAAAATTGGGAATTATATTTCTCAACATTAAAAACTAATTAAGTCTTACCATTTATATCTTTATCTATAATTTTTTTGATATTCTGTTCATCTTAATTAAAGTCAAATAATGTATTTTACATTATTAATATTTATAAGAATGAATTTTGATTATAAGAATACTTTTTTAAGAAATACTCCATATAAAATTGAACCAGCAAGACCCAAACCTTTGTTATCATCAGCAAGAAATGTTTTAGGTGAATATTCAAATGTTTCTTACTGGAAATTTGATAATTATACTCATTAGAGATCTTATGTTGATACTACTTTTAATCGATATTAACCATCATTTAATGCTTATGCTAAGATTTTACCACCAGACATTTTAGATTGATAAATATTACATATCCTTTTCTTATTTTGAATTAATATATTTATATATATATATATCATACGTTGATTTTTTTTCCATTATTTAAGAATAGAATTATTTCAAAGTTAAAATCAATTGAACTTAATTTTAATATATTAATTATAGTTTACTATTTATTTCTAAGTATTTCATCTATAATTATTATAATTAGATTGAACACAATTTCTTAATTAAAACTAAGATATTATAGTGTTTTCATTAAAGAAAATATTAATCTATAATAAATATGATTAATTTAAATGATTATCTTTTGAAGGAATAATTATAAAATATATAATTTAGTTTAATATTTGATAAATATTATTTCAAATTCCATTCAATCTGATTTCAATTATTATTATTAAGGTTCTCTAAAAGAATTACTCTAAAAACTTTGATTGGTATCTTAAAATAATAAAAATAATATCGATTTTACCCTCTTTACTTGAATTGTTATTATTTTCATTATCATTATTCAATTCATCTTTATCACTTCTATTACTTTTAGTAGTTTAAGTTTATTGAGTTGAATTAACAAAGGGATATTGGACTAATACAATATATAAATTGAATATTTACAATGATAATTTTATTCAGGTTATGATTTAGATACATTAGACAATACTTAAAAAAGTAAATCATTACAAAAGGAATTCTGATTCTTGATAATGCTTAATTCTTTAATTTATTGTCTAGAGGAATCAATCAAAGTTGATAGACTAGATTAAAACTAATAATAATAATAACAAATTTAACTTAGTCAAATTATTAATAAAAATAAATGAGTTCTTTTTATATTTATTCTATATCTGTCTTCAATTCTAAATAGTTGGAATTTAATTAATCAACTTCTTTTTTTGCTTTATTCTATAATTTTATATAATGAAATCTCTAAATAACACTGTTTTTTCTAATTATTTTTTATAGTAGATCTCTATTCTAATCAAATTCAGTACTCTCTATCTTTTAAAAAATAATGATGACTGAACTGATTCTAATTATTGACATTTCTTATCTTCTTAAAACCATACATGTTCAATTATCTTATAAAAGAACTAAAGTTTTAATGTTTAAATTGTTTTGGTAGCACATAATCACTAAATCCATTTTAATCCTTGACTATAAAGGCATTTCCAGCACTATTAAATGAGATGATATTCTCAAATTCTGGATTCTAATTATTTAATTTATATTAAAATTATTAATATATTGGTTCATAATGTAATTTTCCAGAATTTAATTCTCAAATCATTATATTTGATTCACAAATTAAAGCTCTGAATTATAAGAAAATGAAAGATGTCTTACATACCATAACCATTGAGTAAGTTTTTAAGAGAAAATTCGAAATTCCTCTACGAGTAGGTGGAATTGTAAGATTGTTATCTCTTGAAGTATAATGACAATTTTTGCTTTTCTAATTCATTAAAAATAATATATAATAATTTCGATTTGATTAATTTATGCAAGAATAAGGATAATAATTGTATTTCTGTTCTCATAGTTAAAACAACTCATCCAAATATATAATTCATTTTTAATATATATATATACATTTTATAAATAATTTATATATAGATATGCTTAATCGTGTTATTAACATAGGATTCCGGAAAGCATTACCATAATACACATTCTCATCTAGAAGTAAACAACTTAACTTAAATCAACTAGATGGCCCATATAATCCAAACAGATATAGACACTACCTTAACCCAAACTTCTTCTAATCCAATAAGGAAATTGCTGACATTGCCAAATCATAGTAAGTCCCTCTACCAGGTATTTTCAATTAATTACTACTTCAGTTCGTAATGTAAGACATGTCAACCCAGTCAGATAATCTGGTCCTCTTCCTCCTTATGATGGTCCCTATACGTAATTTTATACTTCATATTGTAAATTAGAATGGAAGACGTAAGAGCTGTTTGGTAGAATACTTCTATTGGTAGATAAGGAACATGGAGTTGTTAAATGGATCCTGATGAAATCATGAGAAGAGTCCCAGGTTTCTTACTCATATTATTATTATAGGAATAACTAGAAGAGAAGTTGAAAAGATCTTAAATATGGGATTAACACCATAAGAATAAGTTGATTTTGCATATTTGGTTTATAATTGTGGATTTGATGTCGATTATGTCCCAAATAGTGTTTATGTTGCAAGATAGGTTGTTACAAATTCTAAAGGAGAAAAAGTTGAAATCCTATGGAATGTCTAAGTACTTGAAGATTTAGCTAAATTACCTGTTGGTTTTGCTCCTGTGAGAGAATTGATTGATTATCATTGGGAAATTTTCCTTTGGTCAGATCCAATGATCAAACCTACAGGTGATTTGGATCTTGGAGTTCCTAATACTTGGTTTGAATATGAATGTGAATGTAATTATATCTTTTTATATCTTTTATAGGGGGAGGTGAAATGGTTGGAATTGAAGATTAATTCAATATCCCAGAAAGTGATAGAGTATTCCCATCTCCAAAAAATCCAAATTGCAGAAGAGAACTATGGAAGTCTTAAGATGATATTCAAGAATAATTAGAAATGGAAGGTATAAGAAAGTTAAATAATTATTTAGATGAAAATTGGTATCCTAAAGGAACTTCATATAATATCTATCAATAAGCAGACTATAAAAAAGTAACTAAATCAGATAGCACATTTTAAGAGAAGATATGATCATTTAAACATATTAATCAAATTATATAATCAAGATGGGATTTTAGATTTTTATTCTAATTTATCTCATGGATCATTTTATTAAAATTAATACGATATCATCTTCAAGTTCTTACAATTTATTAAAATAGTATATACACAAAATAAAAACAATATTTAAGTAGACATATAATATTTCTTTTATTATTTAACTTTTAAACTACAAAAAATATTTTTATATAAAAATTCAATAATATTATGTAAAAAGAAGCTTAAAATGTTATGTGATGTAAATCAAATCAATCTCATCAGTTCATAAGATGAATATATATAAAAATAATTCAATTTTGAACAAAAAATTTCAGAATCATCTAAATATTTATATAATATTGATATATTCACATAACTCAAATAATGAAAAAAACTCATTATTAAACACTTTAGATATTTTGAAACTACTAATGGATATTTACTTAATCTAAAGGATAAATAGAAAATTTTACTTGGTATTGTCATATTTGTTATCTTAAGAAAATTAGTATAATGTATTTATTGTATTTAAGAGAGGGAAGAGTGCAAAGTTATGTATTCATTGAAGTCAACTTATTGATTATTTATCCATTTTTTTAACATTGCTATAATTTTAATTTTTTCTTGCATTTTATCAATGTCTGATTTTAGTTTAGACATGAGATTTTTTTTGATTTCACAGGAAATTGATAGAGGAGATGTAGAATTCTCTAATATTTCAGATACTTATTTATAATCCACCATTGGTTTTGGTTTTATCAAATGATTGATTGATTTGTTGATCAAATTAGTATTGAGATCTGTTTAAGAATGGGTTTGATTTGTCGAAAAAGATAAAGCATTCAGATTCCACAAGTTTCCTATTGAAAAATCACCAAAAGTGATTTAATCTAAATTTGAGAACTTAGATTCTAAATTCTCAGAAATTTCTTTATTATTAGATTTGCATTTCCTATATTTGGCTAATTAGGTTCTATATGTAGATTAAGACAATTTGAGTTTCTTTCCACTACTTATAAGGTTATCTATTAGATCAATATTATCTGCTATGAATTCATTTAACTCATCTTCTTCTTAAATCAAAACATGTCTCTTCCTTTTAGTTTATTTTTTAAAGAATACTTGCAATGTTCTTAGGAGCAATTGCCTAAGAAATTATAATGAGCACAAATATATGAATGTTTGTTTGTCAAGTTCTATAGATCTAAATTGCTTTTACTAACTTTCTTAAATGAACTCTTATTGCCATTGATGTTCCTGTTACAATTGGGTTCACTCTATCAAAATTAAGTCTGAATTAATTACAGAACACAAATGTTGAGATGAATAGCTACAATCACTTTGTTCTTATACACCTAAACCTTAAGAAACCAATTCTTATGTCATATGATTGGTAGGTTTTGATGTTAATAAATCGCTGTCCTACTAATGGAAGTCCATATCTATAATTAAAAATGCTTTTTTTCTTTTTAAATTTCCCCCCCTTCAAGTCCCAAGATTTAAATATGTGTACAATATTACATTAAAATGAAAGTTAAAAACATCATCTAAATCAAAATAAAATTAAGGAGTTAAAAATACTTTATAACAATGACATATTTTTAAGATTTTTATATAAAAATAATGTAATTACTATATGACTTTGATTTGTATTAATAAAAATGGTTATTATTAATTCAATTGCAATTACCAATTATTTTATTGGTGCAACTAATACTGGAGAATAATTTATTTTTAGAATTTTGAAACTAAACCTATAGAAATTAGTACTCATACATATGAAAAGACATATAGAAATCTATAAATGATTATATAAAATACACTAATATATAAATTATTAATATTACCAAATTAAGTTATAGGCACAAAGATAAATATTTCTTTTTTAATTTTATCATCTACATCATTTTAAGAAAACATTCAATTTATTAAATAAAATAATGATTTATAAATAGTTACTGTAGGATTTAAATAATACTTTATTGATTTATGATACAAAAAAATATTTTTGAATAATTATGATAAGTATTAACATATATTAATTACATATTGTATTCAGAGAATGAATAATAAAGAATTATTTAACATAAAGAATTATTTACTTATTTGGAATTTTAATTTAAAAATAATTATGAAATTAGTTTTTTTTATGATTATTACAAAATATGTCTTTTCAAAAATAATGTAAATATTTATTATTTAGATCTATTTAATTAAAAAGAAGCAAATGAATTAAATAAATAAATTAAAATATAAACACCATCTAAATGGTAGTTTAGTACAATTTAATATTAGAATATTCTTATTAAAAATGATTAAAAGTCCATTCTTAATTATTTATGTAAGATAAAAAGTATATAATAATATTAAGTTTACTTATGATATTTAATATATGATCAGATCAAAGTTTTAACGATTTTTCTTCTCCATTCTTTGAATTCTTACATTTTGTTTTGTATTTCATTTTAATTAATATTTTAATCCAATAAACATTCAATTAATTCTTCATTATCTTTGTTTATGCATTTCTATTTAATCCTTTCATAAAGTTACTAATATATTGATTATTATTGAATACCTATTGTTAATTATTAAAATAGTCATTCAACTTATTTACAAAATCCTTTCTGAATTATTTTTATTCTTTAATACAATTTCTAAATTCCAAGTTTTATTTTGAGTTGCATAATTTAACAATTCTATTGAGAACAGCTTTCAAATTAATATTTTAAATTGGATACTTCGAATAAGAATTACTCTTATATGAAATTAGGATTGCCATAATATTTATTTTTGATTATCTCGATATCCATAATTATTATTTAATATATTTATTTTTGTTCATATATATATCAAAATTCATATTGATCAGTTTTATATTCCTCTTCTTATTTGGGTTATCTACCTCTTTTCATCAACAGTAATTACTTAGTACTCTATAATTAGGCAGCTGTTTTGGGATGAATCCAAGATGGAATCATTTTCTATACAATCCTATTGTAAAAAATATCCATTACATATCCAAACCACCTGGAGGTCTTTTATTTAATCTTTCTTGTCTAAATTTAAATTCCTCTTCAGCATAATTCATTAGATTCTTTTTTATTTTTTCAATTCTAAATTTTATTTAACTATCATACCTTTATTCTCGTGTTCTTTCACGCTTATGTCCTTTAGGTTTTCTATGATAAGGACTCAATTCTCTATTTTTGGGTTAATCATAAATCCATGGGAGTCCATGAAAATAAAATTATTTCCTCAAAAGACCCTTATATCTTCCTGAAATATCTGGACCAAAAAATCTCCCATTGACCATTTTCTTATTAAAGCATGATCTGAATGATAAATATGATAATCTAAGCCACATTATATATATATATATATAATAATTAATTCAATTTAATAAAGCCAATTTCATTTCAATATTACTAATTAACTTTTTTGTTTCATCTATTGATTATTTAACTCCTTTATCATCTAATTAAACTGATGAAGGATTATCAACTTTTGGAAATTATTAAACATACCATGGACCAGTATTTGGAATCTCAATTTTAATTTATACCTATTCTTTTTACAATTCCTATCCTGTATTATATTCTTATTCTCTAGTATAACCATCAAGTCTTTAAAGTGCTTTAATTGTATTGAATATAACATTCCTATAATTATTAAGATCACAAATAGGATTTTTTTGATCACCAGATGGACATTATAAATAAAGTGTTCTAAGTACTCTAATGCGATCTAAATATTCTATTGATTTAACACTCTTAATAAAATTGCCTTTAGCTTATAAATTTTAAAGTGATGATAATTCACCTAAATCTAATTGTGTAATTTGATTATTAGAAATATTCAAAAATGCTAAATCTTTCATAACCTTCAATGGAGAAATATCACTTGGAAATATAAAAGATATATATTACCTAATTGAATTATTTTAAAGGTTCAATTAAACTAAATGAATGCATTCTGTTAAACATTCAATATTGCCAATTTTTTAATTACTTAGATCCAAAACAAATACAATATCGAGACCAAATTTATTAGATACAGTTTTAACAATTTCTAAATAAATTAACATATATATAATACATGATGTAAGTTTTCCTTGTAAATTGAAATTCTAAGTTTATTTTAGATCACGAAGTTTTTCAATATTTATTTCATTAACATTTGTTCCTAAGAGTTTACTTTATATTTATTAATTATTAGTTGTAGAACTCTTCTCAACTGGTTTAACAGGTTTTTTATCATTTTTTTTATCATTATTCATTATATATTTATTATTCACTTATCAAACCATAACAATTACTCCTTTCTCTCTTTCTCAGCAATAAATGAATCAAATTCAGCTTTGATTGCAGAAAAGTCTTCTCCTTTATAAGTGACCTATAAAGCAAGAGCAGGAGATGTATCTTTGATTCCATCTACCTTATTTCTATGTCTATGTGCTGGTGATTTAGCTGGATCCAAAGATTTTGGAATAATAGCTCCACTTAATTTTGATACTCTCACTGGTGTACCATCTTCTAAAAATCCTCTTTAAACCTAATTTCTATAATTTATGATTACTTTAGTTGGTTTGCCTTTTTCAGGATCAATAAGTGCTACTTTACATAAATGGATAGGTCTTGTAATTTATTGAATACCAGATCCTGATGGATCATCTAATAAAGACTTTCTTTTGAATTTTTAATTGATTCCTTGAACAAGTACTTCATTTGATTTACGATAAACTCTTAAAACTGTTCCTGTTTTACCAGAATCCTTTCCAGAGACAATAACAACTTTATCACCTTTGATCACATTCCATTTATCAAATGTGATTTACTTAGCAAATTAGGCAATTGGTGTCTATCGATTTAGATAGAATGTAGAGAATGCTTTTAACATAAATAATTAATTAACTATAACATTTTTTGTTTTTTAAATTAAGTGATGAGTTATTCGAATAAAGAGAATATAGATGATACATAAATATTGATAGATTAAGAAGAAGTACTTGAATTTGTAAAGTAATTGAAATTGATGAATAAACAATTTATTTCTTAAATCAAACAACTGATTCGAGAAAAAGAAGAGTACAAATTCTTGATTTAAGAATTGCAAAGTCAATTATAAAGAAAATGTGAGTAATTATAACAATAAGAAATGATAATCTAAGAATGTGAATTATAAGTAGTATTTTTATAGGTTATTGTAGTTAGAGTCATGCAGATCGAATTATGAAGAACAAATTAATCGTTTAGAAGTAGAGTTGAAAATGAATTAAATGATTTTTTAGATAGAATTGAGTCAATAGAAATAAGAGATAGTAGATTTAAGTGATAAATTAAAAAGTACTTAACAAGGTTATTCAACTACTGTGGCTACTTCATTTTTATAAACATCTTTTAATTAGAGATAGGATAGTTTATTCAAAGTATGAGTAGTTGAATAAATTTAGGATAGTCATACATTAGAAAGTGTTGGTTAAACAGAAGGAGATAATAGTATAATGTCAAATAAGAATAAAGGATAGAAAATGATGTTGAAAATAATTTAAGATCCAATAAGTAACTTAAAGAAACAGAAAGATTTAATAAAAAGGGAAATTACTTAATGGTAAGATGAATTCTTAAAGAAAGAAGGTCGACCACCTTCTATTAATGATAAATAATCTATTAGTACTAAATTTTATCATTATACTATATTGAAGAAATAATTGAATGATCGAAGTACTGTAATTTAAGATAGCACAGATTGTAAGAATATTGGTATTCAATGCAATTTGATTGATGCATAATAGATATTGTAATTGTAAGAACAAATTAAATAAAAAACTAATGATATAAAGAGAATGAGTTTTTAATTAGAAGATTTAAAGGGAAAAGTAAAAGTATATTGTAGAGTTAGACCCTCAAATAATTTAGATAAATTAAAAGGTATAAATTGAATTTATAAATAAGATTGTGAACTCTAATTTATAGATGAGTAACATATCTCATTAAAATAGAAAATCTTCAATTTTGATATCTGTTTTAATCAATAATCTACATAAAAAGATGTATATGAGGAAATACAGTAATCTCTTTAAGCAATATTCCATGGTTATAATTTATGCATTTTTGCCTATGGTTAAACTGGCAGTGGTAAGACATATACTATGTTTGGCACTTAATAATAACCTGGAGTTATTCCAAATTTAATAGAAGATATCTATGCCTATATTAAAAAAAACAATTTAGATTGTTCAATTATAGTTAGTTCTTTAGAGATATATAAAGAGAATATCATAGATTTATTAAATGACTAATAAAGTTCTTAAACTTTGGAACTTAAGGAGAATGTTAATGGATAAGTGTTTGTTTAAAATTTGACTAATATCAAAGTACAAAGTTAATATGAATTAATGAATTTGATTGAGTTTGCATCTTCTAAAAGAAGATAAAGTTTAACTGAAATGAATGATTCTAGTTCAAGATCTCATATGTGCACTTAACTTGTAATTGAAACCTTTAATAAAAGTACTTAATAGGTATGATAGAATATAGATTCCTAGAAATTCATCAGTAGAGTAAATTTAATTGATTTGGCAGGTTCAGAAAGGTGTAATAAATCAAGATTAAAATAAAATCAATTAGAGGAAGCTAAATACATTAATAAAAGTCTCTCTGCTCTTAATGATGTTATGATAGCTTTATCAACAAAAAGTAATTTCATTCCATACAGAAATAGTAAACTTACATATTTAATGAGAGATTCCTTAGGAGGAAATGTATTATTAATTTATAATTATAAGTCAAAAACAATCATGATCATCAATATCTCACCTTCCTTTATTAACTTAGATGAATCAATGAGCTCATTATAATATGGATAAAAAGTTAAATAAATAATCAATTAACCAATTAAGAACTTAGAACCAGTGGAGCAATTAAAAAAATTATAAAAAGTATGTAATTAACATGATGAAAATGCGTAATTAAGATAATAAAAGTGATTTATTTTATATATGCAATAATCTCAATACTAGATATGTGTGTTAGGAAGTGCTAATTCTGATCATTTCCTTGAAGTTGAAGATTTTCCTAAAGAAGGAGAGACTATCGCTTCTAAGGTAATCTATAATACAATCTAATTAGAAATCCTATTTAAAAAATGGAGGCAAGGGAGCTAATCAAGCAGTAGCATCAGCTTTACTCAATTCTAAGATTATCTTTGCAGGTCAAATTGGAAAGGATGAGCTTGGTTAATTATTAGTAAAAGAAATGACATTGGCAGGAGTTGATTTAACTGCTTTAAGAAAAGTAGATGAATAAACAGGATAGGCAATAATTCTGTTAAATAAGAAAGGAGAAAATCTAATTATCATAGTAGCAGGAGCAAATGGCTATTATGAGACATTAGATGTCTTACCATAAGAATATTAATAAGCTATTGAATAATCAGATTTATTGTAATTATAAATGGAAGTACCACAATCTATCAACATCTTAGCTGCTAAATATGTAAAAATTATATTAATTCATAGATGGCTTAAAATGATAAGATTACAGTTTTAGATTGTGGAGGTAAAGCAGAGAAATTAAAAGGTGATTTCCTTGAAAATTTAACTATTGTGAGTCCTAATGAAACAGAATTGGAACGTATCTTAGGAGAAGATTTAAATATGGATGCAGATTAAAATGCAGAAGAGTAATAATCATTTTTTATATTATTTAAGATTTCTTACAAAAACTATACATGAAAAGGTATTTACTCGTTATCCAGATTTAATTGTTCTATTGAAATTAGGTTCTAATGGAAGTATGCTTGTAACTAAAGAATATAGTGTAAGATGTCAAACTGTAACACAATTAAGTACATATTATATATATATATTAGATCCAAATATTTTAGAAGAATATAAAATAGTTGATACTGTAGGAGCTGGTGATTGTTTCACTTCTGCATTTACTGTATCATTTTATAGATCTTTAATTGAATTTGGTCCAGCCAGAATTTCAAGTAATGATTATTTAATAATCTTATAGCATTAAGAAAAATAGATGTTGAGACATAAAAGAAATTGTTCTATAAAGCTATGCATTTTGGAAGTGCATCTGCATTTTTGTGCATTACTAAACATGGTGCTATGCCATCAATGCCAAAGTTTGAGACAGTTGACAATTTCATCAAGAAGTATTTCCCATGAAATAGAAATTATAAAATAATTACAATATAGAATATAATGTCAGAAGGCATTTATACAGAAACTTTAAAGGATAAGTTTACTCTTTCTCCATTTGAAAAATATCATAAGTATGGCAGATTTCCTTTTAAATTTTTAATCTCATGTGCATTAGTTTTCCTTACAACTTTATAAGTATTATTGATCTCTGAACATTATACATATAATAATTCAGGTCAAATAATTCAATTTGGTATTATATCTAAATTGATTAATAGTTGCATTATTGTTGAATGCAGATGAACCAATGAATAATAAAATTACTTTACTTACAATTGATGATTTTTAAGATTCATTAAATAAAACTCTTAATAATTTAGCTAACATTGATGATATTACAGTTTAGAACACTACAGTGTAAGGTAATACATTTTTTTAGATTAATTATAACTATCCTTTTGAAGCATATAGAATTGATTATCCTTTTGTACGAAATGTTACTTTGGGTGAACCATTACTTGACCCATTTGACTTAGAAGATGATGATTAAATTAGAGAATTTTGGACTAATGCTTATGAATTAACATTAACAGTAAACTAAATCAAAGTGGAATCATAATAACGATCTGCTTGTTGGGATATATAGATTACATATTAGTTCATTAATTATGGTTATATAGATGCAATTATAACTTCTATTGGTGGAATCTGTAAAGAGAACCGTGAAGAAGAAGAAGGATATGGATCTGCTTTTAATAGTACAGCTCTTAGAATAGATAATCTATTATTGTAATTGAGTATTATTTTATTGGCATTTATTGATGTTTGTTTGGGAGTCAAATATATTTATGAAGTCATTGAAATGTATACAAATAATATATCAAAATTAAAGAAATAAAGAAAATTAAAAGTTCCAGAATACAAATTATATAAAAATCAGAATCTAACAACATTAAAGATTATCTTAAATGAATAAAAGCCTTGGGAATAATTAACAATAAAAGAAAAACTATTATTTTTTGATTTATTTTTACCTATAAGAATTTTAGGAAATATAATATAACTTATATCAGCTGGTATACTAATATCTGAAACTTTCATAAGAGTAGATGGTTTATCATAATATGATGAATTGATGGCTGGATTAGGTTGCTTTTTTGCTTGGTTTTCTATAGTGAAATATTTGGATTATTATGAAGAATTACATTTAATTGCATCTGTGTTAGAATCATCTATAATACCAGTTTGTATGGCTATTTTAAATTTCTTACCAGTTTTTTTAGGATATGCATTGTTAGGTATGTGTTTATTTAGTGATTCTCATTAATTTGTGAGTTTATCTTCATCAATAAATGCTCTATTCTCATTAATTTATGGAGATTCAATATCAGATGTAGCTAGGGATAGTTCAAGAGGAGTTAGTTTAGAATTATCATTGATTTACATAGTTTCATATATTTTATTGTTCTTATTTGCAGTACATAATATTATGGTAGCTTTGATAAAAGAGTAATTAGAAATTCGTAAGGATTTAATATTTCAAGAAAAGGAATTAATGAATTAATTGGATTTGAGTAATAATTATTAGTATTAAATGTATTTGTCTTAGAAGATGAAACAAACAACTATTATGAATCGTAGTGTAATGAAAGATGATTTTGGTTCAATGATGCAATCTTAAACAGGAAATAATCAATAATAATAATAAATTAACAAATAGATATCTTTAAAATCAATAACAAAATTGGCTATGTTATAAAAACAAAAGTCAGTGGATATATCTAAATAAGAAATGGAAAATAATTGGAAATAAATTTGTAAAGAAGAGATGTAAAATCATTACATTTATAATATTTTAATATCAACAATTACTGAGACCAAAAATATTCTCAGTAATGTTGAATTGGAGTTATGGAATGATATTGATTCTAGTCCATTTACTGTGATTGATAAGAAAGAGATAATTACATTGTATTGTTCCTAATTGATTAAGAAACATCAGAAAATGAGAAACATATTTAATAAAACAAAGTAAATAAGTTAAAATTTGAAACAATGAAATGAGTTATAATTATTAGTATTTCAAAATGGAATATTTTCTTTTCTTGCTTATTTTTTTGTTAAACAGAACTTAACTTTGTTTCTTTTTGAGGGTGATTGTTAAGATAAAATTTGTGATTTTACTTTATGAAAAAATAAGAGGACTTTTTTTGGATTATTGATAAAAATTGGAAATTACTATTTTCCATATTTATTTTTTGATTATCCACTTTTTATTAGATATATATATAATTATTTGTCAATAGTCGGGGGTCAATATCAGTCTTTTAATAAGTTTATCAAAAATATAAATTAGATGGATGATGTTTTTGGAAATTATAATTATTTTAGATAAATCAAATGAAAAAATTAATAACCTAGTTTAATCAATATCATTCTATTTTTATTACAGATTAGAATGAAATTCAACAACAAAAGTTAAAGCTAAAGAAACATCATAAAAAATATTTATCTTTATTTATTTTTAATAAATCCATAATACATTAAAGAAAATACAAAAATCTTATTTAAAATTCCATTTTTTGAAAATAAGTTCAATTCACAATTATCATATGGTAAATAAAGAGGATTAAGAATTATTTCTTTTAATCTTATTATTGATTTTATTTTTTGATTTTCTTAATAAGTATTGATAATGATATTGATTTATTTCAGTATTGCTCACTAATTTTGAGAGACGATTATTAGAATCTTATTTTTGACCTAGATGTAATTCATTTATAGCATCTCCTTAATCAAATAGTATTGTGAGCATAGCATCTTATAATGAGGATGAACTATTAGAAATAAATAAAAGATTATAATTAGTATGGTTGAATAGATTTTGTAGATGATGATTATTATTCAGTGATAAGATTTAGAATATACTTTTTTTTTTGTAAGAAATTTCAATCTTAAAATGATATTTTTATTTGGTCAATTACCAATCCATCTTTTAGTTTAAGCCTAATTCTTCAGGATCTTTTATATCCTTTAGATCTAAATCATTTTTCATCATTCAGGAAGTGTGTCTTATTTTTTCTCTATTATTAAAAGACATTTAATTTAATTAATTATGTTTTGGGGTGTAAAATTATAAAATGGATAAACTAAAACCATTAAGGCTAATCTTATACTCACTAACTTATGTGGTATTGGTACAGTTAGACTGAATAATATCATTATTGCTACATTGACAATGAAATAGGTTTGATATAAATAATATATTAAAAGCCTTAAGTTTTGATTGATTATAAAATTAATGGAGAATTTACATTATAAAGTGAAGGAGGTGATGTTGACATTTGTGGATATTATGCTGACAAGAACACTTTAGATGAATAGGATTTGTAATAATTATCAATTAAAGCATAATCAATGTAAAATGAAGAATAGTTAGAGACCATATATAAAGAGTAATTAAGAAATATATAGAAAATGCTCAAAAAATGAAATTTAATTAGTGCTTATTGTTATTTAATATAATTTAGATTTATATAGGAATAAACAAATAAAATTTAATAATTAAAAATCTTTTTATGGCTAACATACCATAGCAATAATATTCAACACCATCAAATTTACCTTCATAAAATAGAGATCAATCCACTTATTAATAACCTACATTAGGATAATAATAAGTTCCATAGAGTATTTATCAACCTCAACAATCTGGTGAGAAAGGATTACAATACTTGCCTCAACAAACAGGTATTTTACCATAAAATGTATAAACACAACAATTATATGGACAACCACAAGTTGGAATAATAGGATAATAATTCACTCAACAACCAATATTTGGCCAATCATAAATTTAACAACTACCCTAATAAACAGTTGAAACTTAATAAGGTCAAGTAGTAAAGGGATAATCAAGAATTGAATACATTCCATATGAGAGAACAATAACTGAATATGAAGAAGTGAGAAGACAAGTGCAAGTACCCATCACAAAATAAGTCACTGATTATTATGCAGTGCAATATGACATTGAATATATACCTTAAGTCATTCAAGAGAAATAGATAGAATATGTCCCAGTTGAAAGAGTAGCAGAAAGAACTGAATATTACACAGTTGAAAGATAGAATGTTGTATAATAAGTATGAATCAATATTTATATTTAGCCAATTGGATATTAATCATCACAAGTCCAAACATCAGCTACCTATGCACCAGTACAAACTCAATAAGTAACTCAATAATATACATAATATGTCTAACCTTAACAATAAACTATTGCATATTAATAGCCACTTCAAATTTAATAGTAATATCAAACAAGAGAAGTAATTCAACAACCAATTGTTTAATAATAATCTTATTTACAATAAAGAGAAATATTACCATAATAATAAGTCTAAGTCCAATAATCAGTAGCATTGTAACCAACCATCCCAACTACTCAGTATTTACCATAATAATAATATCAAACTATTTAAACAACACAACCCTAATTATAAATAGCTTAAGTAATTTTATTCTTATATTATTAATAGACTGTTCCTTTGAATTATGGTTAATAAATCTAAACTATTTAAACTCAATAATAACCTATCGTCACATCACCTGCCTAAGCAACAACCCAAATTAATCAAGGATATTCCATTCCTGTTACCTAAACATAAGCTCCTTAATATTCAGTTTATGGACAACAATCCCTTGGTCCTCAATAGCCTAAAGCATAATAGTCTTTAACTCAAACTACACAATATAATCCTTAATTGTAATAGACTGTTGCACCTGCATAAGTATCTATTATAAATTATACATTAGTTTGTTTAATCAGTACCCTAGTAATAATAATAACAATCAATTCCATAAGATATGGGAAGAACAAGACCATATCAATAAGGTTAATTGCCTTAATAACCATCCCAACCTTAATAGAGTGGCACTGCTTAGAAATAAAATAAAGAAAAATCATTCTTGGAGAAATTGTTCGATTGATTATTTTTGCATAAAATACATAAATATAATTAAAATATATGAATTATCTTTTTATAATCAGCTCTTTGATAATATATTCAATTTTTGGTGAATTAATATTGCTTACGAATGGAGATCATTATCATGAGATTTTTGATATTAACAAATATGAATTTTTCACAGATTGTGATGAATAACGCATTTAAATTTAGGAACATAAAGTTAATGAATAAATTTAATTGTTAGAGAAAAACTAAATAGAACAAGTATTATCTTATTATATATAATTTAGATTATCTATTACCCAAATGATTAGAATACCATACTCATTTTGGAAAAGATAGGTTAAATTACAATACTCTTTAAAGATAATCAATAATTCAATTCTCCCTTTAAAGAATTGGGAACACTCAATCTAAATACTAAAGGTTTACCTGATTTTACTTGTAGTGATATGACTCAATACTCTCTTAATATATTCATGGCTGTATGTAAATCAGATAATGATATTTACATCTCTAAAATTTAATGTATAGCTGAAGATGATAAATATTTATCTGGTTGTTCTTCATAACTCTACTTAGATTCAGATTAACTGAATAATTGTGATAATTTAAATATAATCACTGAGAGTTCTTGGAGAGTCAAAGAACCTCAGTATTTTAGTATTTATTGTTCCTCTTAAGAGAATTTTCAACTAACAAGACCATTATTAATAGGTAAATTTAAGAATCAAGCTAATTCTATATAAATGGCTAGAATTATTAGTCCAATTAATGAAATTGAAAAAATATCCTTTTTTGATGACAATACCCTTATGATATTAGATCATAGATCAGCTTTACATGTATTTAGATTTGTGTTTACAGATGATGGTGAAATTACCTATGAATAATTATTATGGTAATTATTTTTACCAAATGAATTATTTTATGCACTCAGCTACTCTCATGAACAATATGCTATCAGATTCCCACCTATAGGAATCATAGAGAATGATATTCAATATAGTATTGTTATACTGAGTGATCATTTTATATATGAGTTAGCTTTACCTTAATAATCTAAAGATTTCTTCTTTACTACATTACCAATTAATGATAAAATAAATATAAGGAATATTCTTAAAGATAAGTAAATTAAAAAGGGATAAATTCAATATGATGAATAATTTTATTATGTTTGCTTTACTTATATCTAAAATTCTATAGAATGTTATAGAATAAATAGACATCAATCCTACACTGAAAAATTATTACTTCGAAATAAATATCAGCATCCAATGTTATTAACATATCCAGTTTAATATTCTACTATAACTGGATAGACTAACATATTAATTACTCAATAGATGAATGAAACAAAGGCAGTTTTAACTTTAATAAAAAATGAAATAGAAAGATTAACTATAGTATCCACATCTAATGAAGAATTTCTATGTTCAATTATATTAACTACTCAAAATAACTCTATGTACAATACTATGAATAATTAAAATATTACACTTATGATTTATAATCAAAAATTTGAAAGCACTAATTTATACAAAATAGACCATCTATAAAATTATAATTTTCCAAATACTGATTCAACTGTGTTATATTCTACATTAATAAGAGGACCTGCCACTGTACTGTAACCAAAAAGTGATAAGAAAAGTAAGAATTTATTATTATTTTAGATTAGATGTTGAAGTCATAAGCCTTTCAGGCTTTGGATATGAAATGTGGGAAGATTTATATTAAAATTTTATTTAGCATTCTCGTATCCCTATTAAATCATTTTTAGACAATGGATTTAGAACTATATTTTTATAAATAGATTAAGTGAAAATAATAATTTAATAAGAAATTACTAATACAATATATTTTACTCAAAAAATCTATTCTTTAGATTGTTCATCAATCAATATTGTAAAAAATATTGTAAGCATATCACCATATTATATAATATTTTATTAAAAAACAACATATTATACTGTATTGAAGATAAAAAAAGTAGAAGAAGATGTTTTAGAGTATGAATGTAAAAATGTTGAATATCCACTCTATGAATTAGAACATGAAGTATTTGTAGATTTAGATTATATTAATTTATTTTTTACTACAAATAACACAATCTATTATACTGATATCTATTTTAATAATGTAATTACAATAGAAATTGATCGTAAATTTAGATAATTGAATTTTCAATTTTTAAAGAATGACATCATTTTAGGAAGTCATTAAAATAAATTATATTATATCTAATTAACAACTCCTTTAAAAGAAAATCATTTTAAAACATCTATTGCAGAAATTGAATTAGGTTAAATGACTAATAATTTTAAATTCTTTGTATTATAACTTAAAAAACCTATATTAACATTAGTTATTGTAGATGATAGAATAACATTATATACAATAGATAATTTATAAGATATTAAATTTGATTCTTTATTACCATAATTCAATAGCATTATAAATGCAAATGAAACATAAATAAATTATTATATGTTAATAGTACCAACCAATAAACCTAATGAATTGTATGTATATGATTTGTCAAAGACTGGATCAGATAGATTACATGCAATTCACAAATATCCAATTATATCTGAACCAATAACTATATGCTATCCAAAAATGTAAACATTTTTATATTGTTTGTAATTTTCAAATGCTGATATAAATTGTTATTTTAATAAAATGCTTGAATTTGAATTAATTGCTTCTGATCCAACTAATATTGATAATTAATTCTCAGTTGCAATTAATGCCTAATCTGCATTAAGTTATAGTGTATAAAGTAATTTTATAATTAATATAATATATTTAGAAACCCTTACAATAAATGGTAGTTTTAGATATTAAGATACAATGATAGAGAAGAGTGTAAAAAGATTAGAAGAAATTGAAATCTACAAGACAAATTTTACAACAGAATTAAAAATAATGGATTATTATTCTGGTCCTATTTTTAATTATTAATTGTAAAATAGTAAAGATTTGAATATAAAAATGATCCCATTTATTTTAGAATAGGAGGATAATTTAGTTAGATTTAAGATTAATTAAACAATCTTAGGAACTAGTGTTTCTAAGGAATATTTAATTATTTTAGGAGATGAAAATATAGGTATCATTGATATTCCCCAAACTTAATGTAATATTATCTTATAACATAGATCATAAATAAGTAATTTAGAGTACAATAGATTATGAAGAGATTAAAAATGTATTTTTTGATTAAGATTAACCAACTGTGAATAATTGTACTAAATCCTTTATTAATCCATTGTCAATTGCAGAATTATCAGCTATTCATATAATAGCATTATTTTGTTAATCTATGATGGTTAGAGTCAATGTTACTAATTAAATAAGTTAATTGAGTTTTACAATATTATCAGATAATTAACCAATAGAAAAATAGTTTTTAGAGAATTTCTTCTTTTTAAATATAAATTTTAAAGATTTTTTATACTAAAATTAAAGTTCATTTATTTTAGAAGATGTAAAGATGATCAATTTCCCAATTCAATTCAAACCAAAATATAAATTCATTACTGTAACTGCAATAGTCAAAGGAAATAAAAGATATGACTTAGAAGATAAATCAAGAGATAATTTAATTTGTATCTTTTATGGATACTTAGATTAGAATTAGAGTTCATTAATGAATGGATCACTTTTGGATGTGATTGGTGCTGCTAATTTTAATAAAAATACATTAATTGTTAATAATTTTTAGATGTATTGTATTAAAGGTTGCACCATTAAAAATGTTAATAATACATAGATTGAAACAATAATAGAACTAATATTCAATGATCAATATTCATTTAATCTATATAAATTAAAGATAAGTTTCATATACACAACAAATAAGTAACCATAATATAAATTGATAAATATGGAAATTATAAATATAAAAGAATTAAGTAAATTTATAATTATATTTATTTAGTGAGTAATTTTGTTCAGAATTATATTGAATTCACATATATTGATACTGAAGTTCAATTTTAGAATGAATCTACTTATACAATTAATGTTACAACTGATTCTCTTAGTTTTGATTTAGTTTAAATTTAAGGTCGAATTGAGATTGAATAGATTTTCAAGTAAACATTAATTTAAAATAGATAATACACTTAATGTTAAAGTCCACCAGGATCATTGAAAACATCTTACAATGAATATTTTGCTATTAGTTGTAGAAATGCATCTAGAAACTATTCTGAATAAACTCAATTTGTTAAATTATTTATAAGGGGATAATATTAAATAAATCATTCAGTGAAGTCTGTTATCCAAGCTGCTTAGATATAAGGAAATTTAATGTTATTAGACATACAAAAAGGATATTTGAATGAACATGTTAGAATGTTAATATTAGAATAAGATAATAATTAATAAGATTTTTAATTAAGATGGTTTCATCTCAATGATCAATTTACATTATTAGTAATTTGAATCATTAATAAATTATAGGCTGATTAGAATAATACTCCTAAAAGTATATTGAATGTGTAATTGTGTCCTAGTAATTTAAATGAAATTCAAGGTTTATGTATGGATATCATTATTTCAAATACAGGATATCATCATTATATAACAATGGAATGGTTATTATTTATATTTCTAATTTGTTTACCATTGTTAATAAGTTGTAGTTTTATAATATTTTGCATTATTAATTATAAGGCTGAGAAGTAAAAAAGAGTAGAATCTTTTGGAATGAATCTTGAACATTAACTTAAGAAATAGTCATCTCACTTATAATCAAGAATGGAAAATACTGTCTATTGAATATATATATATATTTATTTAATAATTATTAATTCAATTAATTATAGTATTTATATAGTTAATTACTTAATTCAATTAATATATTAAATTAATTTATAATTGAATAATAATTATTAAATAATCACTGCTTGTCACAAATGAAGCTCTGCAACTTATAACAATCTTTAATGGATGTCTTAGTCAAGTCCACATTAACTGAAACAAATCTGCCCATTGTTGCTTACCCCTAATTGTTATGATTAATAACTTACAATATTCAAAAGAAAATCAGTGTCAATACTCTCTGGGAAATGTGATCCAATATTTGGATTGATACAACTCCATAAAAATCCTGCATAAACTCCTCCCACAACTTATAAAACAGTGGGTCCAAATCTTCCATTAAATAACATCGAACTATCAACCTCATCCATGATACTGCCAGTCCACCAGCCTCGGTTGTTGTTCATGATAATCATGGCACCAACCTTATCAACACCTCTTAATGTAGGATGATTGACTGGGTGTATGACTTCCATTTCAGGATGTGTATTGTTGATGTCAGCATTCTTTGGAAGACCTGATATAAATTTCTTGGCCAAAGGATTATAATCGTAAACATAGTATTAAGATGGGGCATAACCAGTTTCAGGGTCAGCCAAATAGTCTTAAATACTGTAAGCCTCTCCATGAGGTATCAATACCCCAGTAATATCTTAATTTGGAAGCCAACTCTTAGCAAGAGTCTGTACTGAAGGTTTAGTTGATACAATAGTTTTTCCATTTCTGATAGTGTACATGGAGTCAATTTAGGGATCTTCATGACTTCCTCTAGCCACTTAGATTGGTACAAGTCCTTCAGTTAAGAATCCTCTACAGGACCATGTATTGTAAAATTTGGTATTAATATCTTTTGGAATATCCTTCATCATTTGATTATCATATTCTGAACAATGTATTGTGTGAACACCCAACACCTGGGCTAGTTTAGAATGATTTCTAGCCTCCAAATATTTTTTCAACAATTATTTGTTCACATCTTTGAACTGATCATCGTGCTTTAAGTAATACTTTGCACAATCTTCCAAACCTCTCTTTACACAATGTGAAATAACTCCAGGATTGAATCCCATCTCTAGTATGCTTGTAGCTCCACTCTTTGAATTCCAATACTTTGATTGTTTGGCCTTGTCTTTTATGTATCCTAATGATAGCTTGTATGCTTCTTCACTATTCTTAGGACAAGAATTGGCATCTTCACTGTCTTCCCATTACTCCAAGGCTGTATTCATATATCGAATCTTATTCTCTACACACAATGGCCACATTGATAAGAATTCAATGTTTGTTGACAAATCCACTAAAATATCTCCGCTTTGCAATCTAGATATTAATGAATATATTACCCCATCCTTGAGAGAGTGTCACCTATATTTTCTTTGGTTCTTTCTTCTATTATGCATTCGAAACGATTCTCATTAGGTCTAAAGGCATCATATTTATCAAGAGCAACTATTTAGGCGTCTAGGAATAAAGAACAATTTTATACTTGGGTGGTTTTTCAAAAGAACTTCAACAAATGCACTCCCAATAGCACCATAACCTAATACACCAATCTTCCTTGGTAAAGGATAAGAACCAAATCTCTAGAAGCACTTCAAGGATAAGGACATAAACTTCGACTCTTTGTTGATTTAAAAAAGTGTTTGAATTTTTATTGAATAAAATATATAATTAATCTAGACATTTTGCAAAAGATTTAAATACCCTCAAAATAAATTATTAATAAATTATGTTGCGTAATATTATTAATGTACTGATTAATCATGATATTCATTTTTTTCATTTAAATCTAATAAAATATAATATAATATATTATTAAACAAATATATAAAATCTTAAAAATCCTCACATCTTAGTAAATCATTCATATTATCCTTAAATCCTCCTCTTCTTATACAATATCATACAATTTTTAAATAAATATCTCATTATTTTGTAAAATTGTAATCAAGATTGATGGTTACCAAGAGGCATAGTTGATTCCCTCATAACTTATTAAAAAAGGCTGTCATAAGAGAAACCAAAGATGAAGTATCAATTAGATGTCATTCTCAAAGACATTTCAAGATTTTAAAATTCATTAAAGTTCAATCATAATCATCTTAGAACATGAGATATATATTATGCGGAACCTTTAGATGAATATTAAATTGTTAAAGAATTGATAAAGGTATTCAATTTATTGAAATACCTTAGATAAAAACAATTAGTTTTATGACAAAATTAGAAAGGTAAAGAATAATTATGGATTTATCTTTTTATGCATAAGAAACTTAAATGCTTCTATAGATAAAGTACTTTATTTAACAGATCTATTACTTATTAAATAAAAATGATTTATCTTAAAATACATCAGATATATATCATTTCTGCTAATAAAATAGAATGTATGCATTCTTGTCATTTATTACATCATTCTCTTTAACTTCTTTAGTTGAATCATCATTGAATTCAATCCATTTCTTTTATCTTCTCCCATAAGCTGTATAATGACCATTGTCTAATCCTCCAAAATGTTATACTACACCATATAATTCATAATCTATTTAATTAATTGTAATGGCTTCTGGATATGTGACTAGAATATTGTTTTTCTAGAATCCCTTATGTTCATCATATTAAAATCTTTTGAGTTATATGATTAATTAATCAGGTAATTTTTACAAACTCATTGTTTTGATAGCAAAAGTTAAATCATTGCAAATTGTACAATGATAAGCATTTTCATCTAATAAAGGTTCTTTAGATTGGAAATTGTCAATGAGATTTAATAGATTTAATGCTATAAGATATATTTTATAATATTACATTTATCATGTTTAAGGTAATTTGTTTTAGGTTCAAATTCAATTCTTAAAGATTTGGGGATTGCATTTTCTACAAATTCTATAGATAATGAAGTATGGGCATTAGCATAATTAACTTTCTCTAAATATTATTATAATGTATTTGAATTATTGAAGGGTAATTCACAACAATGAGGCTTTTGATCTTTCTTAAATTATTTACCACATGTAAATGGACATGGAGTTTTGGATGGTAATCTAGTTTAAATGATAATCTAATAATTTAAGACTTCTTTGAGTTATTATGAATTTAATAAGTTATCTTATTAAGGTTCATCAATTTAAATATTCATAAGTTAATCAGATTTAGAATGTTCTCCAAGTTTATTCCAAATTTATTGATAAATTTAAAATGCTGTAAATTATTTCTTAATAATAATAATCTTAGGAATAGCTGCACATATATATTCACATTAATAAGAAAAGGCATTCTTTTTTTCATATGAATAGATCATCACATCAAAATATTAATCTTCATCAGTTATAGAATAAATGCTTTAATCCAATTAAAATAAGCAAAAATAACTATTTTAATTATCATTAAGAACTTTTGATAATTGATCTTCATCATGAAATAAATACATATCTATTTAATTATTTGAACAAAATGCACCTAATAAATAAATGGCTTCAATTCCCAATTTTTCTCCTATATCTCTTTTAACATCTAATAACATAGTTTAATTTGGTTAATATTCATAAACAATTTTTTCATATGGTTTATACCAATCATTTGATATAACAAATACATCAACTAAATGTTTTGATTAAGATACAGCATTTAATGAAAGTGGCAAAATCAAAAATTATTCATAACTTTATGTTTTCTAATCACAAATTGGACATTCTATTTCTGATCTAGTTATTCCTAAATAATTCTTAACAATAATTGAACTATTTAATTTATGAATCAATTCCAAAGCTTATTCATAATTATCATTATTGATTTACTAAAATTATATAAAATAATTTACATTTTATTATACTTTTTTATGGAATTATATCTATTACTATTATGTTGGTTAAGTTTCAGTATTTTCTTGTTCTTCACTACTATCATCTTCACTATCACTATTTGCTTATTCAGGTTCTGGCTTATCACCATCTCCTAAATCTAATTACTATTATAATTAAATTTAAGGTTTCTATTTATCATCCTTTTATATCAATTCTTCATTTAATGCATCAAATAGATACAATATAAATTCTGCAGCATCTTATTAATAATTATTTCCAAACTAATATATGGATATGAATTTTTACGAATGGATATTTTCTAGCTAATTATTATCTGAAACTATATGGAGAGAATGCTTTATTTTATGTCAAGAGATTTTTTAATAGCTTTTCTAATTTATAATTTAATTAAACACTCCTTTTAATAGTATTTTATGTCCAATATTATTTATTTGATAGGAATTCCTAAAAATGAGTTGAACTAAAGAGACTTTATAAGGATGAATTCATATAACAAGTATTACCTAAATTGACTAATCCTACTCCTTATCCATTTTATATAGTTTCATATGTAATTGCATCAAAATCATCATCATCTTATGAATCATAAGCTTTTGTGCATTATCTTGAATGAAATTCTTAATCTTTATATCTGCAAGTATCACTACAATAAAATACTTTTTTGCAAGCACATGAATAATTCAATAAAGCCTTTGATCCACAACTAAAACAACAACCATTTTAATTTAATTCAAATTTTACATCTAATTAAGATAATTCAATTTCATTTTAAAATACTACTAATATAAAATGATTTTTTAAAAACTATGATAATTATAATTACTAATATTCTGCTTCTAATAATTATTCACCTAATAATATATTTTTATTTTGATGAATTGTCTTTATCAATTATAATTTTATTTGATTTTATTCATATATTGGATTCATTAACCATATTTGAATATCTTGACTTTCCATTATTTATTAACAATATATTTCTAACTCTTTGAATTTCCAATCACTATACAATTATATTTTTCTCATTCTTAATAAATCAACAGAATTTGCCAATTAATTTTAATTAAGTGAACCAATTTGATTCAATTTCTCTTGAGTCATAAATATTGCATAGGGCTTTGATATCAACTAAAAATTACACTTATTGTCATCAAATTAAATTCTCCTTACTCATTTGCTATCCTTTTTACTGCCTTTCCCTTATATTTCTCATAAAAGAATTCCCAAACATCTTATGTGATCAGAATAAAATCTTTTACAGGTTGGACATCATTCAGTGGAGGATCAAAATAAAAATATAATTCAGGTGCAGAATGAAATAATTCCTCATTTGCTATTATATCCTTATTAATTTCTCCAATTTATTGTCTTCCATATTTCTTTCCTCCTGGTTAATCACCTTTCAATACAGCATCATATCCAACATGAGTCTTCCAAGTTTCTAACCATATTTTTGATAATAAATAAGCCTCCTTCACTTATTTCTAAAGGAAAAGATCTTTTGAAAGTTTTAATTTATTGATGCCCTCCAAAGCTATTTTTATTAAAAAATTGATACCTTCTAGATATAGATTTTACTTAAAGTCTTCTCCTAAAGGTGGTAGAGGAGGTTGATGACGCTTGTTTTTTCCTCCTTTTTTCTTGTGTTTTCTGCCCATAATAGAAAAAAAAAATGAATTTATTTATGATTTATATGTAACTAAATTTAATAATCATAAGAATACAAAACAGATGTTAACATTATAATTAATCTAAATAATATCATAATATATCTTTAATTATAATGTATTATGATCAATTATTAAATTAAATAACACATATTCACAGAATAATCAATCAATCTCAAATATTTCTGGCATAATTTCTTAAAATTTTAAAAACTGAATGTTTTTTCTTTATTAATAATTATTTATTAATGTTTATTGACTTTCTACTTTAAGTTCTGGTTAATCATCTTCATCATTGTGTTATTCTACATATTCTATCTTTTTTTAATTATCAGGTTATTATTACTATTCTTTTGAATAAGGAATCTCTAATTCTTAATTGTTATTTTGTTATTATTATTATTTTATTAATCTTTTATCTCTTAACTCTATTAACTTATCTTAGAATTATGAATAAGGTATATTTGCATACTCTAATAATTAATATTTATATATTTTTACATTATTCTTAAATTTATATTATATTATCTTCATTTCTACTTTCAAATTTTATGATAATAAAATCTGTTACATAATCAATTGTAATTTAATAATCAGAATTATTTTAAAATTTCAAATGTAAAAATTGATTTGTAACAAATTAATCTACTACTTATTTTTACAATATGCAAAGATCATTTTCATCATATTCTATGTTTAAATCTTCTCTTTTGTATCCTTTAATACGAATTATTAAAAATAATAATTTTCCATCTTATCTTTAATTGAATGTTAATGATTAAAAGCTCTCTCTAAAAATTAGATTATAAATTACTGTTTTTATTCTTATATTTCAATTTCTTAATTTTATTGATCTTTATTTTCAGAAGAAGCAAGTTCCTCTACAAGAACCTTTTAATCTTAAATTTGTTAATCTTCAGATTCTTATGGAATAAATTTTATCTAAATTTCTTATTTAATCTCAGGTTCTTCATTTTCATCATTTTAAGTTGTTAATTATTCTTGCCTAATTCTATCAATTTCCTCTTAATATTTAATTTTTAAATAATCTTTAGATATAGGAGCTCTTATCTTTAAAATCTTTGATTTTGCATCAAATTTTGCTTATGCTTCACTTTATTCAATTGGATATGGTAATTTAATATCCAAGAAATATTTATTTGGCACATCTAAAACAAGTCCTTAATTACTAAGATCCAATTAAATTTCTTTCATAGTTTCTACTTTCTACATTTTCAATTCACATGCTAATTAATTTGGTAATTTAACAGACATATTGGCTCTAGAATCTAAAAAATCACTATATTCAACAGGATATGAATATATAAATCTATATTTGGGTCTTGAAACAGCTGTAGATTCTATTTCATCAGATTCTTTTTTAATATCTTCATCTTCTTCTGCTAATTCATCTTTCTATTATTATTATTTTAATTTCTCTTCTTCTTTAGTCTTTTCATTTTCTTCCCTCATCTAATTTATATCTTTTTGTAATTTTGTTTATGCATTAGCTTAACCTCCTTATCTACTATCTAATTCATTTGTAACTTTTCCCTTTTTATCTATTCTAACAGGAAGAAGAGCTGGTTCACCTCCTTTACATTTTGTATGTTTAAGAACCTTAAAATCTTTACTTATTTCTTCATTTCTTTCTCCAAGTTATTTACCTGATGCTTCTAGTGCTGTTGAACATACTAAATTTTTAAAATTGGGCATCTTGTAACATAATCCTATAGTATTTGGATGAAAGGCTACATCAACAGTATTGCATATACTTTGCTCTATATTAAATTTATAATATTACTTTTGTCTTAATCATATCTGATTTTACCAATAGAATAGGGGATTTTCCAATTTTATCCTGTTTATCCATTTTAAGTTATTGTTTCTGATTATGGTTTATCAATAACACCTGTTGAACATATATTAATAAAAAACTTAAATAATATATGATTTCTTTACTTTTTATTCATGTTTTCTATTTTATTTATTCCAAATAGTTGTTTTAACACAAAAATGAGGTTCAGGTTTAATCAACTTCATGCCTTTTGGCAATTCTGATTCTCTTTCCAATTATTTTAAATATTAATCATATTCTTCCCTATTTTTTGGATCTGATATTTCTTTCATGTAATCACCCATCAATTCAGCAAATTCTGGCTTCTTCATTGCCTTTTCTATTTTTTTGAATTCCTAAATTCATTAAAACAAATACATCTCTTGTAATTTTAAGATCTTCAGGATTTGTACCATGTTAATTAGGAATTTACATAAGTTATATATTTATATTAAATTATTTATTGTAAAATACTTCTAAGTTTTAATTATTAATTAATTTATTCATTTCTTATTATACCTATTATTATTCTATTCAAAAGGAAAATCAAAAAGAAATTATTATATACAAAAAAATCACAATTAGATATTATTATTATTTTTATATTTATTTTATGAGTTATCTATTTTTTGGTACATTGCCTTCTTCAGTACCTCCTGTGTTTGGTATATCATATTTTTAATATAGACACTACACCATGTTTGAAATAAATGCATGATTATGAAGACTGTGCCTTTGAGTAAATTAAATATTAATCATTCAAATAGATCAAATACTAAACAAATGGAAATCATTCATCCCAGTTGGCCTTCAATGTGGCCAAGAATGTTAACTGATGGAAAATCAATTGTAATTAAAAATCATAATATTTTTAGGATTTTGGTCATACTCCTATGCATTAAGATAGTTCTACTCATTATACTTAGTATTAATAAGTATTATATTACTAGTATGCGCCCATTAACTAAAAAAATCAAGCATTATTTATGGGAATGTGAAGAAGAAAGGTTTGTCTATAAGGCTTGTTTGAGAAAATTAATAAGCCTTAAAAGAACCGATAAACACACTAGTTGGGATACAGCATCAGTTAGCAACTTAAGTTTAGTGTGATTTATAATATATAAATATAAATATAACAATAATAAGATAATTATTATAACAATTAGTAATGTAATATCTCTTTTTATATTCAAAATCGAATATAATCTTATAATAATAGAATATTAAAATAATTACTAGTTTCTATGATAATCAACCTATTTTATATCTATTAAACTTTTAATATTTTTATTTAAGAAATTTCTATGCTTTAGCTTTTATTTTCTATTTCATAAATTGTTCAAATATAATTAAATACTCTTACAAATTCTCACAATATATTTGAATAGGGAAAATTTAAACAATCTATATACATGTTTTAACATTAGAATACTGATGTAATTATTTGAATTTGATATAAAAATCTGATTTGATATTTCTGTAAGTTATTATAAATCTTTTTAAAATACATTTATCATTGATAGGTAGTAGCTATGAAAATAATCAGTCTAATTAATCAATTTTTGAAGGAATTTTATTGAAAAAGTAGTATGTAATAATTATTCTACTATTGAATATATATTTATAACATAAAATTATGTGCTATGTTAAAATCAAAAATTTAGAATATAATTAATAAAAAACAATGAATTGATAATTTATATTTATTATATTTTTTAATATTAATGTAATTATATTAAAAAGTTGCATTATAAAATTTGATATATATATTATTTATTTATAAATAGAGTGATTCATCTAAAAGAGTTTAGGATAGTTTACTTAAAAGTTATTCTTTAGAATAAGCGATTAAAAAAGATGAAATTGTAAATTCTTAGATTTTTGAAAATATTCTTTGATGAATCATTTATTTTTGGAAATAGGTAGTTTTAGATTTACTTAAATAAACATTTTTATTTAAAGAATTATTATAAGAAAATTAATTCATTACTATTATATTATTTATATACAATTCTGAAATTCTTAATTAGTTAAATTTTGAATAAGTAAAAAATATTTTCTCCAACTTTTGACATTTATTTTTATTTTATTAAGACGTAGATAATGGTATTACATAGAAATTAAATTGTAGAATGTTCTATATCATCAGAATTAGTTAATCAAAAAATAAAAGATTCTCATAATTGATGAATAATTATATTCTATTTATGCAGACCTCAAATTAAATAAACTTATTAATAATATTTTCTATCTGATAAATTTCTAATAACAATATTATCATGAGTGAAAGCGAAGGACAAATAAATTTAAATGTTAGCAATTCTCATTAGAGATCTAATATACAATAAGTTGAGTAACAGATAAATAATCAGATTCTAGAATAAGAGATTCCTGTTAATAATGCTTAAGCTGAAGAAAATGAATAATAGTAAGTTTGTTATATTCATATTGAAAGGGAAAACAACAATCTTATAGGAAATTAAAATGCTTAAATAGACAATGTTGGTTAAGCATAAGAAACAAACAATAAAATTGATTTTAATAAAAGCATTTATTATGCTCCTTAGAAAATAGAATCACCAGAGTAATTTTTCGAAAAAGTATTATAACTTACTATTTATAGATTCATAAAAAAGAAAATTTAAATAAAAAATGCTGTTAAGCCTGTTGCCTTCCAATAGGTTCTCATACATTTTGCTTTGGAACAGAAAATACAAAATAAGATTTTAAATAATTTGGTCTTGGTATTAATCTATATTTTCGATTCTTGAAAAAATTAGGGTACTTTTTTATTATTTTTACAATATTATCAATTCCATAATTATTCTTTAGCATATTAGGTATTAATAATGAATTAATATAGCATATACTGGAAGTAAATCTCGTGATACTTCTAATTCATTTGAGTTTTTAATGGCTACTACTATTGGTGCAACTAGTTTGAATAATAAAGATTGTTAAATTTAAGTATTTCAGATTAATGAAGATTCTAATATTGATGATAAATTTATTGAGTTTAATTTATAGTGTGATTCTGGAAATCTTGCTGGATCATCATTTTCCTATGGCATAATCAATACAAATGAATAAGATTGTATTTATTTGAGTTACTCTGAATTGAATTTAAATACAACTAATTAAGATCGATTAAATTAATTAAGATAATAAATTGATTCTAAAGAAGAATTTACATTTACTTTAAATTAATAAGATTTTGTTAATGAAGATCCTAAAGGAAAAAGAATCTATGCAGGAGCATTTTGTAAAGAAGCCATAATAACTATTGGATCATTAGAATTATAATCAAAAATAGTACCAGTCATCTTTGCATCTTGTGATGCAGCAATAGTTTTGTTATTCATATATTTTTTAATTAGCTTAACTGTTAGTGAAAATAAGTACAATAAAATATCATAAAATGAGTCTCCTACATTATAACATTTTTCTTTTTAAATATCAAGTTTACCAAATTATGAACAATTAAAAGAAGCTTTATAAAGCTAAGAAAATATTATGAATAAAGATTTATTGCTTAATTAAGTGAAATAATTCATTAATGAACAATTAAAATCAGTTCTAGAAGGTTAAGATATATAGATTTATGATATTTAATGGTCAGAAAACGAAACAATAATAGAATTACAAAATAAACTAAATAAAAGAAAAATCAAAATTTAAGAGCTCTTAGATAAATTAAAAAACTTAAATCCAGATAAATTTGAAAAAAATATAGAAAATCAAAATGTAATTAATTTCACAAAAGAAATATATATTTAATTTTATCCTAAATTTAATAACGATGCATGTGTTCCTTTGAATGAGTCTAATATGATATAAATTAATCTTGATATTGAGAAATATTGGAAAGAAATAGAAGAAATAGCTAATAAAATTAATCAAATTTAATAAAATGAGCATTTAAAATATATTTGGGTTACTTTTGATACAATAAGCTAAAAAGAAAAGGTGTAAAAAAGACTTTAAAGTCTTCCTAAAGATTGGCTTTATTATTATATTTGTCATAAATGTTTTAAGAATGATGAAGAATAAAAAAAATTGTAAAATATTTTAAATTATTTAGCTTACATAAAAAATTTAAGCTATAAGTTAAAGATGCACCTATTCCTGAAAATATAAATTGGCGAAGTCTTAATTATACTATGAAACATAGATTTCTTAGATAATTTTGTAGTTTTTTTTGTACTCTAATTCTATTAGCTTGTTCATGGATTTTAATAAGCTGGGTAAATCTATAAAAATCAGATTTTCAAGAATAATATCCATCAATAAATTGCAATAATAAAATCTATAATAATATAACAATAGAATAAGTTTAATAAGAAATTGATAATAAAAATAATTCTCCTATTAAAGGTTATGTAGAGTGTTATTGTAAACCTAAATTTAGTGAAATTCTATAAGGAGATCATGAAATATGTTAAGATTGGAGTAAATAGTATACATTCTAATAATCATTACCTTGGATTATTGTAGCAGGACTAATATTCATAAATATTTTAATTTAATACATTTTAATTAGTATTAATTAATATAATTATTTAGTTCTATCAAAATGGGAAAAACATCTAATGATTTCCTAAGAATATTCAAGCAGAATTTTTAAAATATTTCTTGCTTAATTCTTAAATACAGGATTGATTCTCTTAATTACAAATATAGATTTTGGTAATTCTACTAGAAATGATGCTCCAGAGACTATTAGATTTCTTTTTGGAGGAAAATATGGAGATATTGATTCTAAATGGTGTCAAAATATAGGAATTGTTTTGGTATCTAATTAATTTATTAAATATAGTTATTAACTTTATTGATTAATATTTTAACATAACCTATTATGCTTTTTATTGAAATAATTATTAGATATATAAGAAAGGCTTATGATTAATGTTCATGTTGTTTAAATGAAAAGAAAACTAGATAAAAAAACTATTAAGATTTCAAAGATTTATATAAAGGAGAAGAGTTTCGAGTTGAATTGAGATATGCATAAATTTTAACTGCCCTTTATATTTGTGTTATGTATAGTCCTGCACTTCCATTCTTATACTTCATTACAATGCTTACAATTTGGTTCCTTTATTTTGTAGATAAAATTTCTAGTATTTAAATAAAATTAAATAATTAGTTTTTACTACATATCGAAAACCAATCAGATTAGATTAAGTAATTTGTGAATCTGTGAGAAAATATTTATGGATAGCTGTTATTATACATTTAAGCTTTGCAATTTATATTTTTGGAAGTTCTAATTTATTTTATGAAACAACTGAGGCTAAAATTGTAATAGATTAATTATCAGATGTTTATGGTTAATAAAATGTTGCAGTAGAATGGTGGGATAGATCTTGGAGTTAAATACCGAATGTCATTTTATTAACAATCCTTGCTTTGATTGTACTAATAATAATTATATTCTTCTTTTGTTATAAACCAATAATAGGATTGTTTTCTAAATGTTTTGCTTGTTGTAATGAGGAAATTAATAAAAATAATCCACTTGGATTAGATTAATAAGAATAAACACCATTTTTAAAATGTAATATTAATTAAATTTATTCTAGTTCTAAAAATGGAATAATTAGTCGATGATCAAAAATTCACAAAATATTAAATAAGTCAGCATCCTTAAATTTATGAAGGAAAATATCTCAAATTGTAGACAGAACTTAATGCACTCAAAAGGTAAGATAATGATAATTCTCCTATAAACAATCAAGATAATTAAATAGATTAATTAACTCAAGCTTAAAATATAAATAAGAAAAATAATTAGAAACTGGTTGGTTTAAGGTCATATAACATAGCAGTATTATTTTTTTCTTATTTTAGTATAATAAATAATACTAAAAATACTATGAATGGGAATAGATTAAAGCCATAAAAATAGAATGAAGATAATAATGATTGATTATTATTCAAAAATTTTTAGATTATATTTTAAAAGATTATTTTTTCCTTATTAATCTTGGAATAAAACCTAAAAATTTTAATAAAATTATTTTAGTAAATGCATGCTTTTTAATTAGTTTATTTACTTTAGTAAAAATATAAATTGCTATATTCTACAATAATATTTCTTATTTAATATAATATTTAATTATGAAATAAGTTAATTTATAATATTAATTAATAATAATAAAAAGAATTTTTAAGAGAGTTTATTGAATTATAAATTATTATTAAGCGATGAATTTAAATAAGATTTATTTTTTGTTATTAATTTTTTTAGTAATTGAAATAGCAATTTATTATAACCTTATAATTTATCACTATATAAAATGGATTATATAATTAACAGGATTAATTTATAATATTTATTATTTCTTAATAAAAGTATATTGCTATATAATCAACATTTAAGGTTACTTAATTCAAAAACAGTTTATTTGAGAAATACATTGTAAATATCAGAAAAACCCTATTGTAATTAATATTTTAATTACTTCTAATAATTGAAAATTTACAAGATATTTATTACTTATTAACCACAAGATTTCTACACAAATTTTGATTTCAGTTTTGAATTTATACATTATTTGAATTTTAAATGTATCCTTATTTTGTACTTGCTTTATAGAAACTGGTTTTTTCATTAAGAAGTATTCTATAACATTCTTAATAATTAATTCAGGTTATCCTTTTATAGTCAAACAAGATTCTGAATTAGATTGATTTTTAACATTTGGCAATTAACTGACAACTTTACCAGTTAAAAATGATATCAATTCAAATCCTTTCATTTATCGTATAAATGATGGGTTATCTATGAAATTGTTCTTTAAAAGGGTTGTAGATACTTTTAATATATGATGAGCAAATTCTTATGGTTAAGTAGGAAACTCATCTTATAAAAACCATTATTATTCTTCTTTTGTTATATCTGTTTGAAACCATTAATGTTAAATAATATTTTCAATAGTTATTCGCTTATTTGGATGTGTGACTAATAATTTTGAGAGCAGATCCTTTAATTCTGTTGAAAAATATTTAGGAAATGGGAAATATTATGCTGTGATAATATTATCCAAAAGAATTGCTACATTATCATCTTCAAATGGCAAATCTAATTAAATAATATGGGAATTTTACATCCAGCACATGAAAAATAGAGAATCACACCAAGTGACCAGATATCTGCTTTATGTCCATCATATCCAGAAGATTAAATCACTTCTGGTGCTAGATAATGAACTGTACCACATGTAGTGTATAATTCATTATTAAGATTACTTGGATCTTGAAAGAGAGAACTAAGACCAAAGTCATTGACTTTTATTTAATCTGTTTAGTTGCAAATGAGAATATTTTCTGGTTTGAGATCTCTATGGGCTATTGATTTGGACTGGCAATATCGAATGGCTCTTATTATTTACCTAAAGTATTTGCGCATTTATGGTTCTGGTATAAATTTGTTATTTCTAATCATATCAAATAATTCTCCTCCTTTAATCCATTCCAACACCAGGTAAATCTTCGTTTTGCTTGCCAATACCTAACTTAGAATTATGTTTATACTTCTATTAATTTTACGATGTTTGGATGATTGATGATCATAAGTATATGAATTTCCTTTTTAAGACTTTCAATTAGTTCTTCTCTCTTGATTTTTTCTTTATCAATAATTTTTATAGCAAATTCTTATTTCGTTGTGACATTTATGGCACTCCTAACACTGAAAATATTATATAAAAGATCATTACATTCCAAATGCACCTTAACCCAGAATGGCTCCAAGTTCATAATCACCTACTCTTTTGGTCATTTATATAAATTATTATAATTTAATATCTCTTAGAATAATTTTCATATAAATTTCAACATCAATTAGTAATTAAGGGTATTTTTTTATTCATCAAGGCCAAAAATAATATAAATTTATAATTCTATAAAAGAAATCTTTATATGCTTCTAAATTTTCTTATTTAAATAAAGAAGCATGAAATAACAGACATATATAAGTATTTACTTTATTTTTGTATTTATAATGATAATTTATGAAATTTGAGAACATTATTGAAAATTATTTATTTGTAAAAAAAATTAATAAAAATGATGAATTTTCAATCATTATAATAATTATATTCATCCATTGAGTTTCAAAGTTTAAATTATATTTATTTAAATTATCATTTTAAGCATATAAAATGGAAAAAGAAAATATACAAATAACAAAAAATATTATTTTATAAAAAAAACTTTGTAATTGAGATTATCTTATAATAAACTTAATGTGTATATACATAAATTTAATTGTTAATTAATTTTAGTGATATATTTGATATGTATTTCTTTTAGAATAAAAAATCTTAATATAATAATAAGATACTTAATTTTTAATGGGTAGTTGAATATCTTAAAATATAAGATTCTATCAATAATTTAGAATTGATATTATTATTCATAGTTTTTTTTATTCTAATAAATTGTTATGTAATATTAAACTTTATAAACTGTCACTTGTTATAAATAATAATTCGAATGATGAATAATACTACCGAATACCCATCTCAAATAACTGAAACTATTTAAGGAATTACTTTTTCGAGTGCATTTGATTCTGGTAATCTGAAGAGTGTTCGCAGAGAAAATAGTGGAAGAGTAAGTAAATTTTAACATTATTAAGTACATCCTTAATATATCAAGTGATTGGGGTATAAATGGTAGGACAACTAATTATAGAACATGGTTTTATTTCTCAGTGTCTGGAGTAAATGAAGGAGAACTTACATTTGTTATTGCCAATCTCTAAAACCAAGTAAATAATAAGATCAGCTTTTTAGATGGGACTTTTCAAAGATGGAATGTAACCTGTCTTTAGAAATTGTCATTCATCTTAATGGGAGAGATTAAAATAGCCATGTTATTATCGCTTAGTACCTGAGGGTCATTTTGAAATCACCTTTAAGCATCTATTTCTTAATGATTCAACAGTTTATTTTGCTTTTTTTTATCCATGGAGTTGTGAAGACAATGATGTATTTAAAATAAATAGTTTTAGAATTTTCTATAACTATGTTAAGCTATGTCTCTTTAAGTAACTGACATTTATTATGATAATTCAATATTGGCTTACTCAAAAGAGGGTAGACCTATTAATCTAATAACAATAACACATGGTTCATCTTAAATCAAAGAAGAACCTATACCTGGTTTATTCCCATAAAGTAGACCTTAGCATTTCAAGAAACCACACATTTTTATTTCTGCTAGAGTTCATCCTGGAGAAGTACCAGGATCTTTTGTTAATAATGGATTGATGAAGTATCTACTCAATGCACATGATCCAGTAGCATAAGTAGCAAGGGAGAAGTTTGTTTGGAGTATTGTTCCAATAATTAATCCTGATGGAGTATATAGAGGACATTATAGAACTGATTCTTTATGTTAAAATCTAAATCGATATTATCTATCACCATCAAAGGAGGATCATCCAACTATTTATGCAATTAAAGAATATATAATGAGACTTTAAAATACAGATAGACTTTATGGATATATTGATTTACATGCTCATGCTGGTCATAAAGGAGTATTTATTTATGGAAATTAATTACCATCTTTAAGTTAACATACAACAAATTGCATAATTCCAAGATTGATTAGTTTATATTCAGAAATCTTTGATTATGATGCATGCAACTTTACTGAAAAAAATATGTATGCTGCTGATAAAGGAGATGGATTAAGTAAGGAAGGTTCTGGAAGAGTGGCATTTTATAAGATTTGTGGAATTCTTCATAGTTATACTTTAGAATGTAATTATAATACAGGAAGGATTACGAATATTATGTATGAATAGAGTGGAAGTAAACTTAATATTAAATTTAAGATAGTTCATATAAAGATGAATAATTGGATGATAATATTATTTTGGGATCTGTTTACACTTCGAATCCGAAATCATATTTTTTTTCAATTTAAGATTATGAATAAGTAGGAGTTGGAATAGTAAATGCATTTTTAGATTTTAATCTTATTAATCCTATGAGTAGATTATCAGCTTCTCCCTTTAAGACCTTAGCTAATTTGAGAACATTTTTAGCATATAATATTATGAGAACAATGCATTATAGATATGAACCATATTTAAGGAAAGTTTTAAAGTAAATAAATGATAAATTATAAAGGTTTATTAATAATAAAGAATAATTGAATAGAGTATTGAAAGCTTTTTATGATTATATATGTAATGGATAGATTAAAGATAATTTAGAAGGTAGTTAAGAAGTTGTTACATAAAAACCCTAAACAAGATATTAAAAGGCCTAGGAAATTAAGAAAGAAAAATAAGAGAAATAAGAAAAGTAAAAATAATAACAATAATAATAATCTTAAAAATAATAATAGTAATAATAATAACAATAATAATAATAATAATAATAATAATAATAATAATAATAATAATAACAATAATAATAATAATAATAATCATAAAAATAATAATTCAGAAGGTCATAATATGAATAAGTTCCTGTTAAATAATATCCATTCTCTGAAGTAGATTTAGATGCAAGATAAATGAGAACTTAAAGTTAAGGCAAGACAAGGGCTAGATCTGAAACTAAATAATAATAAGTTTAATAATAATAAAAAGTACAGAGAGCATTTAAAATAAAAAGAAATGTGAAAATATGACAAAATATTAGTAATTTAATCAACTTTATGTATATTTTTTAAATTGTTTCTTATTTCTAAAACATTAATTAAAACAATTTTATATAGATGGCTCTACTTTAGATTCCTCAGATTATGAATCCTAAATGTTTTCCTAATTGCATATAAATAATTATACTTACTTAAGGATCTAATAAGCTGGACTTAATGTTTATCTTTTATCCAGTTATTCTTTCATAAGTAGTGATACCATAATATAAATTCTTTGTTTAGTATATACATAAAAGACTAATATATAGAATTTATGATTTACAAAATTGGAGTAATGAAAATGAATATATTTATAATTGGATATAGCATTATTAGATAATTGTACAAAGATAGGCTATCAGATTAGCAAAAGTCTAAAATGAATAAATGTAATTACAATAAACTATTATACTTGCTGAATATAGCTAGATTATGATTAGAGAAATAAGATAAACATAAAAATAGAGTAAATTTCTACATAATATTAATATATAATTTACTTGGCTCCAACACAGTTGTTTATCCATGGACAATGATGATCATAAACAACTACACATTTTTTACAAAATTCACAATGCTTTGATCTTTAAGGTTTAATCACCCAACAATCCGGACATATATTGATAGGATCTATCTATTATTCTATAGCTTCTTCAATAGTGAGATGCAATTTAATTATTCCTGGATCACAACATTATGCTAACATAGAAGCTAATAGTAGAATAGCCAGAAAAACCAAGAAAATGTATAATAATTTCCCTTAGATTTCCCATAAGATATATCCTATACAACTTTGGGATGTTAATATGACAAAGTAATAAACAAGTATGGATTTTCTATTTCTTTTTATTGGATGATATGGCTATTTCAAATTATAGAATAATGCCAAATCAGTTTTATCTTCAAGCATTTTCTTTATTTATAGAGATTCAGTCAAATTGATTGGTAATTTTCCATCTACATCCTATATAGAAATTATTCCAAATTACTTCGATATCTCTATAAGCTCCTTTGATAAGTAGTTTTTTTACAACTCTAGTTTGTCCATAAGATGCACCAATATGTAATGCAGTTTATTATTCATTATTTTTACAATCAATATTACATCCAAATGAAATCAAAAAGCTCACAGTTAATTCACAACTATAGACTTTAAAAAATGATAAAGATACTTCTAATACGCTGCCCAATGCAAGCAAGTATTTCCTGCATCATCTTATACATTTATTGAGATTCCTTATTATAACCAATACCACTTCTATAGAAAAACAACATTATACCACCATATATGGTTAATCTCCTTAAGCTGCTGCATGTATAGGTAATAAGCCAGACCCACTTTTTAGAGCAGAATCAGCACCTATATTGAGTAAGATCTTCACAGCTTCCTTATATAAATGCAATTAAATATACCACATTTCCATTATAAGATGCAATATGAAGGGCTGTGAAGATTTCGATATTGTATGTATTAACTAATTTTCGAATCTCATTCTCCTTATAATTGTCGATAGAGTATTATTCAAGATATTTTAAAAATGAATAATCATTTCTCTGAACAGCAATATGTAGAACTTAGATCATATTTAAAAGATTACTTGTTTATTTCTTGCCACAATCTAAATTCAAAATATTTGGTTTGACTTTATTCATAAATTCCATTAATTGCTGTATCGAATTACTTTAGATCATTTCCTTTATAATTTATTGTGAATCATCAATCATTATTATAAAATAAATTATAATTCCATTTTATAATTATAATCATTATAACATTGATTGCAATTAATAAAATTATATATAAAAAGAATATCTCATAATCTATTTGATACCTTTATAAATATTTAAGTATAAAAAGAATCTAAAAAATTAGTAATTTCTTTGTTTTCACTGTTTTAAATCCCTTTTTCATATAAAAGTTCTTATTTATCTAAATAACATCTTTTATTATCTAAAATAGACCAAGAGATTGTTAATTCTTTATATTATGCTAATATACTATGTTTAATAATTTTATTATAAAGATTTAAAAATAATAAAAATAATCTTAAAATTATAGATTTGTAAGATAAAATATTCTAAAAAAATTAATTAATTTAAAAAGTACAAGCAAATTTTTTCAACTTTTGAATATAATTATAAAGAAATATTATAAAACAATCATTATTATTTTTATCTTAACATCTTTAGAAACATATATGCTCCTAATCTAATTGCTACAGTAAAAGCAATTAGAATTGCTACTGATTCCCATAATCCTACTTCAAATCCAAGAGTTTCAATTGGATCACCAAACTCATAATTTCTTCCTTCAAATTCATTTGTGGCCAAGGCTTCAAAAGAGTATTTAACAGGACTTATATATTAGATCCAACCAATCCAAACAAAAAATTACTTTGAATTTGCAAAGAATCCTGAAAAAATGATTAAAGGCAATAAGATTAATGGTACAATGCTTGTAGCAACTTTAATATCATTAAATGCACATCCAGCCATCAATCCCATACTATTACCATTTAAACAAGTTAGAATAGCAATGAATATATGTGCAATAACAACTCCACCATCTCTTGTATTTAAACCAATCATCCAATAAAGAATAAGTTCTTAAAGTATTGGTGTAATAAGACAAAAGGGTATTTCAACAAATGATTTTCCCATGAAATATGAAAAAGTAGTATATAATTTTGAATTCTCTTCTCTCAAAAATACATCTCTTTCAGTTGAAAATTACAACACAACAGGAAACAATGAACTCATAGTAAGATTGATACATAAGAAAAACATACATCCAGACATACTTGTGTAATCTGCCAATGTTCCTGAATCTTCTCCAATTCCATAATATGAATATCCAAGTAATAATCCCAAAAAAATTGCCATACCTACTCTTTATTTAACAATCATTTTATCTCTTAAAAATCCTTTTATTGCTCTTTTTGCAATTAAGTTAATTTAAAATGCAGTAGAAGTTTCAACTTATTTATATACTAATTCAGTTTTTGAAGATTCTTTGATTTCATCTAAAACTGGTTTGTGCAATTACTTTTCATATTAATCAAAATAGATTGGAAAATTATCTATATTAATTTGACTTTCTTGATGCATAATACTCATCATAAAATCCATAGGATTACTATGATCTGGACATGAAAATCCTATTCCTTTAAAGTATCCAACTAATTTAGTTCTAGGTCCTTAGTAAATGAATTTTCCTTAAACAAGTAACATTATTCTATCAAAAAGTAAATATATATCTGAAGATGGTTAATGAATAGTAAATACAATTGTTCTATCTTATTCATGTGCAAGTAATTAAAGTTCATATCTACAATTATTAATTTAATAATATTACATAATTTAAAATGCAGTAAATGAATCTAATCCTGAAGTAGGTTCATCTAATAAAATACATGAAGGATTAGTAACTAATTCAAATCCTATTGATGTTCTTTTTCTTTCTCCTCCTGATATCCCTTTTAATGAAGGACCTCCAATTATTGCATTTTAACATCTTTCTAATTTCATTGTTTTTATAGTGTCTTCTACTCTTGATTACTTCAATTCTGAATCTGTATACTTTAAATCAGCAACAAATTATAATGCTTCTCTAGGAGTTAAAGTTTCAAAAAGAACATCATTTTACATAACATAAGCAGCAAAATTAGAAAATGTTTCAGAATCATACTCCACTTAATTAGCAAGTACTTTTCCTTTTAGTTTGACAGATTTAGAACTTTAAACACGAGCAGCAAGTATATTCAATAATGATGTTTTACCAGCACCAGATGCTCCTAAAATGGCAGTAACTTCTCCTCCTGGACAATATCCATCTAAATTCCTTAATATTTCTCTTTTATCTATGATTATTATATAATAATCTTACTTCCTTTCTGATCAACCACTTAATATTCAATATTCTAAAATGCAATATCTACTACTCTTCTACATCTTAAACTTTTAGCACTTTAAACTGTGTCATTAAGTCTTCCAGCTTCTATTTAAGGTAATATTTCTATTTCTTACATTAATTATTTCTCTATTCTTAAATAAAAGTTGGATAAAAATAGTAATTTGGAATTCTGTGATTCCAATATATAACTAGAATTTATCAATATTCTGATTTATAATTTTAAAATTGGATATATATAAAGAAATCCTATTCTAAATCCAAATCACTCATGCATTTATTATAAATAACATCAAGACCATCTCAAAATAAGATCAAAAAATATTTGCATAATCATTATAAATTGAATCTTATTTATATATTTACTATCATCTATAATTATTTTAGGTAGTTTAAGATTATGTATTTATGGAAATATAATATTGGAAAAATAAAAAATTCTTCAATTCTTAAAATATAATTATAATAAAAAATTAAATAAAATAATTAAAACATAATTTCCATAAATTATTTTATGTTTTATTTAATTTTTTATTAGTTATTAAATTGCAAATAATTATATATAAAATAACTTTCATACCATCAAGATTTTAAAATTCTATTCATACATTGCTCTATAAATCATTAATATTTATAAGTTATATTTGAACCCTGTAGATGAGTTAATCATATTTATACAGCAACCAATTTCAAATTTTTAGGCTATTTCTTTATTTATTTAGTCATTACGTATTATTTTTGATTATTAAACGAATGCAACAATACTATTGTGATTATAAATTAAAATGATGACATATTCATTCAAATGGCTTAATTACTCAAATAATACGCATTATTTATTAAAATTTATGGGCATAAAAGGGTCTAAAGCAAATTTATCTCAGAAGACTACTCGTGCACACTCTAATGGGATCACTCGTTCCTCATGTTAAATGCAAGGTTGGAGAGATTATATGGAGGATTACATTTTAATTTAAGAGCAAGAAGAGTTCTAACTTTATGGGGTCTTTGATGGACATGGAGGCTAAGATGTTTCAGAATTTTTGTCAGAGCACTTCTATGAAATATTCGAGATGGAACTAAAAAAAAATCCAGAAAATTATAATCTAGTATTAGAATCTACTTTTGAAACTTTGGATACTATACTAGCCCATCGAATAGCTAGTTCAAAAGTTGGAAGTACTGCCATTATTGTTTTGGTTACCAAAGAAAAGGTGCATATCGCTAATTTAGGAGATAGCAGAGCTATTCTATTTTCAAATGAATCTGTTTAGTAACTCTCTTAAGATCATAACATAGAATCTGAATATAATAGAATAATATCTAATGGTGGTTATATTAGGGATGATAGAATTAATGGTAATTATCAATCATGATTTTCTAGGTTCTTTGACTGTTGCAAGAGCTTTTGGTGACTTTTTCTTAAAATCGTCAAGATGTTCTATAATTTCATCAAAGCCAGACATAATGATGATTGATAGACCTTAAAATAAATCTATCTTATTAGCTTCAGATGGAATATGGGAATGTGCAGATAATTAATGTAATTTTTTATTAGATAAAATTAGATATAAGCAAATATCTTATGGAAAACAATTAATTAGGAAAATTGTTCAATTAATTAATAGCCAAAAATATGAATTAAGAATATGGTTATGATAATATGAGTGCCATACTTATTTAATTCTGATTTTTATTTAATCATTTTATTATTATCATTCATAATTCTATATATTATTTTAAACTAGAATACCATAAATAAAAAGCGTTAAAATATATTACTAATATATTAAACAAAAACAAATACATCATAATCCTATAGAATTTTATATCATATAATCTAAATAATTTTTAAGACCATAAACTATCATATCATAATATTCTCTTAATATCATTTTCACAAAAGAATTAAAATTATTATTATTATTTATTAAATGATTCGATAAAAATAGCAAATCTAATAATTTTATTCTTATTACTCTATTTATTTCTTAAATTATATTGTATCATTTATGGTTTATTATTCTCGATTAAATAAACTTAAATTTTCAAATTATTGATTTCTATTAGGCTGCTTTTATTGAATTTATATTAGGAAATTCTATCTAAATGATTTTTCTTTTTAAATTTACTGATTATTTTATATAACATTGGTCTTTATTTACAATTTAATCAAAAATTTAATAATCTCTCTTTCTTTTTTATAAATTTTTAATTTAAGATAAAAATGATTTTCAGGTTTATTTTAGGTTATTTATGATAAAATGAGATCATTTATGAAGAATGATTATCAAATTTATAATAAATTATTAGTTTTAAATTTTATTAGGTATTTTTATTAAAAAAAAAGATAAATTTTGCTTTTCTTTAAATATAATTTATTAGAATGAAAATGTTTCAATATAATTTTTAAATAGTTTAGATTATGAAAAATATTAAAATTTAGAATTATTTTTAATTTAAGATTTATTTTATTAATTATTAAAGATTATTTCAGTGTTTTAGATTATAAATTTCTATTGATCGCTTTTTTATTCTTCAATTATCATTTTTATGTTTTTTATTCGATTTAATATTCATTTTTTTAATTTACTTAATAATTTAGTTTAATATCTTATTGATTGATTGTCTATCTTACATATATGGATGCAAATTATTAAATTATTATACTATTTGTTTAAAGTATCCCTTACTTATTATTTAATAAATCTAAAAATTAGAAACCATATTTAAATTTCTTGTTAATAGATTGATTACTTATTTTTTTTGACTTATATATTGAAAACTCTAAAAATACTTTTACAATATTGATAGCCTATACTTATTGTTCCTAGAAGAGAGGTATATAAACTTAAAAGTTATATGTCAATTACAATATATACAAAAATGAAAATACTATTGATTTTAATATGATAAATAATTCATAAATGAAAGTGCATTTTCAAGAATACACTTCTCCAGGTAAACCTAAAAGGAGACTTATTTATAACAGAATTAAATCATATATGTAAGCCTATGGACTATCTCCAGAGATCTTTGAAATCAAAGGTAAATCGGTAGTTTTAAAAAATAACAATTCGATTAATCAAAATTACTTAAATAGAAGTATGATGCCAGTCAGACCCAGTAATTAGAAACCAAATCAAAAAATTTCTATTCATAGACCACAAACAGCCTCACTAAAGTAACCTAATAATTTTGATTTGCCTATTTCAAATAAGTATGCTAATCTATTCAATGAAATAAAGAATGCTGAAAATAAAATGCAATTTTAATATGCTAAAAGAGCTAATAAGTCATTGATTAAGGAGGAGGTAGATGAAACATCAGAGTAGAGTTTTATAAGGAAGCATGATTTTATGTTGAAGAACATATCAAAACTTGAAAAGTAAGTAAATCTATGACAATGTTAGGGTTAAATAAATGAAAGTTTAAGAGTTAGAAATAATATAAAGTAAAATAGATGAAGTTAAAAATGCAGATATCAATAGTTCACATTTCATTATAAAAAAGATTGTACATAAATCTACACTTAGAGAGAAGAAGGATAAGGCAGCCTCTTTAATATAGGCTCATGTTAGAGGTAGGATTTATTAGAAAAGATATATTTTATAGAAAAAAAAGTAGGAAGAAAAATTAAGAAAAGTTATTTGTATATAATAATGGTGGAAACTATAAATGAAAAATTTATTAATAAAGAAATAGTTTCAAATAACTCATCATTCCAAATAAGTAAGATTAATAGATGGACGTACTTTTGTTATTGTTACTAATTATTCATATATTTTATATAGGATTAGATTATAATATATAGAGAAATTGGGAAAATTGAAGGGAGATTATAGATTTTATTTAAATTTATAGAATTGTTCAAATATATTAAATTAAAATATATCAAAAGAATCATTTTAATTTGTATCTTTAATTAATTTCATTATCAATTACTTAATTAATATAATCTAAATTTAGGATGATCATTTAATTTTTAATTTTTAGAATTAAAATATTATAATAGATATTCCTAATTTAATGTTATAAGTTAATTTAAAGGCAAATTTTATAATCGGTAATTAATACTAATTATTAATGTTTAATTAAGAAGAGGTATAATAGGAATCAATAAAAAAGGATTAACTTAAATAAATACCATAGGAACATATTTAAATAGAAATAGTATAAATTGAAAATTAATAAGAAATCATAAAGTAGGATTATTAAAATTAATAAGATGTTTCAGTTTATAATAATCTGATTGAATAATAAGTAAATAAATAATCTATTATACTATCTTCCAAAAATATTTAAGTTTATTAATCATCAGAAACAAAAGAAAATGTAGATTAATAAGAATTTTATGAAGAAAATAAGAATGAAGTAGTATAAAGATAAATAGTAGAAAATTAAAATTAAGAGGATAGTTCAAAGATAATTAATAGATAAATTGATTTGAATAATTAAGGTATAATCGAAAATTAAGATAAAGAAATTATAGAATAGTAGATTAAAATTTAATAAAATGATAATGAATATAATAATCAAGAATAAAAAGATAATTAAATTTATTCAGATGAATTGAAGTATAAATAAATTCAATAGACAATAAAAAATTAAGATTAAGATATAAATATCTAATAAAACTTAACAACGTTTTAGGATCCTTAAATTATATTAATACCAATATAAGAAACTCATTCATCTTATTATAATGATTAAAATTTGAACTTAGAAATACAATAAATTAATTAAAATAGTTTATAATCAAGCAATAATGGATAATTGTGTAAATCAATATAAATAATAAGAAATGAGATACCTTCTATTAGTTTTAATAAATAACCTGATTAAGAAGATATAATGCAAACTAAACATGATATAAATTAAGAGGATAGTACAAAATGTTAATAAGAAACTTTTTAAATAGTATAATTAAATTAATAGGTGATAACTTAATATATATAAGAAAATTCATTGGTAAATCAAGAATAGATTTTAGAAATAATGTATTAAGATAAAGATGTAGAAAATAAACGTATACAGTTTGAATACTTAGATATTAAGGTAAATAAACCTTTTGAAATTTAATAAATAGAAGAAGATCAATAAGAATAAATATTAAAATCAGAATATATAATTTGTTAGAATAGTAATATAATATCATAAAAAGAACCATCATAATAGAGTTTTAAAAAGAAGGATAATAATGTAAATTAATTGTAATAACCTTCATAAATAGATTTTCATATGCTTAAAAGTTGTGAGAGTAATGTATTTGAACTTCCTAATTCTGTTAAAGATACAGTCAAATATTTGAATTCTGGAGAACTGTTAATAACTAAAACTGATTTTCTTGCTTAATTGGGAAATTTTGAGAATGAAAATAATGCATTAATTTGTTCAGGAGACTTAAAAAAGGAATTAGAAGATTTACCTGCTCCTGTAAATTTAAAAAGTAGAAGCAATAATTTTGAATCTTAATCTTTTGTGAAAAGAATACCAAGTGATTATAAGTCTCCTATTATTGATGATACACTTAAATTAAATGCAACATTTAAATTTTAATTTAGTTAAGAGATTAAGAATTTAGAGAGTGGATAACTAATTTCATAAGAAATTGATATTAAAATATAGTAATAGTAGTAGTAGGATTCACTTGAATATTCAATTGATGAATCACAAGATTTAGAACCTATCTATATCACAACAATAAGAGTTGATAATATTCATATAGATGTATTTTAAATAATGGATATTTTAAGATTTAAAGATAAGAATGACTTTTATTAATCATTTGATTTAAAAATTTCTAAAATACAATAATCAAATTGTGAGTATATAATCTAAAATTTATATGTTTATATAATAAAAGATTGTATTAATTGTATAGAAAGTAATTAAATAGTAAGAATATAAAGATACTTAAAGAGATATAGATTTGTTTAATCATGTGTATTAACTCTAAATAATGAATTTACTTTAATTTGTTTATTCAAATCATGTAATTTATGTAGTAATATATAAAGTTTTTAAAATAAGGTTGTGTATTTATGGATAAATATAATTTAGAGAGGAGATTATAATTGATAAAATGATAATAAAATAAAGAAAAATATTGGAATAGAATTTTTATTCAATTTGTCCATTATTATTATCCTCTTAAATGGGATTAGAATAAATTATATAGACAATTATAAATGTTTTAGATTCTTAGAGTGAGTGATATTATTATTATATATTCTATTAATTTTGAACTTTATTTAATTATTATCCTTCATATTATAGACCATAATCATTTTAATGTATGTATATTATTGATCTAAATGAATTAAATATAATATTAATTAATAACAATGATTGCCATATTTTAATCGATATTGTTGTTATTATATGTTAAAATTACAGAGTGTTGTACATAATTACCTAATAATGAATTGGTATTAGTGAATAAAATAAATGAAACATAAAGTATGAATATTTAAAGTTTATTCATTAAATAAGAGCAATCATAAATATTTCTAACAACTAATGATAGTGACATTTATGTTCAATAATTTATGTATAACCTTTCTAATTCCAAGAATTCATTTGAAAATATAGTAAATGTTAAGTGTTTGAGATCATATAAGGATTTTACAGCAGCAAATCAATATGTATTATTGAATAAAATTAATGATAAATATCAAATCCATACAAATAGTTATTAAATTCAATACAATCAGCGTTTACCAGAATTCAATTAATATTTTGAAATCACAGATCATATATGTCATGATATAGAAATATTGAATAGATAGACTCTAATAGCAGATTGCTATAATGAAAGTAATAACGTTTTCATTCTTTAGAGAGAATCAAGTCAAATATAATATTTTATTTATAATCAGACTAAAGATTTTAAAATTAAGAGAAGAATGTTTGCTTTTTAAGATAATCTAATAATATGTGTTGTATATTATGATGAGGAATAATAGTAATCATCAATTCAATTTATTTAATTTGGTGAAAGTGTATCAACACTTCTAATAATTGATGACACATATATAAATAATATATTAATTGATACAAAAACAATGATTGAATTATAGATAATATAAGTGTAAGTTGAAAAGTAAATAATAACAATACTAAATAAAAATTAATGGGTTATATCAATAAATGCATAAGAATTTCCATATATAGTTATATTTGATTATTTTAAACTTGAACTACGATATCCTGCAGTATTCTTTACATATCATGTATATAATTAATCTTATGTATTTTTAACTTAATACGAAATTCATTTATTGATTAATGGTTTCACAACAACCAAAAAAATTGATAATAAGGATGAATAAATATAGATATACTTTACAAAAAATAATCTAATATAATACAATGATGGATATTTGAATTTATTATAATTAAATTTAAAGAATATATCAAAATTTCCTTTAGATGAGAATTATAAATTAATTTTGGATTAATTATCTGATGAAATAATTGCAATTAATGAATAAGAGAGTATAAGAATTATCATTAAATCTAATAGATATTTATATTTTAAATCAAATTCTTTGTATTAATAATTCAAATAGGCTTCTTTGATATAGTAAATAAATATACTTGAATCTTGTACTTTAAATATTAGATATAGAACTATATTATGGAACTCTACAGAAGCAATACCTACTGTAATGAATCAATTCAATACAATATTAAATAATCAAATAGAATCATATGAAGTGGATAGATTCATTGATGGACCCAATATTACTATCTCTGATATTAATGGATTAAAGGTAAATTAAGTTTAATTTAGTATAAATTTTTAATAATTATAACAGAAGACTATTAGTGGAATACTTAGTGATTCAACTCCATAATATATAAAAGTAATACCTATTGCAACAATATATTTGTATTTCATTTAATCAACAAATTAATATGTACAATTTTACATTTGTATTTAAGATATGAATTGTGCATTTACTACTTAATTATATTTAGAATTCAATTTATCATCTACTCATCATGAATTCTTTATTAATAAATAAAATATATATATAGTAGTTAAGAATAATTAATAATTAGATGTTTGGAAATTAAATGAATAACTTATTTATTAATGTACAATCTATCCAGATTAAGATCATTAAATTATATAATTTCATTACATTAATGAATTCTTAGCAGTTCTCTATTCAAATCAATTAGTAGTTGTTTATAAAGTAGTTGATTAATGTTAGAGATCATAAGCATTTACATCTGAATTTATTTAAAATTTCAATATTTAATGGAATCCTTCCTATATAGAGACAAATGAAAATTATAATATTCTCTATGTCTAAACTGAAATGTAATTATTATTGATTCAAGTCTAAGAACAAGAAATATTTCCTATTAACATTATTCCACTTAGTTATAATAAATCTATTAGAATATTTTCATATTAAAATATCATTTGGATTTATTATAAAGATACTGAAGTAATTGAATCATTTATTATCAACTCCATTACATTTATTGAATACTAAAGTACTATTTCCTTATTTAATGTTATTCCTAATAAATTCTTACATCATTAATAATCTAAATATGTCTATTTCCAAAATAGTCAAGATAGTTTAGGTACTATCTATGTATATTGTATGGAAAGTAGTAGTCATAATGCATTATTAACAACATTTTCAACTAAATATAAAATCCTTTATTCAGTTTCAAATTTATTCATCATAGCTGATATCAACAATTATTTTGAAATACCATAGAAAATTAAATATTCAATTTATTATCAAGATATAGATAATCCTAATTATTTAGTTAAAGTTAATACATTCTTAGTTATTTCAAGTTATGATAATAAAGAATAATTCAAATATATTATTAATTCAACTCTTGTAAATCCCTATACAACTATCACTGTTAATTTAACATAATTGAATATTGAAGAATTACTTAATTAAAATAGACCTATAGGTTATTGTTAAAGTAAGTATTCTTGGTACACTGGATAAGTAGTTGATATTGGTTTAAAAAGTCAATAATTGAAACTTCGAAAATCCATGCATTTATTAGAAAAGGAGATTTGTTCTTCAGGATTAGATATAAAAGAATACATTTAAGATTCAGTAATCATTTTATATTAGGATAAAATTGTCAAATTAAATATGACTACTAAAATATAGTAAATCTATTACTTAGATACTTCTTTAACTTATACTAAAATACTCTTAGTTTATAATGAACTTATATTTATTACATCTTTAAAATTGATTCCAAGTTTCACTTATTAGATTATAATACTAAGTTGTGACAAAGATTTTAAATGCATAAACAAATATGATGGAATTATTTCAAATAGTGATCCAAAAATTATTAAAGTATTATCTAATTTCCTATTCATCATCTCTGAAATATAAATAAATATCTATACCTTTAAAGATGATGAATTATTATATGTTCAAGATGTTAATAATTCGAATCTAGATTAATTTCAAGATGTTATCTCTCTTTAATAAAATTATTATCAAATTTACTCCAAAAAATCAAATGAAATCATTATTTCTATGTATCAGCTCTAAGAAAATAAATTTATTTTAATGTAATAAATTGGAGTTGATTTATTAGATGTCATCTAATAAATAGGCTTTTATATAGATCCTAAAACAATTTTTCAGAGAATTATTATCAAACATAGCAAAATTTAGTAATAATTATTTACTGCAGAATTATTCTGTTAAGCATATAAACATTCACATTATATTCTATAAATACAATACATTTGTAAATTTTCACCTATTTTCTGCTCTATTAATAATTATAAAATATTACAAATATTTTAAGGATATGGGAATTGGCCTTCAAAATAAGCTAAATTGTATAAAGACTAATATTTATTGATGATTTACTATTAATCTACTACATTTATTAGTGCCATTTATAGTTTACAATTAAATTATGTTCATCCAACAATATCTTCAACTTTATTTTCAGGAGCCATATAATATTAAAATGTTTCAGTTTCCTAATAAGCATTTTTTATATAAGAATTTTAAATTTATTTATTAACTAATTCAATTAATAGGGAAGTATTTGCTCTTTATGAAATTCATAATACTACTAAGTTTTGTATTTAAGATCATTAAAAATCAGAAAAAATTATAATAACTCTAAAAAATAACTTTAATGAAAAAAATGTAACTATTGATATGAATCAAAATAATGATAATAACAATAATAAAACTAAAAAATTTATAATTTGGCTTATTTTTGGAATTCTTTTAGTATTCCTTTTTGGAATGCTTTTATTTGGTTGTTATATCAAACAAAAAAAGAAACATGTAGAAAATTAATTATTTTTATGATACTAAATAAATCATTTTGCATTTGAAATTTATCCAAAATTACTAGACATTATAACATTTTTATTTTATTCTCTTAAATTTAAACTTCTATCTAATTCTGATTATAATTTATCATATTTTCTTTTCCATTCATCAAATTAATTTGCCTATTATATATATATATATATATCATACTTTTAATTAATTCAATCTACTATTTTCATTTGCTAATAATGCACATTTATTCTCTAATTCAACAATTCTTCTATTCTTATCATCTAATAATGATGTCTCCAATCTACTTGTGTCTTCCTTTACAACTTCTTTCATAAATGATACTTCTCTTTAATATTAAATTAATTCATTCTTCAATGTTTAAATTTCAAAATCTTAACTTTTAATTGTTTATACTAATATTTATATCTCTTCAAACATTTAATTATTCTTTTATTCCAATTCATTTGTATTTCTAAATTTATTCTATTATTGCTCTAATTGTCTAATTCTCTAAATTAATTAATCTTCTTTCTTTTAAGCCTTAATTAAATTATTTTCTAATTAAATAATCTTTACATTCAAAGAATCTGCCAATGATTAATTCTTTGACTAATTCAACTATTCCTCCTTTCTAGATAATTATTATAATTAATCTTCTAAATCTCTTATATAATGTTCAAATTTAATAATTTTCTATTCATATTATTAATTCTATTGTTTTAATTAATTTATTTATTCATTCTTCATTCTCACATCTCCCTAAAGTTAATTGATTTCATTATTCAATTACTATTATACTTATTCAATTTATTTTCGTGATTCTATTGATAATCTTTCATACTTCTCTACACTTACTCTTTCAGTCTTTATTTTTACTTCTTCTACTTATACTTATAATTATCTTCTTAAATCTTAATTCTAGCTTTCCCATTTCTCACTTAACTATTAAATAATTATTATACAATATTACTTATTTCTCTTTCTTATAATTTTCAATCATTATCTCCAAATCATCTGTAACATCTTTTATTCTGTTATTTGCTTCTCTTAATTATTTTTCATATCTTTATTCTAAATTCATTAATTCTTCTTTTAATTGTTTATTCTTTGATTCTAACTAACTTAAATCTGCAACTTTATCATTTAATTATAAAGAAACTCTTTAATTCTCCCTCTATAACTTTGATTCTATATCTTCTATTTCCCTAGAATATTTCTATTTCAACTATTAAAATTCAGATTGAACCTTCTCCAATTACTAATTAATTTATTAATTTTCAAATCTATATTCTTTTATTTCTTATTCATATTTTCTTTGTAACTATTTTAATTTATCTTCTAAATCCACTATAAATCTATTCTATTTTTCTACTGTTGTGCTCTCATTGCTCAATTACATAATTTAATCCTCTAATACTTTAATTCTACTCTAATATTTTTGAATACTCTAATTTGCCTTACTCAACTCTTACTATAATGTTTCTTTTTGCTTTATTGAATTCCTATACTCAAAATCATACTCTGTATTTTTTAACTGCTAAACTCTCCTAACCTGATCTGATAACTAATCTATTTCTTTATACAATAAACTTTTCTCTTCCTCCATCTAAACTTAAAATTATTCCAATTATTATTATATCTTTTAATTTTTCTATTCTAAAATTAATATTTATTTATTCTTTAGATCTAAATCTCCATTATTAACTGATTTACTCATCTATTCATTCTATAATTATTACTAAAGCAATTTAATCCTCTCTTCCAATTCAATAATTATTTTTTATTATTAATTAGTCTTTGATTACCTAGACTAAATTGAAAGTTTATCTTCTTATTCCTATTATAATTATTTTTTTAATTAATATAACTCCTATTACAATTACTATTTTTATTGATTTGCTTAATTTAATTAATTATTAAGATTTACAATCTTGTTATTTAATTCCTCAATCTGTCTACTATTATTAGTAGTAGATTATCTTGATTACTATTCACTTTATCTTGTTTTAGTTTCTCTTTCATAAGTATTTTGCTAAAATCTACTTTATACTTCTGACATCTAAGTTTGAAATACTGTAATTTAATTAAGATATTCAGTATTCATCTAACTTAATTATGAATTCTGATCCTAAAGTTCTTTTAGTCTCTCACTAAGCATAGTAATTTCATCCTTATGCTTATTCAATTGATCTTAAAGTGTTTAGCGTATAATACTTAAGTCTTTGATTTGTAATGAATCTGTGTTCTTTTAATTATTTAATTAGGTAATTTAGGTTAAGAGTTATTGATTCATTTCACTCAGTTTTTAAATTTATTTATCTTAATCTTTATAAGAGATAGAGTTATCTTTCTACACATAGAGTAATTATTACTAAAACGAATTATTTATGGCATTAAGTTTATCAATTTAGGCTAAGTAATCATCTATCAAAATTTCATATTATGATTGCTTCTTTTGATATACTTCGACTTAGCTTAATAATTTTACATTTTCTTATTCAACCTTCTTAAAATTAATATCATTTTCCAATTATATACGTAATATCTAGTCCTTATATTTACTTTCTAATTATTTTTATTTCTCATCAAAATCCTATATTTCCTTTTAGTATTATTTTGTATTCATTTACAAGACTTGGAGTTGACTGATTAATTTTACGTTTTCTTCTTGTATAATTTATAAATCAATAAGCAATTTTTCTGAAACTAATGATGCATTACTAGTTATTTGTTGATATTATTAAGTCTTAGTTGTGTTTGTCACTAACTTAATTTATTAACTTTAAGAAGTCAATCTACTTGATTTTTGAGATTTCAACTCACTTTCAGGGATTTACAATCGAATTGTATTAATATCTTTATCTAAATATAATTGATCTTCTTAAGCTCGGTAAACTCTGTTATACATGTATTAGATTGAATAATTAGTATTAAATTTTTTTATTATAAAAATAAAAGTATGATTTTGATTTTTTTTTATAGATTGATCTCTTTGTTTAGTTTTGCTCTTATTCTAAGATTTATTAGTAATGAATTCTTACAAAATGTAAATCTTTTATTTTGAAAGGTTAATTGATTAAATAGTATCATCATATAATCAATATTTGATATTTGAAGATGTTAATTTGCATAATAAAATAAGTAGTTTGTTATAATTGATTCATCATTGGCTTTAAATTATGTTTAGAATTAAAAACAAGAAATATTTTAAAAAGAAGAAAGTTAGTTAAATGAAGTTATATTAGTTTGAATATGAGAGAAGAATGATGAATAATAAAAAAGAAATTTTAATCATTTATATTATCCATGAACCGTAGTAGTCATGTGAAAAGTGGATAGACTGCTTTTAAAGTGTTGAATTTCTTCTTGAGATCAAAGAAATCAACTTAAGTAGTGCCAGAAAGAAGACATTTCGAACATGATGAGATTAAAAAAATATTTAGAAGATGTCTTATAAGATTGCGTACAATATATATATTGAATTAAGTGACAAAAGAAATAGTCACATATGGGACATCTTCTAATCTATATGATATATCAACAAGAGACAGGTATAAATTTTGTTTAAAGTAATTAAGACCTGCTTTACAAAGATATCTGTTTCCATTATCGAAATCATAAGATTAAGATGAAGAGAAACTTGAATTTCCAATAATCCATCCAAATTCATTATTAAAGTAGATTTGGAATGGAATCTTTTTATTAATGATGATTTATGTTGCTACAATTTTACCATTTAGAAGTAATATATAAAATAAATTTTAGTTTCATTTTATCTAGATAATGAAATTTAAGCATGGTATTATGCAGATATAGTAACAGATATATTATTTTGGTTGGATTTAATAATTAGTTGTTTATCAGGTTATTATGATGAAGAAGGAAAGTTAGTAAAGAAAAGAAAGATTATATTTATGAATTATTTAAAAGGTTGGTTTACAGTTGATTTATTATCATGTCTCCCTTTAAATTATGTATTGGATGGAGTGATATCTGAAAATGGCAATATGAAATCATAGAATATTAAATTATTTAAATTACTAAAACTTCCAAGAATGTACAGATTATTTAAAATAATTCGATTCATAGATATGATGAAATATTTAGGTATATCAGAAATTATGGAATTCTTTTAATTTAATTATGGATTTTCTAGATTATTATCATTACTTATTTCAGTTTGTTTAGTAATTCATTTATCTGGATGTTTATGGTATTATGTTGCAGCATTTAATGATTTTGATTCATAAACATGGGTATCTAGAAATGAATTAACATCATCAACTATATAAACTAAATATATAGCAAGTATATATTATGCATTTACTACTTTAACAACAGTAGGATATGGAGATATTCATTCATTTTCTTCTGCTGAAATGATAATTACTATATTTTTAATGATTGTAGGAGTAGGTTTTTATTCAATGATTATTGGTTTATTGTCTAGTATACTTTCATAAATAGATTATAAAGGTCATAAATTATAATAATAATAAGCAATTTTAAATGAGTTTTGTATAGAAAAGAAAATATCAGTTAATTTAAGAGAAAAACTTAAAGAAACACTTGAATATAGTTTTGATAAGAATTGTTTTATTTGGGCAGATAATAAATATATTTTTAAAGATCTTCCAATTAATCTTAGATATGATATAATTATGAATATCCATAATGGAGTATTTGGAAATATGTAATTATTTTAATTAGTTGATGATAAATAATTTTTAGTGAAAATGGTTCCATTATTAAAACCTATATTATTTTTGGAATCTGAAATAATATGGGAATAAAATAGTAATCCTGATGCAATTTATTTTATTGCTGATGGTAGAATGAATTTTAAAGCTGACTTTATTGTTATTAAATCAACTAATTAAAAAAAATAATTTGCATTTAAAAGTATGATTGGAGGATCATATTTTGGAGAAATTGAAATATTTCTACATATAAAAAGAGAAACAGTAGCCTAATGTGAATCATAATGTGAAATGTATTATTTAACTATAACATCTTTTGAAAATGAGATTTATGATGATTTCCCACATATAATGAATAAAATGAATAAAATTGCTATAGAAAGAAGATAAAAGAATCTAGAAACAATATAATAATTACAATATTTTATAGATGATGCTACCAAAAAATAATTAAAAAGAAGTATATACTAAAATATTCAATATAATAGCATAACCAAAGAAAAATACTGTTCTTTTGAGAGAATACATTAAATAAAATAGTTAACATACTTTAGAAGATATTAAACCAAATGATTCTGAAAATATTACTGATCGTCCTTAAATTTCAACTAATAGATCAAAATTTTAAGATCTATTCTTAATCACCTAAGAGATAGAATAATTACTAGAATGATATTAATCAATTCACAACTACTTATTTTTTTCTATTATTATTTATTTAACATAAAATTATGGAATAAGTATTCTATCTTTTCTACAATTCAATTAGTGGAGGTAATAGAGGATAATAATTCTTGAAATATGATGTAAATTACTTATGATTAAATATTTTAGCAATAAGAATTGACTTTTTTAACTAAACCCAAAAATGCTAGAATCAAATTCTTTAATATTTATGAACCTGTCTCAAGAAATAAAGGTTTAGAATAAATCAAACAATAATAAAATAATGATATTCATATAGTTATGGCAGGTGGAGATGGTTCAATTATGTGGATTGTTGGATTATTATTATAATACTAAATTGATCTAAATAAATGCATTATTATACCATTCCCATTCGGAACTGGAAATGATTTTGCTAATACTTTAGGTTGGGGAACAACTGTGCCAACTGATGTTATTGGAAAAAACAATAAGGTTTTATAGAACTATGTGGAATAATGGCTCATTGGAGCTGAATCCTTCTTTGATGTATGGGATGTCGATATAGTTCTCAAAAAAGTATGTGTCCTACTTAATTAAGGATGGATTCATTAGTGAAATCAAAAGGCATACCAATAGTGTTGGAGAACTCAAAATATAACTAAAAGATTATAAGTTTTATAAACCTATGATCAATTATTTTAGTATAGGAGTTGATGCTAGAATTGGTTATGGATTTGATAAAAATAGAACAACTTATCAATGTTGTAATAAAATTGTATATTGTTGGGAAGGTTTCAAGAAATTATTTTTAAAAACACCTAAAATGAATTAATCAATTGAAACATTAGAGTATTTAGATGATCATGATGATATGTAGAATAAATTGTTATTTAAAACATAAGAAAATACTGGATAAAGAGATTCAATAACTATACCTGGTAATCCTATTAATTTACTATGTTTAAATATAAATTCATATGCAGGAGGATTAAAAAATATTTGGATGAATGCATAATATGAAGAAGGTTATAAAAAATATGAATTTCATCCTCCTTCATTTTCTGATGGAGTCTTAGAATTTTTATCATTTAATTCTATATTAGGAATTGGATCTGAAAGAATATTACCAGGTCAAGCAACTAGATTAAGTTAGACTAAAGGACCAATCAAATTAAATTTTAAAAAGAATGAACCATTAAGAACTTATTTCTAAATTGATGGACAATATTTTTCTATTACCAATCCTATTTCAGTTTCAATAAGATCTTGTTAATAACTATCCTAAGGTAAATTAAGAGTTTTAATAAATAAATAAGGAATAGTTCAATGATTTTATTGTTATATTTAATTTGTAACATACTTAATTAAAAACTATAATTATATATAAATGAATTAATAACTTAGTAAATTTATATTATTTTTATATGGTTTATATATATAATAGGATCTATTTATCTTATTTTTAAAACAAGAATTTTTTTATTTCTATTTCAATTTATATAATATCCACAAACTTTTAGTATTATATAATTTCTAAGAGTAGATAATAATATATAAAATGAAAATATAACTTTATAAAAAAAGCACATAATTTTGTTATAAATATCATTGTTACTTTCCTCTTAATAAGTATAAAAACATTAAAGCCATAAATCTGAAAAACAAAATGATGGCAGTTAAAATAACCAAACATTTCCAAAGACCTAGAGTTAAATCATAAGTTTCAATAGGATTTGTGTCCTGAATTGTTTTACCTAAGAATTCATCATCTCTTGTTTCAAATTCATTCCATACTAATGCTTCAAAAGCATATTTCATTGGACTTAGATATTGGATCCATCCAATCCAATCCATGTACATAGATTGATTAGCATAAAAACCAGAAAATATAACCAATGGCATTAATACTACAGGTAGAAATCCAGCAGCTGCTTTAAGATCACTGAACATACATCCAGTCATAAGACCTAATAAATAGTAATTAAATTATACCAAAACTATTTCCACTTAAACCAAGCAAGATACAAATTATAATGTTTATCACTACAATATCTCCGCTTTTATAATTTAGATCAACCATCCAATAACAGATTAGTTATTAAATAATAGGGAATATAAATAAAAATGGAAGTTCTACTGAACTTTTTCCAGTAAAATAAGCTGCTGTAGAATACAATTTAGAATTTTCTTCTCTTAAAAAAACTTCTCTTTCAGCTGGAAATTGGACCATTACAGGATTCAAAGCTCCCATAAAACTACTCATAACCAAAAAGAATAAAACTCCTATTGTACTTTAAATCCCTTTATATCCAGGTTCACTACCTGCTGTCCAAAAAATACCTCCAATAAGTAGACCAATAAATATAGTCATTACTAATCTACCTCTCACTAAAACTTTATCTCTTTTCACATTAATCATTCCTCTTCTAAAGATTTCCTTTACTTAGAATCCAAAAGATGTTTAAATAGATTATCTTGATATCTATTAAACTTAAATAGCGTTTATTTCACTCTCAATTTATTATACAAAATTTGAATTATATCCAGAAAACAGAGTTGTATAATGGGGATGACTAGCATCCTCATGATGCATAATACTCATTAAATAATCTAATGGATTAGAATGTGCTGGACATTCAAAACCTATGCTTTTGAAATAATTAACCAATTCTTCTCTTCTACCTTAATAAATAAATTTCCCTTAAACTAATAACATGACTTGATCAAATAACATATATATATCTGCACTTGGTTAATGAATTGTAAAAACAATTGTTCTACCTGATGTACGAGCCAATTTTCGAAGCAGATTTCTAATATAATTTATACTTCAATATACATAATAACAAAAGCAGTAAATGAATCTAATCCTGAAGTTGGTTCATCCAACAAAATACAAAATGGGTCGCTTACTAATTCAACTCCAATTGAAGTTCTTTTTCTCTCACCTCCAGATATACCCTTAATCATAGCATTACCAATCTATTATAATATTATAAGTAATTACTAATGTATGTTGACATTTTTCTAATTTCAATGTCTTTAATGCATAATCTACTTTCTCAATTTTTAGTTAAGGATCAGCATATTTTAAATTAGCTACAAATTCTAAAGTTTCCCTCACCGTTAAAGTTCCAAAAAGCACATCATTTTGCATAACATAAGATGAAAACTGAGAAAATTTTTCACTATTATAAGGTTAGCCATTTGCTTGAATAGTTCCTTACAAAGTCACATTCCCACCAGGATTTATTCTTTTGGCTAAAATGTTGAGTAATGATGTTTTTCCTGCTCCTGAAGCTCCAAGAATTGCAGTAACTTAACCTGGTTTACAGATTCCAGATATGTTATTCAAGATCAATTTGTTCTCTATAACCTTCTAAGGATTTTTAACACTAACCTAGTATGTTAAATTTTAAAAGCTGATTGTCACACTATTTGTAGATTCCTTATTTTGATAGGGTACAATTTCGGTTCCTTTCATGTTATAAATTTTTTAATAATAAATTTTGGAAGTCTTAATTTCCAAAATTTATTCCACAATTAAATATCTTAAGAATTCTTTATTATGAATTCTGATAAAAAGAAGAATTTATATTTATATAACATTTCATAGAGATTAATAAAAAACTCACTACTATCTTGATCTTCCCAAATATAAAAACATTAAAGATAATAATCTAAAAATTATTGGGAAAGCGATTAAAACATAAATGCTGTTCCATATTCCAAAATCCAAAGAGAATTTATCTATAGGATTCAAGTTGTCTATTTTTCCTCCTATGAATTCATGTCTTCTGGTATCATACTCATCATATATTAATGCTTCAAATGCATATTTCATTGGACTTAAATATTACACCCAACTTATCCAATTCATAAATAAGGATTAATTAGCAAAAAAACCTGAAAAGGCTATAAGTGGCATCAAAACCAAAGGAATTATTCCAGATGCATTCTTAGAATCTGACAACATTGTTCCAACCATTAATCCTATAATTATTATATTAAAATTACCCATACTATTTCCACTTATTCCTAATAAAACACAAACAAAAATATGAATTACAACAATACTAGCAGTTTAATCATTCAGACCCATCATCCAATAGCTTATTAACTACTATATAATTGGAAAGAGTATTAAGAATGGTATTTCTATGGAACTCTTTCCAGTAAAATATGCAAGTGTTGAATAAAGCTTAGAATTTTCTTCTCTTAAGAATACATCTCTTTCTGCTGGAAATTGAACAATAACAGCATTTAATGCTTACATAAAACTACTCATAACAAGAAAGAAAAGTCCTCCTGTTGTACTTTAAGTACCCTTAAATCCTGGTTCATTTGCAGCATCCCAAAAAATACCTCCAATTAATAATCCAAGAAATATTGCCATAACAATTCTACCTTTTACAAGTACTTTATCTCTTTTTACATTTATGATACCTCTTTTGAATATCTGAATAACTTATTATTTAAAACTAGCTTAATATGATTCTTTTTAGATTTATGTAGGTTAAATTCTAGATAATTATTACTCAATTAAAGGTTATAATTAATTCTCATATCCTATAAATAAATTTGAAAGATCTTATGGTCTATTTACATCATTTTACATAATAGAAATGAAATGATCCAAAGGATTTGCTTTTTTTGGGCAATCAAATCCAATAGATTAGAAATATTCTATCATTCTTTCTCTGGGACCTTGATAAATAAATTTTCCTTTTGCAAGTAAAAATATCTGGTCAAATAACAAGTAAATATCTGAACTTGGTTGATGTATAGTGAAAATTATTGTTCTTTTTGAAACAACAGATAACTTTTTTAAAAGATTTCTAATATAATTTATACTTCAATATACATAATAACAAAAGCAGTAAATGAATCTAATCCTGAAGTTGGTTCATCCAATAAAATACATTATGGATCTCTCACTAATTCAACTCCAATTGATGTTCTTTTTCTCTCTCCACCTGATATACCCTTTATCATTTCATTGCCAATCTATAATAATATTATAAATACTTACTAAAGTATTTTAACATTTTTCTAATTTCAATGCTTAAAGTGCTTGATTAACTTTTTAATTTTTCTCATTTTGATCAGTGTATTTCAGAGTTGCAACAAATTCTAAGGTCTCCTTAACTGTTAATGTGGCAAAAAGTATATCATTTTACATTACATAACCAGAAAATCTAGCAAACTTTTCACCATCGTAATGATTTCCATTTGCCAATATATCCCCTGTTATTTTAACATTTTCTTTAGCAGAAACTCTTTTAGCTAAAATATTAAGTAAAGATGTTTTTCCTGCTCCTGAGGCTCCAAGAATTGCTGTAACTTGTCCAGAAGGACAAATTCCAGAGATATTGTTTAGGATAGTTCTACCTTAAGATGAACTATTTTTAGTTTGATTCACTATGTAATTTAGGTTCTGGAAACTTAAAGTTAAACCATTTATTTAGTCTAGTTAGGGATTGTCGTGGGTTTTATTCATGATTGTTAATTAATATTACAATTTTAGAAAATCTTGAATTCTGATTTAAAATACGCATATGTGATACATATAAATTAGACCCCCCAAAATTATAATAAATTCTGATGAAATATGAAAATTTCAAAATGAGAAAATAAATTTATCAATTAAAATTATTATCAACCACTTTTTATTATTGTTCAATCTTTTACTTCTAGGATCTCCTATTCCAAAAAGAATAGAATTAATCTTAACTAATATTTTATTAATCTAGTATTTTCAATAATTTGCCTTTATGAATTCAGATAACTAATAATATCGAATCCTTTTGAAAATTATGCAAATACTTTATTTTCATTTCTTGATGACTTCTATCTTCAAACTCATATTTATAAACAAAATACCAAACCCAAAACTTCAAATGTTTAAATTCCTTCTAGTGATTAAATTAAATACATATAATTAATAAAGTCATTAATCAACTTCAGTTAGTTCAATTTAAATTCCTCTTGTTTTCCTCTGATTTTAAGAGTATGAAAATTAAATATAGAGGATTTATAAATAAATTTTTTTGAAATTATATTATAAGTTCATTTTAGATATGCTTAGTATAAATCTCAAGTATTAATATCAATATGACTATAAATTTCTTTAATTATATTAATAAAATAATAATAAAGAGATATCTCTATTTAAATACTTTGCTTTTATATTTATATATCTTATATATAAATTGCTAAATTAATTGTGAGGTAGAATAAGAATGATTTAAACAATTTAGCATCTTAAATAGACCATTTTACTTAGCTATATTGAAGTTATTTAAAATAAGATCAATTTAAGGCATGATATTATTTAATACCTTAAATCTTATACATCTTTTAATAAGTTATAATAGTATCTTTAATAAATATATGAAATAGATTAAAATATTGGCCTAATAAATATAAAATGAATGTATCTGATATTTATTAAGAATTATATTTATAATTATTCATAATTGAATTTCATTTTAATTTGCATCCTATTGTTATTATTTTCTCTTAGATCTTCATCTTGTTATTGATTAACTCAATAATTATAAATATTTATTAATTCTATTTTATCTTAATTCTTAATATGTTTATCTCTTATATTTTATATCCACTAATCCAATAATTGATTAAAATATAATGGCATTTTGCCGAATTGTTTCACTCATTCTTCTAATAGGTTTTGCATTTTAATCATAATATTATTAATAGTATTTACTATGTTAATCAGTTCCTCAAAGATATAGATTGAGATTTTGATTATCATAAACTCTTTGAAATAATTTAATAGATGTCACAATTTTACAATTGATATATATTATTTATTTTTATTAATCAATAGGCTGCGTGCATTGATTGTTACATGTTGCTGAATTAAGTTAATTCTGATTTATCAACTTTAAGGAGAGTTTGAATTCTTTTTTCAAATACACTAACAACCACAATAGAAGCAACAAAAATTGCAACATCAAGAAATTGCTTCTTCCTCTTCTCTCTTTCTGCTTTATTTGTAGGATATACTGACTTTTTAAGTTTTTCCCATGTTGATCCAGAAGAGCCACTTCTTGGTTTTCCAAAATTCATTTTATATTTTTATTTATGGTATATTTTTTTAATATATATGATCAACAAATGTGAGATCATACTTAATTTAAATTGTCTACTTTATTTCATAGTGAATAAGCAAAATCTAAATCTAAATTTAATTAGATTAATCAAATTATTTCAATCTTAAGTTTAAAATGATGTTTAAGATTTTTTAGATTAAAATAATATATTTATAGATACAAAATTATAGTTTTATGAATAGTTATTGAAAATTAAATTAAATTTGATATTAAATGGGAGAATATTATTATATAAGGTATAGTTTATTAGATCTCAAATATATTATTTCTTTTAAAATATACCTATTAAGTTCATTAATCTTAAAATATTAATATTTTATTAATTATCTTATTAATCAGAAGATTCATACTAATAATAATTATTTTTAATAAAATAAAGATATTCCATCTTTTCTTNTATCTGATATTTATTAAGAATTATATTTATAATTATTCATAATTGAATTTCATTTTAATTTGCATCCTATTGTTATTATTTTCTCTTAGATCTTCATCTTGTTATTGATTAACTCAATAATTATAAATATTTATTAATTCTATTTTATCTTAATTCTTAATATGTTTATCTCTTATATTTTATATCCACTAATCCAATAATTGATTAAAATATAATGGCATTTTGCCGAATTGTTTCACTCATTCTTCTAATAGGTTTTGCATTTTAATCATAATATTATTAATAGTATTTACTATGTTAATCAGTTCCTCAAAGATATAGATTGAGATTTTGATTATCATAAACTCTTTGAAATAATTTAATAGATGTCACAATTTTACAATTGATATATATTATTTATTTTTATTAATCAATAGGCTGCGTGCATTGATTGTTACATGTTGCTGAATTAAGTTAATTCTGATTTATCAACTTTAAGGAGAGTTTGAATTCTTTTTTCAAATACACTAACAACCACAATAGAAGCAACAAAAATTGCAACATCAAGAAATTGCTTCTTCCTCTTCTCTCTTTCTGCTTTATTTGTAGGATATACTGACTTTTTAAGTTTTTCCCATGTTGATCCAGAAGAGCCACTTCTTGGTTTTCCAAAATTCATTTTATATTTTTATTTATGGTATATTTTTTTAATATATATGATCAACAAATGTGAGATCATACTTAATTTAAATTGTCTACTTTATTTCATAGTGAATAAGCAAAATCTAAATCTAAATTTAATTAGATTAATCAAATTATTTCAATCTTAAGTTTAAAATGATGTTTAAGATTTTTTAGATTAAAATAATATATTTATAGATACAAAATTATAGTTTTATGAATAGTTATTGAAAATTAAATTAAATTTGATATTAAATGGGAGAATATTATTATATAAGGTATAGTTTATTAGATCTCAAATATATTATTTCTTTTAAAATATACCTATTAAGTTCATTAATCTTAAAATATTAATATTTTATTAATTATCTTATTAATCAGAAGATTCATACTAATAATAATTATTTTTAATAAAATAAAGATATTCCATCTTTTCTTTAATATTTGTCATAATGTATGGATTATAATTTTTGAATTAAATTTATTTTAATAAAGCCAAATGAATATGAATTATTCTTTTATAATATTAAAATCAGATTATATGAATATATTTATCCATTTCTATAAATTAAATACTCATAACAACAATTTATATTTCGATAGTTAATAAATTAGAATAATAAAGTTATTTTTATAAAAATGTTTAGAGCAACAGAAATACATCTATATAAATTGTACATTGAAAGAGAATAAGCTTTCAATTTCCTTACTAAAATAGGATAAATGAACAATGTTAATATAGTTAATTGTTCAAACAATCCATTTAATGAACATGATTATTACAAATAATTAAAAAGATGTGATGATATATATAACAAAATTAGTGAGATCAAAAACCTTTTAAATTTATATAACAAATAAATACATTATTGTCCTAATTATGAAGAATTCATATCAAACATCAAAATTACTGAAGACTAAGTAATAAAAATAGAATAAGATCTAACACATAAAATTCAATTTATATTAAATCAATAAACAAATCTATAGTAGATAATTGAATAAAGAAATAAATTAGAAGAATAAATGTAAATATATAAGATAAAATTAAAGCGCAATAATATAACATTGTAAAGAATTCATATACAAATTTTCAGGAATCTAATTAGGATATATTGTTGGATGCATGAATACCTTGGATTCACACAAATTTAATCGAATTGTGTTTAGAATTTCAAAGGAAAATGGAATTGTTAAATTTTAGAATTTGAACAATTAAAGAACTCTCTTTACGTTGGTTTTTACTCTAGGTAAACATGAGAATTTAAAAAATAAATTACTAAAAATATGTGAAGTAATTTATATATTTAATGAATTAAGGCTTTTAATGTATCCATATATTAATTACCTGAAGAAAATAATGTTGAAACTAAACTAATTGAATTATAAAATGAATTAATTAATTTAGATATCACTATATCAACAACCAAATAAGAAATAGATTAACAATTAGATTTTTTTTCTGATATTTAAATGGAGCATTTATTAGATTTGAATAATATTTATGATTATGGTTATTGTTCATATATTTGTGAGTTGAAGATAATTTTAGATTTGATAAGTGCAACTTATTATCATCTTACTTTTTTTGAAGCAAAGTCTTAATTTTTAATTGGTTAAGTATGGTGTGAACAAAGTGATATTGAATTGATGAAATAAACTGGAGTTCAAATAGAAATTATATAGGATATTAATGAAAAATCATATGAACCCCCTAGTCTTTTGAAAACAAATTAATTTACTTATATCTTTTAAGAATTAGTGAATACCTATGGAATTCCTAGATACGATGAAATAAATCCTGGACTTTTCACTATAATCACATTTCCATTTTTATTTGGTATGATGTTTGGTGACATAGGACATGGAGTAAAATATTTTCTATATATAGATAGTATTAACAATTTTTGGTTTCTATTTATTGATATTTGGTTAGAGTGTTATCAAAAGAATCAAATTATAAAATAATAGTGAATATTTAGCATATGCTGACTTTTAGAGTTTGTATTAATGTAGGTATCTCATAACACTAATGGGACTATTTGCTACTTATTGTGGTTTTATTTATAATGATTTCTTTTCAATATCATTAGAATATAAATTAGAAAAGTTTTAATTGGGTTTTGATGGTAAATGGAGTATGTCAGAATCCCATCTTACAGTTATGAATTCATTCAAAATGAAGACTGCAATAATCGTTGGAGTAATTCAAATGGTCTTTGGAATCCTACTGAAAGGTTGGAATTGTTTATATTAAAGAAAATTAATTGATTTCTTCTTTAACTTTTTACCTGAATTGGCTTTTATGTTATCTACATTTGGCTATATGTCATTTTTAATAATCCTTAAATGGCTCACTAATTATAGTAATAATTTGGAACCACCATCAATTATTACTACTTTGTTAAATATGGTTTTTACATTAGGAGGAATAAAAGGAGCTGAAATGTATCCTCATTAAGTTTACTTTTAAACTATATTAATAAAAATAGCTATATATTCGCCAATAATTATGTTGCTTAAACCTGAAGTTATTCGTATAAAAAGAAGGTTTTTTAATCAAAGAAATTAATAAATGGTTTATAATGAATTAGTAGAATAAGAACATGCTTAAGTAGAATTAGTAAAGGAAGAGAAAAATTAAATATTTGGTAAATTAGTATAGAATAGAGTTATTAAAGAAGAAAAGCATTTTGATTTTTCAGAAATTTATATTGAAAGTTTAATTGAATGTATAGAATTTGTATTGGGGGCTGTGTCTAATACAGCTTCATATTTGAGATTGTGGGCACTTAGTTTAGCACATTCTCAATTATCTGAAGTATTCTATTATTATTAAAATGTTAGGTCTTTTTTAAAATGTCTATAGAACCATAAATATAAAATGGATCAATAGTTGGAATATGTTTAACTTTTATAGTATATGCTTTAGCAACTTTTGGAGTTCTTATGTGTATGGATACATTAGAATGTTTTTTACATTCATTAAGATTACATTGGGTTGAATTTTAGAGTAAATTTTATAAAGGAGATGGTCATCATTTTTAAAAATTTAATTATCTTCATTTTTTAGATTAGAAATTTTAATTTAGTACAAGAATGTGAATGAAAAATAATATTTAAAAATTAAATATTTATCTCACTTTATAATTATAAAAATAGGTATAATAAAATAAATTATATAACCAAAAAGTATTATTATTATGGGATATTAAATAATATTCTTTTTCTCTATTATAAAAAGTTAAATTTGTATATTATACAAGAATTAAAATAAAACATTTATTATAAATAATATTAGTTGTTATTGAAAGTGCAATATATTTATTATAATAACTTATATGATATGATATATTCTTATTTAATAATTTATATATATATATATATATAATTAAATTCTAAATTCTTTAGATTAGAAATAAAATAATATATATTATTAATGATTAATTTTGAGTACAGTGATTAATATAAATCCAGATTATAAATTTAATTTATAGGAAATGTAATCTTTTGAAGCAAAATTGGCTAAATTAAATTGCAATATACATGGTTTAGAGATATTGTATGTGAATATTGGTTAAAATATTACAAATAAGAGAGCATTATGCAAATAATGTAGATGCAATGATATATAATTACATAGAAATTATCTTAATGAAGTTTTACAAGATTATATTGATAAAAGAAGGAAAGATGCTATAAAATTAATATAATCATTATAGTTTGAGTTCAATAGAAAATATGAATAAATTATAGGTCTACTAGACAAGATCAAAGAAATTTTTGATAGTAAATTAAAAGAATTTACAGAGAAGGAATATTTAAATGAATTTTAAGAAAGATTCTTTGGATGGGGTAATTTGACTTTGAAAGATGTAGAAGATTTAGGAATTATGTTATCAAAAGATGTTGAATTTATAGAAGATTAAGTATCAATAAAAGAAATAGAATTTAAAAGCAATGATTTAGAAGAATATGTTGAGGTTTTGTCTAATGTTTTGGGTGATTTAGAGGAATTAAATATAAATTAAGAGAAATTAGTAAAATTGGATAAGACTTTGCCAAAATATGAGAGAGAAATATCTCAATTAGATTTATCAAAGGATGAGGATATGGCTGCAGTAGTGACTTTAAATACAGATATAGATATATGGAATCTATAAACAATGAAAAAGACTGTATTAAAAGGACATGATGATATAGTTAATGCTATAGTTTTCAGTAAATTTAGTAATACTTTGATTACTGGAGGGAGAGAAGGGACAATAAAGGTTTGGAAATGTGAAGGAAAATGGATAATTCATGATATTTTGATAGGTCATGATGATTGGATAACAGCATTATGTATAGGAAATTAGGATTAATTAATTGGATCTGCTAGTAATTAGGAAATATTAATTTGGTCATATAAATCAGATCATTATGTAAAGATTCAGAAGTTGTTAGGACATGCTGATTCTATTTATTCATTAGGATTTCTTAATTAATGTGAATATTTAATATCAGGTAGTTATGATAAGACTGTTAGATTATGGGAAAGAAAAGAGAAGTAATAATGGAATTTCAAATAGCAATTTTATTATCATTCAGATAAAGTACAATCAATAACTTGTTCTAATAATACATTATTTGGTTCATGTAGTTGGGATTAATCAATTAGATTATATGATTAGATGACAGATGATTCTTATGATTGTATACAAGTATTGTATGGTCATCAAGGGAAAGTATATTAAATATAATTCAATAACGATTCTAAGATTTTGTATTCTTGTAGTCATGATAATACAATAAAATTATGGAGTCAATTATAAACTAATTTTTGGGAGTGTTTCCATGAAATAAAACAAGATTTCCATATAAAATTTATAGGAATAAGACAAAATTGTTTGATTTCATCGAATTATTATGAGATTTATGTTTATAAATAAGAATAAATCAATTGATTAAATATAATGTAAGGACTTCTAAAGACAGCAGCTGAAGAAATGCTTTCTAAAGCAATTCGAACATATACATTTAATGATTTGATTGTAATTGGTAGACATCCATACAAAAGTTTACCAGAAATGTTAGCATAATATCCAAATAATGGAGTAGGATTTAAAGTATGGAGAAAGACTTGGCCAGAAAATAAATATATAATTATTACTGAAGCACATTTCAAAGTAAATAATTTATTTTAAAGAATTTAAGGGATTGAGAAATGGCAAATTTTTTGGTATCTAATATTACAATGGCAGACCACTTACACCATAACCAATAAAAATAAGAAATTGTAGTAAGAGAGGAACCTGGAAATATGATACAAATAATACTTCAGGAGTATCTGCAAATGGTGTATACTTTAGTGTAGATGATTTGAAAGAGTATTCAAAATTACATTAAAATAGAGAGCAAAAAGAATGATATTATATTTGTTACATAATATTAATGAATAATAATATATAATATTTATATATAAGATAACCACAATTATTAAATATAAATATATATGTTTAATTTTTTATAAAGAATAAGATTGACATATATATTTCATTTTAAATCACTAACTCTTCTTGAGTGTGTTCTAGTAGTGGCATTCTTATTAATTTTAGTATCTAAAGTTATTACAGAATATTTTGGTAGTATAGAAGTAATCATACTTTTTATAGGTGAAATTCCAATAATTCTGCTTGAATTTGTTGAATTAAAAATTCTTGTGGAAACAGGTAGAATTCTATCACTTCTATGTCCATGATTAGCTATTTTCCTTAATATTTCTCTTCTTGTAGTCTATTATTAAAAATAATTAATACAATTAAACGATCTTTTAAAACTTCAGGTCTTAATTTTTAAATTCCTTTATAAGTTGCAGGACATAACATTTCTTATTTTGCTAATTTACTTAGATCTTATGATACATTAACTCCTTTATCAATTTGAATATGACAATTATAACAAACATTAAATTCCATTTCTAAGAATCCTGGATTACCTAATAATTCTTTATATTAATTATATTTTAATTTAGGAAATATCTTTCTAATTAAAGTAGGTATTAAATAATTTTAATTAACTTATCTTAATTCTACATCTTATCTAACATCTAATTTTTCAGCCATAGTTTTCTTTCTAAGTAGTATTTCTTTCTTTTTTGTTATTAATAATTTATCATTATCACCCATATGATCAAAATTCCAACTTTCAATTATGTTTTTAATGTATGTTTTCATTAAATCATTTTTATGAAATAATACATCACACATCTCACATTAACTATCTTTAAGTATATTTTTATATTATTTTAGTATTAATTTTTCTTAATCAATAAAAGATGGAAGACTAAGTGATTTCATATGTACTTATTCTTATGTAGACCATTTTATAAGAACACAATTAATAAGCCAAATCTAACCAGAATTATCTATTTTGATTTCTAATATCATTCTAATAATTTTAGATTTCCATTTCATTAAATCATTACCATGTGCAGCAATAGCACCACTAAAATGTTCTAATCTTTCTGTTAATGATTTACTATTTATTTATTAAGCTAAAGTTCCATCTCTTTCATGAGTTAATGCTCTCTAATAAATATCAATTGATTTATCATTTAACATAAATTTACTTTCAAACTTTTCAAACAATGTTTAATTCTAACTCCATTAAATTATAATTGTCCAATTATAATTTCCTTTTGGATAAACAAATCTTTATAAGATTCCATCCTTTTAACCTTAATTCTAAAAGAATTTTGTTAAACTTTCTTTATTAAAAACTGATAATTCTGATTTTGTTCTCCATATTGCCACTATCTCTTAATTTAATTCTAAAAAATATTAACGAATGTAATTATCATCTAATTTCATTCTTGATTTCATTCTCACTTAAGCTTTCTTACTAAAAAACCATAATTTAGGAATTGAATTCTCATAAAATATTGTATCTGGAACATTTGCAGATAAAACTATTTTAATATTAATTTTTACAATAATCACCAATAGGGTTCTACAAATGTAAGAAAGACAATAAATTTATTATTGGTTATTCATGAATTTCCATTTTATTTATATTAATATTATATCAATAAATATATATACAATATCATTGAAGTTTTTATTTTAAACCATATAAGAATAAAAATGCTAGGAATCTATATACAACAATATATCCAAATAGAATTAATGCACACCACCATAATCCAATATCGAAACCATAAAGATCTTCTGGATCATTTTCATAATACTTCCCTTCATTTTCATTATAAGACATTGCTTCAAATCCATATTTCATTGGACTTAAATATTATAACCATCCAATCCAAGGATAAAAAGTCTTTTAATTTGAATAAAATCCTGAAAAAATGATTAATGGAGTTACAATAGCTGGTACAATATTTAATGCTAATTATATATCTTTGAATGCTGCTCCTGCCATCAATCCTTAAAAATAATATTATATATATAAATACCCATTGAATTTGAACAAACAAATACTAAAACTGATATTAAGAGATGTATTAATACTACTTCTCCAGATTAATCATTTAATCCTATCATCCAATAAGCTATTATTTATTATATTAATGGTGAAATAACACAAAATGGAATCTCAATAAGTTATTTAGCTAAAAAATAAGATTTTGTTGTATATAATTTTGAATTCTCTTCTCTCAAAAATACTTCTCTCTCTACTGAAAAACTTAAAATACATGACATAATAGCATTCATTGTAAAATCTACACAAATAAAAAACAAGGCTATATATTTATTAATATAAAATACCTCCAGATATTGATAATAAATCTTCTAATTTACCATTATTACGACCAGCTCCCCAAAATACACCTCCTTTTAATAAACCCAAAAATATTGCTTAAATTACTTTTGCTTTAAATTGCATATGATCTCTCATTATATTTTTGACTCCTCTTGAAGATATTTCACCTATTTAATATGTAAATGAAGTTTCATTAATTTTTAATGGTACATCTGAATTACAACAATTCAAAATTTCAGATTCTATTTATTTTTGTAATTTCTATTAATAATTCTCAAAATATAAACTGTAATTCTCAATATTCTACTTATCTTCAGAATGAGTTATAGATAAAAAATAATCCATTGGATTAGAATGATCAGGACACTTAAATCCAAAACTACTAAAATGATTAATTATATTCTCTCTAGATCCTTAATATACTAATCTTCCTTGAACCAATAACATAATCCTGTCAAACAATAAAAATATATCTGAACTTGGTTAATGTATAGTAAAAATAATAGTTCTGTCTTATTCATCTGCTAATTTTCTTAATTAATGGCTATAAATTAATCAAAATTTATAATTACATAATTTAAAAAGCTGTAAAAGAATCTAATCCAGAAGTTGGTTCATCAAGCAATATGCAACTAGGATTAGATACTAATTCATATCCAATTGATGTTCTTTTTCTCTCTCCACCTGAAATACCTTTCATATTAATTCCTCCAATAAATGTATTCTAACATCTCTCCAATCTCATACATTTAAGTGTCTCAATAACTCTAGATTACTTTATTTAAGTATCACTGTATTTGAGATTGGCAGCAAATTCAAGTGCTTCTTTAGGAGTCATAGTTTCCATTAAAACATCATTTTGCATCACATATGAAGCAAATTAAGAAAACTTTTCATAGTCATATGGACAACTATTAGCCAATAATTTCCCAGTCAATTTATTGGTTTTAGAATTAGTAATTCGACAAGCCAAAACATTCAGTAATGTTGTCTTACCTGCACCAGAACTTCCCATTATTGCTGTAACATGTCCACCAGGACAGATACCATTTATATTATCAAGAATTACTCTTTTCTCTAATAATATTCTTTAATAATTACTTATTTCATAGGTAATATTTTAGAAAACTAAATCAACAACTTTTCTACTTCGGAGTGTTTTTGATGTAGAAGGTTCGGGTTTGTTAGTATTTAATGGAGTCATCTCTTACTTAATAGTCTCTGTCATATTTCAATAAATATTCTTAATAATATTCTCGGATTTCAGAATTTCAGATTTACTTTAATACTCTTTTTTTTACATTATTCCAACAATGATATTCAATTTAATATGGAAATTAATATGATAAGACTATTGGATTCTTTTATGATTTTTAATATTTTATAAATTATGAATTATGGTAATGTACATATCTGACATATCAATAAATTTCATAACAATAGAGAATGCACCAGAGAGCCTGATTATAGTTTTTGTAAATTGGTTGGAAGCTATGAAATTCTAGAGTATTTGGCTTTTGGTTTTCCAAGTTATTTAAAGCTTTCTTAATCAACATACTAAACAATCTCAATGTTTCCATTCAAAACTAGTTTAGGGAAATTAGTATTTGAAATGGGTTCCATTAAATTATTTATTACCTCAAATAAATTATATTTGTAAGAAATAAATATGAGTATCTTATATAGATTATTATATATCAGAATATATTGAATTGATAATTGAATTATTCTGATTAATAATAAGAATCATGTTACACTTAACTTAACAACTAATTTGATGAAACTATTATTGAATTTTGAATGATATCAATGTATTAGTCTAATGAAAAACAGAATAATATAATAAATTATCAACATAAAATGTCTTATAGTTCATAATAATCGATAAAATTAGAAGATTATAGAGAGATAGCTGTTGATATATCATAAAGTTTGATTGCAGTTCGTTCAATAATAAGAGAGATATTAAGGCGTTCTAGTGTGATTTTAATAGAAAAGCATATCGAATAATCAATTCCCTTAATAATGCCAAAATGGACATTATAATATTCAGAAGATGTTGTATCATTAGGGATTCATGAACCTGATGAAATGATGACAGAGAAAATTAATTAAGGTTTGGTTCTAGAAACAGAACCAGAAAGAAGAATTGAAGATTGTTGGAGAAGTTATATTGCAAATATTGATTTAAAGTTTCATTAGACAACACATACTAGTCATAGTGTAACAAAATCTCATTTTTCTATTAATCCAGGCTATTAGAGAAGTTCTGTTACAATAAAAAGAGTTTCACAAATACTAAAAACTCAATTTGAACCATTTGAACCAGAGTTTGTTAATATGTATCAAAAAATAGAGGAAGATCCATTTGATTAAGGATTGAGATAATAATTGGAAAGAGATTAATTATTAAGATAATAAAAATGGTAGGCTGAATAATAAAGGATTGCAGAGAAAAAAGAATAATTGAGATAGATTAGATTATTAGCAAGTTCATTTACAGGTGATAAGAAATATACTTTTGATTATGAGGGGAAATTTATGCCATAAAATATACCTTAGGTTGAATAATTGGCACCAATTAGACCTAGAGTAAGTTCTATGGTTTAGTTATAAGAAAAGAATAAAATTATAGAATTTGGGAAATCATTTGCTCATGTAAAAATAGAAGGAGATAAACCTTTTTTGGGAAGTCAAATGAATTTTTAATAGAAATAATAATAGAATGTATTTGATTAAATTGAAGTAGCTAAAGGTGTTACTTTGACTGAAGGTATAAATTAAAAATAAGGACCTTCATTCTCAAATAATTAATATATATAATTATGGGAAGAGGGATTAAAATTAACAAAAAGTGAATATCAATAATATGTATAAGGATTATAAGGAGGAGTTAAATTATAAAAGATTATATAAGATACATCTATTAATGATTTAGAACCATCTCGAGTTAATTTAAATACATCTATTGTAAATTCAACAACTGTAAAAGAAGGTTCAATTAGGATAGATGGAAATATAAGTGTGGAAGAATTATTAATTACAGAAGAACCAAAACCTATCAAAATTGATGTTTAATAACCATTACCAAAATTGTTATTAAAATAAAAAGATCTCTCATAATTATTGACACTTACTAATGAAATATTGAAATAAGGCAAACCTAAATTACCAAAAGTTATGAGTTCATAACATTCTCTACCATAACTACCTAAAAATCCTAGAGATAGAACAATAAGTTAATTATAAAAATATAAATGATTATTTAATTATGATAATCTAATTTGTTATTCAAATAATAGAGAGTCCTCCTTCCTTCAATTTTTATCTTAGTATCAGTCTATAATCTATTTTTATAGAATAATATCATACCATATTTTTCATCCATTAAATATAATATTTGATTATCTATTGCAATCAAATAAATGTGTTTAATTTAATATTCTTTTTAGATTTAATATCTATCAAAACTTATATGTAGAACTGATATTTAACTTCCCCTTAATTTTACCTATTTGAACAGTATTTGTTCATAATTTAAACTTCCTAATTATTATTGCTGTAATTTCAGATCAAATATATCAAAAATATAAATGATAGGTACAAAATTAGACAAGTTTTCTTCTATATTTTAATTCAATGTATACAACAACTAATATAATAAATATCAGGCTATACAAATTTAGATGAAAAAGGAGTAGTGAACATAATATTCTTAGTAACTCTATTTAATAAATTCATAGTCTTTAGATATTATTAACCATTTATTGTATATATACAAATTTATGAATTTACTCTCTTAAATACCAAAAAATACATCTAAATTTAACATTAACTATCCAAATAAATTGTATGTAATAAACTTTAAAATATATTATATATTACTTTCCTTCTAAAGTTAATAGGTTAGCTATATTCTTATAGTCTACTGTTAATATAAGAAAATCTGTTAAATCTATACATAAAATTCCATTCTTTAATTATTTTGTAAATAATTCTTTTGCTTACATTTATGGTCTGAATTAGAGTTCAAATAATTATAATAATCCATCCAATGATCCAATTGCTAAAATATTTGATACAGCATGATATCTAACACATGATGTTCTTTTTACATTTTTTAATGAAATATCTATATCTAATTCCTTCATTTTATTCCTTAAATCATAGATTTTTACACTCTTATCTAAGAATCCAACTAAACAGAAATATAAATTGTAATTCTATTTCTCTCCATAAATACTATAAAATTAGGAGTCATAATAATCTCCAAAATTATATTCCTGTTCATAAATGAAAGCAAATAAATTTTAAGGATTACATCCATCTATTTTTATCTCTGGCAATTTCTTTTCCTATTTAAGGTAGACTTATTAATAATAATATTCTTAATCCTCTTAATTTTTAGCCTTTATTAAGGTTAAATTATTATATTTCTCATCATCAGCTTACAAAATATAATTAAGTTTTTTAGAATAAGGATAAAATCCTAGAATTTATGATTTGTTTAATTAATTTTTTATTTTCTTTTATTAAAAGACAATACCCTTATTTATTTTATTTGGGTTATCACCAAAAAAGGGGATTTAATTTGTAAATAATTACAAACTATACATTCTCTTTTAATGAGCCTTTTGAAACAATTATTTAGGTGTTTAACCTAAATAATAAAGTTTAGTTAAATATGATCGAATTGTTTAATGATTATAATTCTAATTTAATATCTTTTGTAAATTTTATTCATATGTTAGATAATGAAATAGATTCATATTTTCTTTTGCATTATATCCATTATTATTGATTCCAAATATTAAATCTATCCAGCTATTTAATTAATTAGATACTTAATCACTCTCCAATGCTTATCTCATTCTATAAACAAATTCTTCTGCTGTTTATGTTTTTACCCACTTTGGTAATACTACATCAGGAATGCTTGATTGTTATTATAATGTCTCAAAAGAGAGATAATTACTAAATATACTAATACAAATACATATTCCTTAGAAATTAAGGCATATAATAGAATTCTGGAATCAACTCTTTGTTATCATATTTTATACTATTTTCCCATTATTAATTTATACTAAAAAATAACCAATCTGAATGTTCAATCAATTTATAAGATTTTAATCTTATTAAATAATTTAGAACAGTTTAAATATTTGAATAATGATATTTATGTTGATAGTTTTCATCTTTTAAATATATTTCTCTCTCTTGGTATTCTTTAATAATTTATTCTGGTTTTCTTGAAATTGCACCAATTGGTAATTTAAAATTTCTAAATGTATTTTATTCTTACTCTTATTTGAAATCAATTTATTAGGAATAATAATTTGAAATGACCCATGGAAATACAAAGTATTAACTTAAATCATTATAAGTTCTTCCTGAAAAAGTGTTCACTAACATTAAGTATTGAAAGTTTGATAATTTTCCTTCAACCCATTTTTATTAATAATTCATTTTCTTAAATTCTTCAATTGGATCAATTACTTATACTTATTTCTTTTTAAATTTTTATAATAATTCTTATTATTCTTAATTTGTAAATAAATTGAAAAAGTAATTCTATCTATTAATAAATATCTCTATAGCAATTTCCATTAATAAAAATCTCCTTGGATATATATTAATTATCTAAGCTAGAGAAATTTAAAGAAATAAATCCTCTGTTGTTTATATTACCTCTGGACTAGAAAATAATTCTTAGAATTCTAATTCTTCTTATTGAAACTAAATACATTAATTTGTTTCATTAAATCTTAAAAATCCTTAATAAGCCCCTTCTTAAGTTATATATTCACAATAATATTTAGTAATCCCTAATTGATTTTTATCTGATTATCCTTTTTTAATATTATTGAATGCATAATTTAGTTTATATTAAATTAATTATTCTTTTTTTATAGATGATATTGTATTAGTTCTCTTTATTAATTTACCAACTTAATTAGGTGTTTCTAAATATGAATTATAAAATTATATTATTTTAGTTATTTTTAAATATGGTCTTTTTCTTGTCATGTCTTCTGAATATTCTATCTTTTTCAATTGCATACTCTCTAAAACTTCAAATTTAAATTACTTATGGGTAATAAATTTATTTAATTCTTGTTAAAGTATTTATAATTAGTCTTCAACAATAAACAATAATTATTATCTTTCCTCTTAATCTAAATTCTTAGTCCTCAAATCTTGTTTATAAATATCTCTAAATTAAGATATATCCAATAATTTTGAATCTACTAATAAATTACTTTATGTTCTTGGTATTACTAGAGGATCAATAATTCTAGGATACAATAACCAAAGTTTATGAATGAATTCATAATATATTTGAATATCCATGAATATACTTAATTTAATTATATTTGCTAATTCATCATCGATTGAATCTATTTAAGATAAATCATAAGTATTATTTATTGATATTTAATTTTATAAAGTTTACTTTTTTAATTTATTAAGCTAATTGAAAGCTATGAATATTTATTTTTGAGCTTTCTCTTTATATATTAAGCATTCAATTAAATTATGATCTACCATTTTCCATTTAATAAATTTAGTCAATTAATATTTTTTAAATATTTCTTGAATTTCATTTTAATTTTTTAATTCTTACTTATCTATCTTATTAAGTGAATTATCTTATAATAAAAAATAATAAATTAAAAGTTAATAAAATTTAGAATGATTTATTAATTTAGATTTTTTTTCTTTTTTTTTCATTTGCTCTTTATAATTATCTTAATGATATAACAATTCTGTTAAATTTTTTTTGTATTATTTCCTTGTTTGTAATAAAGGAACTGAGAATTCTTCATCAATTAATAATTTAATTCTTTAACAACTTTATTAATCAATTCTACCTTCTATGCTATATTAATTAATAGATAAATAATTTTTTATTGGTTTCTTCATTTATGGAATTTTAACAAATGGTGCAATTAATTATATCATTAACCTTTTTATACCTCCATTTGGTAAAAGTCTATTGTTTTACTTTCTTAATTTATCATAATCTTCTTTAATCTATTATAATGTAAAAGTATCTTCAATACAAGGTAAAAAGAAATTATGATCATAAAATAAGATATCTAAATAATTAAATAGATCAATTCCCTTGTCCATTATCTAAGAGTATTTATCCCAATTAATAGATTCAAGATTTTGAATTTCTCCTATGCATTATTCAATATGTAGATATATTATTATGATATTTATTAATTTACTTCCATCTTCTTTAACTTAAAATTACTATACTTATTTTAATGCATAAAATTAGATTATTGTAGGATAAATAGCTTATAAATATAAATTAAAACTATCATTATTTATTATTTAGCTTTAAATATGTATTTAATATAAGATTTCAATTGTGAAATTTGAGTACAATTCTATTAGATAAATAATACAATATGTAAATAAATCAGAAATATTTTAATTTTTATTTATAGAAGTAGTCATAAGATGTTTGATTAATAAAGTGTAATTTTATAATTTAATTAGATTCATTAATAAAATATCTGATTGTTATTTTCTTAATACAATATTTTTAAATTAATCCAAAAACCAAATTATTATTTTTTCATTTATTGAATCATTTATTAATTGATATTAATACAATTAATTAATAAATCTTAACAATTAGTTAACTAATTGTATATCTTCTTCAAAATACTTAATTAAAGATAATATTTTTGAAATTAAACAATATCCAATTACTGTTTATTATTTATGTGAAATATAATCATAATAAATTTATAATTAATTCAATTCTCCATCTTCTTTATAATTATATCTTAATTATTAAACTATTGAAAAATAAATTGAAAATGTCAATTCATTCAATTTATCAAATACTTCTAATTCATAAAAATATATTTAATTAGTTATATACAATTTTTAATACTTATCTAAAATTTAAATAATGATATTTTTATAAATATTTAAATCTTCTTCTTCCTCATCTTTTAATTTAATTTTTTATTTCATTCTTTCTCCTATTAAAATATCTATTATTTATAATATATCTAAAGTGAATAGGTTAAAAGATTATTAAATTAATATTAAATTAAAAATTTTACTAATGGAATTTATATCAGCAATTTATACAATTCCTTAATATTGAATACAATTAACTAAGGAATATGGTTATAAATTAATAGCTTCAATATCAATAAATTCTTAACTCTTTTTCAAAGAAACCAAAGTAAATATATATCTACTTTCAAAATATAAATGAATATTAATTAATTCATTTAAACAATTTTGGTTAATCAAATTCTATAGTACTGATTTTGTACATATAATCTTTATTTATTCTAAAGTAGTGAATTTATTATCCAATATCTTTATAATAGTAATCAGATATTAAATCTAAGCTTATTCATTTTTGATTATATTATATATAGACATTAATTTATTAATGAATTCATTAGAAATTCTTTCATTATTTTAAATCCACCTTTTACAATTATCTTCAAGATATTATAGATTTTAAGAATTAAACAAATTATTCTAAAATTAAATATTTTCTTTGAATAAATCCAATATTAACATTATAATTTCTTCATAATCACTTACATTTTTGTTTTTACATAAGTCATATAATAAATCTAAAATCATATAAAAGATGTTGACTCCTCCACATTATTAGATAAAATTAATTCCTTATTTCATATTCAAAATATAGACATTCTGTAAATATGTATTAAATTAATTATGCATATATGGTGTAATTAAAAAAATATCATCAAATTTATATACATTTTCTCTTATGACTCCTGTATTAATGAAGTTTATTGTTTGTTTTTATATATTTATTTTATTAGTTTATTCAAATTAAATCTTATATTTATTTATTATTAAATTGAATTCTGATACATGTCCCTCAAATGAATATTAACTCATTAAATTCAATGAATTATTATATTAAATTTAATAATAGTTATTCTATTCATTTTATATCCAAATATTATCGTTCAATTTAATTCCCAAAATGAACTTATAAAATTAGAGTTACTAATTCTATTGTGATTTTAATTAAAAATTAAATATTTATTCATTAATTTTAAGTATTAGATATTAATTATTTTTAATTTAAAAATCTAAATTAAACCATTATGACAAGTCTAGATTAGTTTGATAATCTTATTCCTAATAGGTTTCATCTTATTTATAAATAATAAAAAATGTCTATTAATTAATAGCTATTTGGATTTCTTGATTTTTAGTAAATTCTAAAGTAAATAAAATCAATTTTTCAGTCTATTCAAAATTATCTATAAATGATCCAAATTTTATTTCATCTAAATCTTAAAGATTATCATCTTCATTCTCTTAAATATTAAGTTTTAATTTCATCAATACTTAAATTATCTATATAGGAATAGGTGTGAAATTCATCTGGATGGATGATTCTCCTCCTTAAAAATATAAATGATTTGATTATTCCTATTATGAAATTTACTGCCATTTCTAATATACTGATTAAAATGTCTCTAAAATTATTTTGAAAACTTTAGTATAATAATTTTTATCTTCTACTAATTTTATTAAATGACTGCTCTATTAGAATAAAGGAATTCTATAAGGTTATAAATTTACCAATCTATAACCTAATTAAATTTAATCTTAATCATTGGCATCTATTTAAAGATCATTTAAATCATTCATCAATATTGTAGATTAATGTTGACTTAATGATTCAAAAAGTTATTTAATTATTTGAGGATCTTAATTTAAAGAAATCACAATGATTATGCATTATTACATCAAATTTATTATTTCTGGATCTCTTTCTAATCTGAAATAAAAAATAAATTTAGGACAGAAATCCTAAAAAGAAAGTATAAGTGAAATTTATGTTTTTAATTAAAATTTTAATATTTGTAAATAGAATTTTCTATCTATTAATATATTTGGCACTTCAAATAAAATACTTATACTTGTTTCATAAAATTAATTAAATACTAACTTCATTTGAATCTTTCTCTGATTTAATTAAGTATATAGATTTGAATTATTTAATAAATTTTCATCTTTATCAAAGTAATTATCCTTAATATAAATGATATAATCCTATCCATATGCAATAGCATTGATATTATTTATTATTTGATAGAGTATATTTGTTTCTAGATTTCCATTGTATTAAAGTATAATAATTAGATTAATAGTAAATTTATAGTGAATTTAGCATAATTCTACACAAATTTATTAAATTTCATCTAAATTTATAATATATTTATCATCAGTCAACCAAAAAATCATATAAATTATATATGTGATTTTATGATAGATTTCTACATAGATTTAATGTTATTCAACACTTTTATTAGAACTCTTTATTATAAAATCATAAATATTTTTAACTAATGATACAAAATATCTTAAATTTAAATATAAATAATTGAGAATATAAGTTCCTTTTCCCTTTTTATAACTAATTTTATTTTTATATACTCCTTACTTATTTTTCTTACAAGACCTCATTAAAATAGTAATATATCTCAAAATATGCTTAAAACTTTTAGAATTCAGTTGGATTGACTAAAATAATATAAATTATATAATTAACTTTCTAGATGAAATTCAAGAAACCATAGCTATGTTATAGACTTTTAGAGGAATTTGAAATAGCAATATCAATTATTTATTTATAAATTTATTCATTTTCAATATTTTCTAAAATTTTTAGATCAAATATCTTAGAATATTACTATTCTTTGATTTCTTAAGTAAAAAATTGAATAAGTGAAGAGTTGAATTCTATTTTTTGTTCTTCATTAAATAATGGGTAATATTAACATAAGTATTAAATAAATTTAATAAGTTATTGAGTATTTATATTATTGTCATTAATAAACTCTTTCAATTCTTATATATGAATATCAAGGTAACTATTTATTATATTATTATTATTAATTTATAATAATTATTCTCCAATTATATTATAATAGGATAATTTAGTTTCTTTATTTTAATTTTGAAAATCAAATCAAATATTTACAATATATATTATAATTTTGGATTAGATAATAATTATTTAATTAAATGACCAACAATTCTATAATTCTTTTACTATATCAATGTAATTATTTATTGATTTCTAAATGGTATTATTTTGATATCAAATTTGATGTTATCAACAAATTCAGTTATTTAAATCAAATAAATGAAAATTAAATAATAATTGATATCATTCAACTAGTTAATTTAATCAATCCATTTACATGAATTTGACTGTATAAATTATATATATTACATTTATTGATAATTTTATTTTAAACATGATAAATATATTTAACAAAATGAAATCTCCTAAAATTATTCAACATTACTTAATTCTTAAAGTTGCATTTCATTTTATAAATAACATTATTAAAATATCTCAAAAATCTATAGAAAATTCTAAATTTCAATATCTTTTAAATAAGTGAAATATAGAGTATTCCCTAATAATATTTAATAAATCAAATTTATTGTTTCTTATTTTTTCTTGAAATTAAAGGATATAATCAATTTTATTAGCCTTTATAAATTAATAAATGCCTTGATATATTTATATTATTAATGTTAGTGATCATTATTTTGTATTATATTCTTTATAAATTAAATGATATTCCCTCCAATCTCATAAAAGACTTCATATAGAACTTATTTGACATTTTCATTGATTTCTGGTAATTTGTCATATTCATAAAGTAGATTGTCCATGCAATAAATGACTTATTCAATTATAATTTATTATGAGAATATATTAGATATATTTATAGTAGTGGACAATTCATTTAAAATATTTTCAGTTTATGCATAATATTCTTTAATAACAGAATGTATGATTAAGTAAGTTGAAAAAAAAGGAGATTCTCTTTATTATTAGAAAATGCTTTCATATTCTTATTGATTTTAACTTTTTGATTTAGAAATAAACTTTGATTCCATAATAGATTAATTTTATAGAGATTATTTTAGATCGTCTTTGAGTGAATCTGAAATATAATCAATAATTTTTGATTCCCATTAGATGTGAAGTAATTTCAGATATTAATTAAACATGTTAAATAATATTAAATTAATAATCAATCAAATTCAAAGGGTCTACAATAGTTATTTCTTATAAAGGATCATCAGTATCTCCAAAGCATTTATTAATTGATATTTTATAATATCATAATATTGGAAATGAACTATGAATCTTTTTGCAGAAAAACATTTAATTCCAAGACATTTCACTTTAATATATACCTGTGGTAACTAAATATGTATTTCATATAACCAAAATGTTATATTAAACCTAGATATTGAATAAATAGTATCAATAGGTGAATATTAAACATAAACTATTTTTGACAACAGTTTTCACTATTCATGGTTGTAAGTATTTTATGATATTCTCAGCATAATATTTACAATGATTTGCTGATTTCTTTATATTAAATTACCTATCTCATATATTATCAATTTTGCATATATCTATTCATTCTAAATAAAAAATACTTTTATTCTTGATTTTATACCCTTTTTTGTGTTTATTATGTTAAATGATTTAATTCTTGATTAATTAGAAACTACCTTAAATCCTGTTTTTCATAAATTTGATATTATTTTTTAAGGATAGAAGATTATATATTGATAAGAAGAATCATTAAAAGTATATATATTTTTATTAAAAAAATGTTATATATATATTCATTTAACATTTACTATTAAATATTATAAAATCATCCATAATTAGATATTAAATAATAAGAATAATTATATCAACTCTCTTATTTATATTTATGGGTATATATTTCAAAATATTATTTGTAATTCTATTAATAAAAATAAAAAATATGAGTATTTACTTTGATGGATCATAAGTAGGACTCTAAATCCAACCCCTTTAATTTGATCCAAGTTATACTATAGAAAATATGTATTAATACTTACAATAATGCCAAATTGATACATCACAATATGGTTTATCATTTGATGGATAGACAACTTTAAATTAATAAGACAATGCATATATTGGATCGCTTATTCAACCAAATTCAGGATTCTTGGTTATTTTATTACCATAACCACTATTTAATATTTATTTTGATGGAACATAGTAAATATTGTCATAATAATTACCAAATATTCCAATAACTGATGTAAATTAATTAAATATATATTTAATAGTTGTTGGCCTATTTATAATAAAATGGTACTAATTTTCCATAAAATATTGCTATCGACTATCACGATGGAAATTCATAGCTGATAGCTTAAGATGTTGATACTAATTAATTATTGTATACTTATACATAAGGAAATTAAGTTTTGATGTTGAATATAAGATAAATTTAATAAAATATTTAACCAAAAGGATCAAGTAATAAAGTTACATCTTAAAAAACAAAGTACCTTAATATATTTATATATTAGTATGGGAGCTTAAGAACTTCTGTAATCATTGATTTTACTCAAGAATTTGAGCTTATTGATTGATCCAAACGGTTAATTTGTTGTTTATAAATTCCATTTTCCAACTTTGATCTAAGGATATTTGGAAAAATCGAAAGGCAAGGATCCAGAAAATGTTCTCTAATTTGATTGGAGGAACTCAGATTGGCAAGAAAAAAATAATATTAAATATTGTTCATTTGATGATTATGGTTTTGCTGTAGCTTGGGATGATGGTAAAATAAGTTCTGTGAAAATTAGATAATAATGAAATATATATAAATATTTTTGAATATCATTAAAATTAGTTTAAATTTTATTAATATTATGAATTAAAATATATTAGTTATAGGTGCAGGAGTAGCTGGTTTAGCTTGTGCTTAATATTTAATTAAATAAGGTTGTAATGTGAGATTGTTTGAAGCATCAAATAGATATGGAGGTAGAGTTAAACCCTTAATTGGATTTAGTGATAGACATTTAGAGGCTGGTGGATAAACAATTCATCATCCAGATAATGATTATTATAAAATGGCTATTGAAACAGGTGCTAAATTAGAAATTGGAGGAGATTTAGTAGGATCAATTTATGATCCTATACAAAAAAAAGTTATTAGCTATAAAGAATTTGAAGATCTATATAAAAAAGAGTCTTAATCACTTGATGATTTTATAAATGATAGATTTTAAGAGGATGAACCAGTTTTATAAAGATTATAAAGAAAAGGATATAATATGGAGTTTATTCATTTATTTTATGCTTTATATGGTAGTGAATATGGTGCATCTATTGAAAAAATAGGTGCTAGGGCAATTGGAAGATATGAATTTGATATGCCAATGTTTGTATCAGATTATGAAATTGAAAATTATATTCACCATTAAAATATTATAGATAAATTCTTCAAAGAAGCTATTGAAATAATTGAATATAATAAGTAAGTAATATCAATAAAAATTATTAATGAAAAAGTTTAAGTATAATTAAATAATGATCCTAATGAATTTTCATTTGATTATGCTATTTGTTGTGTTCCTGTAACCTAACTTAAGAAATTGAAAGTAGATCCTGCTTTTGATGAATCAAGATTAAAATAGATTAATTTAATTGGAATGGATAAAGGAGGTAAGTTCTTTATTAAATTGGATAAAAAATTCTTATAACATGAAGAGGATTTCTTTTTACCTAAATTCAATCATAATTCCTTATGGTGGGATAGTTCAAGTGAAAATTAATCAATTATTATTGGATTATTAGGATTAAGTGCTCATAATAGAGTTATGGAAATAGGGATTGAATAATTTGCTAAAGAGATTGTATAAACAATAAATGAATAATATAAAGTTGATTTGAAAGTAATCTCATATCATTATGAAGATTGGGGTAATACACCTTTTATTGAAGGATTGTATTCATATCCAATGTCAGGAATTGATGATAATTATAGATAAATAATTTCAGCACCTTATTAAAATAGATTATATTTTGCAGGAGAAGCATATCATCCTATTTACTATTCTACAATTCATGGAGCTTATGAAAGTGGAATTAAAGCAGCTAAAGAAATAATTAAATGAAATTTTATATACGAATCATATATAATCCCATCTAAATTTCAAAGATTTATTTTATTAATTAAATGATTAATTTGAGTTAACTTAAATTATCATTAATATAATATATAAATATCTTAAAATAAGACAATATTATTATGATATATATTCTCTTAATATTTTTATATTAATATTATATTAAGTAATGATTATTGGAATTATAGAAATGAAAAAAATAAGGTTGCATCTATTAATATAATTTCCATTATTTGTTGCCTTTCATTTTAAATACTTAATATTATAATGTAATAAACAATTTATTTAGTTATCATTTTCTATAATAAAAAAATAATAAAGAATTAAGATATTGTAATATATATAATCAAAAGTATATTACTTATTTAAAGAATATAAAATGAATATATTCAATGATTATACTCTGAATTATTAGAATAAACAATAATAGTCAAGAATACTAATTGAATTGTAATTATATAATTTTATTAATCAAAATACATTAAATAATAAATAATGGGAAATAGGGCTTCTAATCATGAAGAAATATCAGCTTTTTTATCAGAATTTGAATATTAACAGAAGAATTTCTCTATTTAATATGATTATCCTTAAAGAAAAGTATTTAAAGCTGCAAAGAAAAGGAATTAGATTTCACATAGTAGTAATCGTAGATGTTCATAAAATATTAAAAAATCTTTGGAATATAAAGTAGAAGGAAATCATTATATTTAATTAAAACAATATAAAAAAGCAATAGAATCATATACTTAAGCAATTGTAAGACTTTATTATAATTAGAACTTATATGATCGAGACTCAATTTATTTTTCAAATAGATCTGTAGCAAATAAACTTCTAAATAGATTCTAAGAAGCTAAGTAAGATGCTGAAAAAGCTTTGAAAATTGATGAACATAATTCTAGAGCTCATTTTATTTATGGAACAATCATTCTAATTGAAGTTTAAATGTTTCCTGATACCACAGAATCTCTCATTAAATAAGCTTAACTAGGTATTAAAGAACTAGAAAGTGGTAATTTATATTTAATATATAAAATAGCATAAGATTAAGTTAAAATAAGTAAGAATGAATAAAAAAATAAATTAAGAGTGTTAATCAATTAAAATTTAGCTAAAGGTAAAAGGATGATCTATTTAATAAGATAAGAAATTGATAAAAGAAGTATAATAAATTATAAATTAAATTAGATATCTAGTCTCTAAAATAAACTCTATTAGATATTTCACATCGTTAATAATTGTAATTAGATTGGAATTTAATTGAATAAAATATAAAAAGAAAAATTGAAATCTAAATGCCAGAATATTTTGTTTGTCCAATATTATTTGAAATAATGGAAGAACCTATCCTTCTCAATTCAGGACTTTCTTATGACAAATCAAGTATTCAATAACAATTTAGACAAAATGGTTATATTGATCCTCTAACAAGATAGTCCATAGATCCTTTGAGTTTGATTGAAAATATTCAACTAAGAAATGGTATAATAGAAATCAAGAGAGAATACGGTTGGATTGGGATTGAACATGAAAAGGATTATAAAGCAATAAGATTTGAGTGATATTCAAATGAAACTTGTAGTAAATTGATTTCTCAATAATATATATATATTATAAACTAAAATAATAATTAATTCATTTTTATATATAAGTAAATTTTTCCATTTCTTCTAATTATTATTAGATTTAAACTTTTATAACTTTAGTTCTACTTTTTTCAAGTTAATTTATTTTTTGATTTCTCTCTAATTATAATTAAGATATTTGATTGATTCTCTTTTATTCAATTTCTAATAATTTTTCATTCATTTCTAATTTGATTAATTATTCTTGATCATTAAATTTATTAATTAATACTTCTTCTTAATGAGCATGTTTTTATTTAAGTACTCTTTATTGTGTTTCTTGAGTTTATCTTTATTCAGATTAAGTTCTTCTCATATGATCTTAATTTGCTTCTTTTAAATATACTTAATACAATTCAGCCTTTTTAAAATCTTTTTGATTTGATAAATATGTCATAATTTTTTATAAATTTTGATATTCTGCATTTTATTATCTTTTATAAAAGACAGATTTTTAAAATTATATTTTTTATTTATGCCATAATTATTAAAGTGCTTAACTTTTTTAATAATTGAATTTTTCAAATAATTAAGTAAAATATTAATTAACTTCATCAATCTATTATTTAGTTTATAAAAGTATTCTTTCTTCTCCTAATTTAAATTATTCCTAAATTTCTTCTCTTTCAATAAGATCTCTAATAGTTTTCATTTGTAATATTTTAGATTTTACTTCATTAGCTTCTTTGAAATAATGATTAACTTAACAATCAATCATATGCTATTCTGTTAATTTGATTATTTCATCCATTTGATTTAATGTTAACATGTATGATAATTATATTTTATAATTTATTAATAATGATTATCAATCTGGATATTCAACATCACCAAATTCTGATGGTAATTAATAAGTGCCAGGTCCAGGAACTAATATAATGAAATCTTAATCATTTACAAACTTTATTTCGAATTTAAATAGTTTTTCTTTCTGATGCTCCAAAACTGAAACCTGAACTACTTTTCAATCTTATATCAGCAATATCTCCTGGTGGATCATAAGTTCCTGGTCCTGGAGTTTTAATGATTCTGACAGATTTATTAGAAGATGGAGAGAACAATGGAGCTCTATTACTTGAATATTTGGAATTAAAATAATTTCCCATTTTACTAATACCTCCAACATTATAGGCACAAGGAGATGGAGTTGTAGATTCCAAATATATATCTAAAATATAATAATTACATACGTTTAGCTTTGGTTCTTTCTCCAAATGAAAATTTAATATTTGAGAATGTATCTTTTAGAGTATAAGTATTTGGTGCAGGATTCTTATTTGGATTTCCATAAATTCCAACAGCTTTTGTTTCTTCTCTTCCATATCCAAATTTTGTGACTGCTTTAGGTTTTGATTTTATTGTATAAGCTGTAGGAGGAGGAATATACTTATCTGTTAATTTGGCAAAATCGAATTTTATACCAAATCCAAAACTGCAAGTTCTTTTGCCAAGAGATGTTCGTATCCTAAAAATATAAATTAGATTAATATACTAAGAATCATAAAATTATTATTGGCAATAACTTGAACGAGGTTTCGAGAATCTTGTAGCTTTTGCAAATGAATATTGTTATTTAGATGGAGAATGATTAATTACATCATGAATAACCTTTTTATTAAATTGATCTGCTGTTCTCAAAAGTATCATAGACCCTGTATTTCTTGGTCTTCCATATAATGTTTCTGCAGCACTAAATGTCCTTTCTGATGCTGTCCTTGCTCTTCCCTTCTTTTTACTACTTCCTTAAGGACTACTTAATTCAATATTATTCCCTGATTATGTCTCCTACTCCTATAATTTATATTGACTATCCAATTATTTCTCAGACATCTTTATTTTATTATTATAATAAATTTAATCAAACATTATATCAAAATTTTATATTAGATAAAGTCCCTGCCAATAACTCTACATAACTCTATAATTAACTTGTTAAAGGCTCCTCTATTCCAAAGAGATTCTCACTCACTTCCAATAAGTGTTCCCTCTCCATATCAATAGATAACTTATTCTTTAAACAAGTCTAATTTCTAAAATAAAATCATACTTCAATCACTCCAATTACCACATCCTATTTATTTAATAAAGGTTAAACAAAAATGGGCAAGATTGTTGTCAAATCAACCTTTGGATTAAAATTAACTGATCTCTTAATATCATTTACTATATATCTCTACTTATTCCTAACTGCCATCCCTGCTAATCCATAATCTAATGAAAATTTTTATTCTTTCTAATCTTCATAACTTAATAATTGTTCATTCTCCACAAAATAGAATCTAATCATTTGAAATCCAAATATTCTTTTAAAACTTAATTTAATCCTTTCACTTGCTATTTACTTATTCTAAGATCTTAAAATATCTGTTAATTGATTATTCATCAAACTTCTATACTTCTAAGCTATTTACCAACTTTCTTTATCTACCAATCTTTGTATAATATTTCCCAAAAAACTACTAATTATAATTCCAAAATATTCTTCATCAAAAGAAAATTATTCATATTCAGAATTCAATATTATTAAACATCCTCTTATTATATTCTATCCAATACAAAATATAGGCAATATTAATGCACTCTTTGCATATTCTGGTTATTCACTTTCATTTATCCTATATATAATTGCTTTCTTTGGTTTTGAACCTATGTTTTATGCTTAATATAATTTAAATGTATCAGCTATCAATCCTTTATCTTATAATGCTTTTATTTATTATCGAGTTTCTAAATAAGAATACAATAATCCATTTTTTGTCTCTAACAACCATAATTTAGCTGTTTCACATTTAAATATTTATGGTAACTGTCTATTTACATTAAAAATAAGATCTTCAATAGTTTAACAATTGCTGAATTCTTCCATTTGCAATAATAATTAATTTAATCTCTCTGAAAAATCTTTAAATGAAAGTAATTGATTACAATAATAAGTTATTTACTATTTTTAACCCTCTTAAGATTATTAAGATATCTATTATAGTGTATTTACAACTCCTTTTTCACATAAATCATTCAATAAATTTTGATGATCTAATTTCTAACATACTATTCTAAAATCTAAATTTTATGGTATTTTGAAATTCATTAATAATTCAATATCATCTTTTTTAATTAATCCTCTAATTTCATCATCTTCATTCTTTTTTCTTAAATTATCAATAGTTTTTTATAATCTACTTACTACTAATTGATATTAATTTAATTTCCCTTGAATTCTCTCAACCTCTTAATTTTTTCTTTCCAAATCTCTTTTCAATTACTCATTTTCCTTCATTAAAATAGTTAAATTAGATCTCATTTCAAATATATTGATATCATTTGATACTATAAATTCAATTCTTTTTTCTAATGCATTTATTTTCTTGATATTAATTTCGTTTAAATTTTTTTCTTATTTTAATTACTTTTATAATTTTAAATTGTCTTCTATTAATTTATTACTTCTACTAGAATTGATTTCCACTTCTTATTACAATGATTTATTCCTATCAAATAATTCAGCTTCCTTTCTCAATACTTATTTATTAAACACTAAAAAAATATGTAAAATTAAATACTTGACGTTTTCTTTTACTCTCTATTTAAAAAGCCTAACTAAATTTCATTTTTGGTGGTATTTTAAAATGTGTTAACAATTGAGAGTAAGAGTTACTCAATTTTTTAAATAGTTGGTAAACTGTTCAATTAATTTTTTTGTGTTGTAATAACTTAAATAAGGAATTCTAACGTAGTACATCTAGATATCAATCTATTTTGCAAATCTTTTATTTTCTTATTAGATTGAATTAGTTTACTTAGACTTCAAGATCTTCATTGCCTTCTGTCAATAATCTTTATTCTTTACTGTTGGCTGTACTCAATGTTGTCAATTTATGTGGTAAAGTCAAAGTTTATTATGATTGTTAATAAGCTCTTGGAGTACTCATTTAAGTAGCCCCTAAATAATCGATAGATTAAGGTTATTTGGACAGTAGGTGAACTAATTAAGAATGTTTCATTAATATTATATATTTATATATATATATTCAATCTTATTATTGATTGTCTAATTTCACTTTTTTTTTGCTCTTCTTTTTATTTGGTGGTAATTTATTTTATATTTCATCAATATCAAACACCTTAATGGTTTAATCTTCAGAACCTAAAATTAATTCTATAATTGTACTTGTAATAACCAAATTATTAGTGAAATATACAAAATCCAATAAAAAACCACTATGACCTCTAATATTAGCTTTCTCCAACCCTTCAAGAGTTTATCTATTAGGTATCATTCTTTATAGAATTTCATCGACATTCCAAATTTACAAAGATTAATGACATTTGGCTAAAGATGTAATTAATCCATTTTGTAATTAAACTTTTTGTATAGGAAATCTATGTTTTAAATATCCCAATAATATAATTTCATTATGTATTACATTTATCGATATAGTTTAATTATTGCAACCAGTGAGTAAGTAGATATTATTCTTGTACAAACTAACATCAATACAATTAATATCTGTATTATGAATCTATTTAGTATCAAAATGATTTTTCTGGTAATAGAACACATGATATCCATTAAAGATATAAAACATATAACATTAATCATTATTAAATAGAAATTAAATACTATTCATGTTAATTGTAACAATATCAAATGTTTTGTTTTTAATTAACTGTTATATTTTAATCTTTTATTAAATTAAGAAATTAAATAGTACTTATCCAGTTGACAAATCAATAAGTTACATTCTACCAGTTAACATAATAATCAAGACATAATCTTAAATTTAATGTGGTTTAGTAAGGAATTCATTTTCTTAATCTTTATTTATTTATTCAACATCAAATAAATCTAATAACATTAATACTTATTTTTTATTTAGCCATTCAATTTTAGAAATTGGATCTTCACAAACATATTTGTCAAGTAATTATTCCTTATAAATATCAATTAATTCAATCTTTTAATCTTTTTGTATAAATACAATTCCTTCTTAAAATGGACTAATATAGAAATTAGAGAAATCATTAATTTTCCAAAATTCATTTATGTAAGTAGGATATTTATTTTTTGTTAAATCAAGTGATTTTAATGTTTGATCATGAAAATAAATTAAATTCTTTTCTTTACCAATTTATAATTTGTTGACTTTACCAGCTAGACAAACGAATTTGTGATAATCAACAATTTATCCATCTTCAACACGAAATGAAAATATTCTTCTATCTAAACCTACAGTATAATATTGATTTAGATAGTTATTCATCAAATATATACCCTTGATATGAATTTCTTATGGTAATTTATAAAAGTGCTTATCAGAAATGACATTAGCATCTAATTTTAATGATTTGACTTAATTAGTTAATTGAATTAAGAAAATCTCTCCTTATTTGGATGTAACAAAAATTTGTTTATCATCTAAAAATTTAATACTTAAAGAAGCTTTTTTGAGATTTTCAGTAGGCAATTTCTCATTAACTATAAATTTTAATTCAATGAAAATATCATTATCATTAATTGTATTAGTTTGTTTCCATTCATCTATTTAATCTAATTGAAATACATGTAGACTAATTGCTTTATGCAATTTATTTAAAACTCCATATTTATTTTTATATCTATCAACACATAAAATATGATATGGATAATCATATTCTGATTTTTATTCAAATCTATACATTCTGCCACTTTAATAAATTACGATATTTTCATCTCCCCATTTTGGAATACTATGAGGTTGTGTTATTAATTTCAATCCAAAATGAATCAATTCAAATTTATCATTTAATTTAAATTCAATTGCTATACCTTTATTATCTAATAGCAAATATTAATTATTGATTTCCTTTAAAATCATAGGAATTTCAATATTAAATTCAAGCTTACCCAAATATTTCTATTGTTAAAAAATAGTAATAACCCCACCTTCTTAACCAACAAATATGTATTGATCTTTTAAATACAACATTGTTACTTTTTATTATCCTTGTAATGTATATTTAAAGTGTTTTGTTTCACTATTATAAACAAAAACTTAGTCATTGACTCCATAACACAGCAAATCCCCATTCATTTAGGCAATCTGTGGATAAAACCAATTAGGACTAAATGAAATACATTTTGAAGGAATGTCCATAAATATATAATAAATTAAATATCATTAAGACATAGCATTTTAAATTCCATCTTAAGGATTAAGAGGTTAATTTTCATCCTCTAATTTCTTTGCTTCTTCTTCCTCTTATTTCTTCTTCTTCTATTATTCAGCTAACAGTGCTTATCTCTTGGCTTCCATTTATCGATGTTCATGAATTCCATAATAGTAATATCCATTTAAAGATGTTAGAAATTCAAACAAAAATGGAATTATACTTTGTTTACATAATTATTCATTACCAAAATATTACCCATATATACATTATAGTCTTATGTTTCCATCTATCAAATAGAAAACAAACAAATGTCCAAACTCCGACAAAATGATAAATACACAAAATTGAATTTACTTTATCAAAATGAATATTCATAGCTAACATATTTAAACCAATCTGTGCTGCTTAAAATAGAATACACAATATCAAAAATATTATAATGCTTTTTTTAGTTTTATTTATTACTAAACTTATGCCTCTTCATATTCATCAGCTGTTGGTATTGCTCTAATTCCAGCTGAAATATTTTAATGAGTAGCACCTAAACATTAACAAGTAATAATCAATTCTAATATCACCAGTATAAATTTTGAAACTATTAAAGACCTTGATGTCTCAGAAAATTTATTTAAACTTAAAATTTTCATTAAAATATAATATAAGTAGTATAGTTATTTTTTATATGCAAAATAGTTTATAGTAATAAATAATTAATTATGTAAAAGAATGAAGAAACTGTCAAATTAGATACTTCTAATCTAAATACAATACTTAATGAAGAGGAATTCTACTCTAAACCTTTAAATGCTGAAACTAATATCTTCAAAAGAATATTTCTATTGAATGTATAAGATTATATGAATAATCTATATACTGAAATCGTAAGTAAAGACATTAAATTTAATTTTTCACATACACCTCCACTATAGGATAATTAGAAGATTGAAGTTGATAAACTTGAAAATCTTCTTAATCAAAAATCATCTGAAATTACCAAAATGTCCCTATTCAAACTATTTTTCCTATAATAAAAATCAAAATTTGCTTTAATTTTATTTGTATTAGCACTTTTCTCAATCTCAAAATGTGGAATATCTATTTTATTATCTACACTAATAGATTCAATATAATAAGACTTACCAATTAAATATGCATATGGTATAGGATTAGTTTTATTAAATGGATTATCAATCATATGTCAACATTAATTCTATTCAATAGGTTATGAATATTCTACAATCGTAAGAATGAGTATGGCTAATATACTCTATCATAAAATCTTTAAGTTACACACTTATTAAATCAAAAATACAAATTAAGGAAAAATAATCAATATGATTTCAGCAGATCTAAATTTATTGGAACCTTTCTTAATTTATATGTTTGTTGTATTAAATCTACCAATAGCCTTAGGATTAACAGCTGCTATATTATGGATCAGATTTGATGGTCCTTAAGGTTTACTATTATTGGCTTTACTATTTCTTGCTTATCCTATTTAATTGTTTTTCACTCATAGAATTACAGTATTAGTCAAAAAAACTAAGGAATATGCAGATTAAAGAGTTAAATTGACAAATGAATTTATTGAAGGTATTAGATTAATTAAGATGTATGCATGGGAACAGTCTTTTATTAAAAGTATTAGAAATCTAGCACATTAAGAACATTTTGCTTATATATTAACACATCTCTAATATGTTATATTGAGAGGAACTACCTTTTTTAGTCAAATGTGGGCAAGTGCAATATTTTTTATGATTATGCATTATGGAGAATTTTATGAAATTAATGTTTCAATAATGTTATCAACATTATAATTGGCTGCTTTTGCTAGATTTTTTTGTGTTATGGAATTATTGAATTATAAATTCATTTTTAATTATTAATTAAATTAAGTTTCTATAATTTATCATCTTTTGGATTAGATTTTATTGCAAATTTAAAAATAGTCTTAGAAAGAATGAGGGTTGTTTTATCTATGGAAGAAATAACATAAACCTAATAATTATTAGATTATCAATAAAAAGAAGATGGGTTAGTTCTACATAATCTTGAAGGATATTGGAATGTATAGGGATAGCCATAGATTAAATTATCATTTAAATTTAATATTGGATTATATGCAGTTATAGGAAAAATTGGATCTGGAAAATCATCATTATTGAATGCAATTATTGGTGAGATGCCAAAAACAACTGGTTCAATTTTATTAAATGGAGATGATATCAAAAATAGGAAAGTTGGGTATGTAGAATAAGAACCTTTTATATTTCCAGCTAGTTTTAAAGAGAATATTCTATTTGGAAGACCAATGGATGAATGTTTATACTAATTAGTATTAGAATAATCTAATTTGATAATGGATCTTCAAAATATGGAAAAAGGTGATAGTACTATGATAGGAGAAAAAGGACTCACTTTATCAGGAGGATAGAAGGCTAGATTGAGTTTAGCAAGGGCATTATATGAAGATGCAGAAATTTATTTATTAGATGATCCATTATCTGCAGTTGATGCTAAAGTATCTAGATCTATATTTAATAATCTCAAATAATTGGCTAAATAAAGGATTATTATATTGGTTACTCATTAAGTTTAATTTGCTCCTGAATGTGATTAGATTATAATTATGAATGAAGGATAGATCATGGCTAGTGGTGAATTTAAAGATGTAAACTAACATTTAAATTTAATTACAGATACATTCTCATAACAAGAATAATAGGTGTAATATAAAAATAATGTAACTAAATAAGATAATGAATTATATAAAAAGGAAGAATTGACTTCAAAGCCAGTCACATTTGATACTTATAAGAGATTTATTAAATAATGGTCATGTCCTTTTTTATTAATCATCATGATAATATTTTATCTTGGTTAAGAAGTTCTATTATAATTATACATATTCTTTATTTCTGAGTATGAAGAGGAGGGTTCCTTCTTTTTATTGATTGGAATGTTGTGTATTGGAGCTTTGATATTAAATTTAATAAAGTATGGAATCACTACTTTTAGTATTTTATCAGGTACAAAATAAACTCATGATTAAATGATAAATTCATTAAGTTAAAGTCCTATTTCATATTTTGATACTAATCCATCAGGTAGGATACTTAATAGATTTTCAAATGACAAAAGTTTATGTGATTTTACAATGAATTTATCATTATGGGAAGTGTTTGAGTTAAACTCATATTTCTTAGTTTCTATTGCATTTTTAATTTCAATACTTCCTTATTTTGTAATAGTTATGTTTTTCATAATATGCTTTTAAGTTTATATATTAACAAGATCTTATAAAATTATAATAGAGACTAAAGAATGCGATTCAATTTAAAAAAGTCCACTTTTTGATTTCTTTAAGAATACATTAAATGGAATAGTGTAGATAAAGTTATATAAATAATAATAATACTTTAAATCGTTCTTTAATTAATTATCTAATAATTGTATAAGATCTAATTTTACATTTTATTAGTGTTCAACAAATTTTGGATACAAAGTACATTTATCTGGCTGGTTTGCATCAGTAATAGGTACAATGATTGTGATTGGAATTTATGAAAATAAATCTATATTCTCATAAGCTTTATTGATTTTAACTATCTTTAATGATCAATTTTAATGGTGTATGAGACAAATGATATAAGTACATGCAATGATGTCATCATGTTAGAGAATGTATGAGATCATTGATTTAACCTCTGAAGCTCCATAATATCTTGAATAGGTTTAAAACTGGCCATCAGTTGGCTAAGTGAAATTTGAATAAGTTGAGTTGAGATATAGATATAATACACCTTTGATTTTAAAAGGAATCAATTTTGAAATTCCCTATAAAAAAAGAATTGGAATAATTGGTAGAACTGGGGCAGGAAAGTCTTCAATATTATAAGCAATGTTTAGAATGTCAGAAATAGAAAAAGGATAAATAATTATTGATGATGTTAATATTTAAAAGTTAGGCTTACATTAATTAAGGTCTTCAATTGGTATTATTCCTTAGAGTCCATTTTTATTTAGTGGAAGCATTAGAAGAAACTTGGATCCTTTTAATGAATATTCAGACAAGGAATTATGGGATGCTTTATAATAAACCTCATTAGATGAATATATCAGAAAATTGCCAAATAAACTAGGTTCTGACATGACTTAAGTTAATTCTATTTTTTCAGTAGGTTAGAAATAATTAATTTGTTTGGTTAGAATCATACTAAGTAAAAAAAAAATTATTGTCTTGGATGAAGCAACAGCTAATTTAGATTAAAAAACAGATGATCTTATTCAATTAGTGATTAGTAAGTTTGATGCTACTATTATAACTATTGCACATCGATTGAACACTATTGCAGATTATGATTATGTTATGGTTATGCAAGATGGCAAAATTATTGAATATGATAGACCATTAATGCTGTTATGTAATTCAATAGAGGATTTAGAAATCACTAAAAATACTGAATTTGCTTAGATGGTCAAAGCAACAGGGAATGAAAATTCAAAAGTAATATTAAAATTAGCAAAAAGAATTTAAAATTGATTATTATAAATTAATTATAATCATATAAAAAGATAACTCAAAATAAATCTAAATATAATTGTGTTAATCTTACTTTATATTTGATATTTTAATAGATGTGAATTATCATTCTTAAAATTCATAACTTTTAGATTAAAAAATATTTTCTTAACACTTAAATTAATTATTTGTATAAATATTGCTCGATAATTAATTTGCTGCTAGAAAAATTTGATTATAAAAATTAACCAAAACTTTACTGAAATATCTTCTTTATTGTTTTTATACTGATTATTGATTGTAATCATTTCAAAATATTTTTTCTTCTATATCATAACATCTTTTTAATTCTTTAATGATTCTCTTTAAAGTTGTACAATCTTTTGTTATAATTCAATCATTTAAACTTTCTAATTATCATCTTTGTTATCAAATCTTTGGTCAGAATTCAATCCTATACTGTTTGTATTATTATCCTTGGTTCTCCTCCTATAATTTATAAAATTTGATTTATCAGGGAGAACAAAATTTTATTTTATTCCTTAATTTCTTGTTTAAAATTTAATGCTTCAAATGCTAAATCAATTATAGTTTGTTAAAATACACTTTGATTTTTTAAATATGAAGGATTAAAATATTTCTTCTTCTTATTTTTATATATTTCCTATCCCATTTTTATTTATATTATTTTTAGCGAATAACTAATGGAATTGGAACTTAAGTATAATATTGTTGAGATCTATTTAGATTGCATTTACTGTTATTTTCAAAGAACCTATGCTAGAAAAGAAAATTTAGTAATCTTGCATCTCATTACAACAATAATTTAACACTATTTTCTAATGTGAATAATGTATTTTTATCTATTAATGATATCATAAATTCTGATTTCGAATACCTTTAAACTAATTTTGTTAATATTGTTAAGTCATTTTAGTATTTAAATGTTTGCTATAAATCTATGCTAATCTTATTAATTAATTTAATACTTTTATATCTATTCGATATGTCAGATCAGATAATAGAGAATAATGATAATATGGCCAGATAAAAAATTATTAACGACGGCCATGAATTCGAAAATTCATCAGATTAAAAATTACCTAGTCTAATCATTTAGAGTCCATTACATCTTCCACTTTCAGGAGAAGAATTTTTACCTACTAATACTGATTAGTTTTTAAACTCTATAATTCCTCAAGGGACTATTTTAGAATGTGATGTGAAAATAGTTAAAGGATGGTTTGGTCGCCATTTAAAATATAATTTTTATCATTCCAAGACCCAAAAACTGTTACTTTCAGTTAAAAAATCTTAATGTCCAAGAAGTCATCAGTTTTAATTAAGCAAATCAGAAAATGAGCTTGATTTTGTTGGAACATTAGAGTATTATTCAATGTGATTTTTAGGTCTAATTTTAGTGGCACCGAATTCATTTTGTATTCAAATGGACTTTCCTACAAGAATTCAAAAGACAAAGCAAGCTTAAGAAAAGAATTAGCATTCATACATTATGAATACCAATTATTAAAAACTAGAAGTATTATTTTTATATATAACATTTTTAGAAGGAAATCTTTTTAAAGCATACATTCCTTCCTTAATAGAAGGTCAACCATCATAAATTATTCCAACAGATGAAAATACAGGTTTAAAAATCAAAAGCAGATTCTTAAATAAAAGAAATTAAGAATATTTTGAATTTAAGACGCTAGAGCCTGTTTGGAGTTCAAAATATTAATCATATACTCTTCCATTTAATTCAAGAGTTAATAGTGCATCTGTTCATAATTTTTTGCTTAAATAATTAAAAGAAGATGGCAAATTGAGCAAAGAAGTAGCAATTTAGTTTGGAAAATGTGATGGCAAATACTTAAATATTGATATTGCTTATCCATTCACTCCTTTACAAGCATTCTCAATTATAATTAGCTAATTGGACAATAAATTATTAATCTGAACTCTACTTTTTATATATTATTATAAGAATATTTAACAAAATATATAGATTCTTTATAAGATATATAATTCTAGTTTGAATTTAAGGTAATATATAAAGTCGATTAAATTTGTATCAAAGAGAAATTAAATAAAATAAATAAAAAATGACCTTTAAAATAGAAAGGAAGACATCTTCAGGAAAAACTAAATTAATATGTGTTGTTTAAATTATAATGTTTAGAATATACAATAAAACAAAAAACAAACTATATATTAAAATTGAACTTCAAAAAGAATGAGATTTATTAGAATTTTTTAATATATTTTGGATTCAATTTGACTAAAAGGTTCAAATGATTTAAGTTACTACTGGATTCGTAGTGATTATTAAGATAATAAATATATTTAAGTCTATTCTTGATATTATTTAGGTATATTAGCGATTGTCCCAAAAAAAAAAAGTATTAAATATTTTCTTTAATAAATTTAAAATTATTGTCTGATTGTGAATTAACATGGATTGAAATTATTTTAATTGACTTAGTCAAATAATTTACATAACCAGATAAGACAAGAATAAAAGAATTGAATGATGAAATATTATCTGCAAATTTAATATCAATTGTAGTTGTATTATTTACCTGAATTATGTTTAACTAAAATATCATCCTAAATAATAATAAATAAGGAAATGGTCAAAAAAATTAATTTATTCTTAACATTATTACTTAGGTAATAAATTGTCAAAAATCCTTAAAATTAGAAGAAGGATTATTCATCATTTATGAAAAAGAAAATTATTAATTTTAAAAACAATTATTTGTTATTTATGAAATTAAAATATGCATTCATATTGTCTATTAATAAAAAAAGTATTTAAATGTATTCTTTTGTATATAAATAATTATGATATTTTTATGTATTTATTATAATTTTATATGTAGATAACAATTTATTAAATTTATTCATTTCTA